GAGCTTTTTTTTACTGTATTACGTTGTTCATTAACTGCTCTTTGTGAGCAAGTTTCCAGTGGCATTCCTAGAAAGGGCCGCTGATTGTTCAATGCGAAAAAAAAATACTGTAATCTTCTTTCCGTGCACAGTGAGAAGGGATGATGAAATCAGCGAGAAGATATTCGCAGAATCCTCCGTAAACTTGTCTCCCAGCGAGTAATCACACGGTCGTGAACTTTTCGTCATTGGAGCCGCGAAAATAGAATTTGGCGCAACACCGAACAGTATTCATGTAAAGCACGGCAGCTAATTTTCAAGGTATCTAAGTGGTTACTTCTTTTTTTAGGAGTAGTCACGTGGTCTTATTCAAGTTCTGCTTTGCTAATCACCAAAAGCATGGGCGTGCCCCCAAGTTGTTCGCGCGCTTCGCAGATCTGGCTTGCCGATACGAGTGCTCCATCTACCATTAGCGAGTGCACGAAAACTAGCGCATATAAATGAAGAACCGTTTGATACAAAATTTTGGAAAGCGTGTCAGTAATGTGTGTATTTTTTACGCCCCACGCTGTATTAAATTCACAGGACGTACGAGAACCACTTCCAATATCTGCATGCGTTCCATAGAGCGACATGTATATCGTGCTCTCCACATGACACGAGCACCCGTCATGCTTGCAGACAATAATCTACTTTCACTCTTTGGCACTAACAACGCTTCTGAGCCATTTAATTCAAATTTCCCGCGAAAGACCAGTTCCTGTAGCAACGCCTCCTTCTGTTTTCAAGTTGCGTCTACTCGCCGATAGGCACGCCGCCGGCAGCGGTCCGACGGACGCGCGTCGCTGTTACTCTATCTGGTCGATCGCGTCTCGTGAGAGTCCCCACCTGAAGTGTTTGCATCTTACACCGTGGTCCTGTCTCAAATAGCTCCACGTAGAAAATAAACGAGGAAGATTGATATTTAAATGGGCCCTGCGACACTTTTTGAACATGGTCAGAAAATGTTGCCGATCGGTAGTAGAGGCTCCCGGAAACACGCGAGCCAAATGTTACAGCGCAGCACGCGGCTTGCAATTAACAATAAATTATCAAAGTCAGCTAAAGATTGCTTTCTATTCTCTCAACAAATCCCGGCATAAGTCCAAAAATCACTCGTAGTAAGCCCATCTATGAGCCATTGGCTTATTCGAACATGGCGCGCTTGGTTGTTACAGAGATCACCACGAGAGGCCACCACAGTCCTGTATTCGAAGAAAAAAAGAAAAAGAAGTGCTCAAGGTCACGAGGTACGCATGAAGTTTTTTGTTTGCCCCTGCCATCCCTCCCTGCTTTGCTTCCAGCGCTTTCGTCGGGACGAGAGAAGAGTGAATGCTACTGCAGCATGTGACAAACCTTTGTAACTCCGCTTGTACTGGACTGATTCTTAAAATTTTCGCAGCATTGAATTTGTGAGGCAACATGCTTTTCCAGTGAATTAATTCCATGGTTACTAAAAAAAGTGTTTCGGGGCCCCATTAACATTGAAAATACGGGCGCTACTTTGGAACTACTTTCACTGATGGTAGGTTGCACGCGATTTGGCTCTGTAGCTTTCCTTTCAGTGCCAAGAAAAGTAGTCGCCGAGTATAGCCTGTGTAACGCTGTCCCTCTGCACACCCCCACTGCGCATGCTCGCGTTTCATGCCAGCCCCGGAAGACAATTGCAAAACTGCCGCTCCCTCCCACTCTCTAACCTCGCAAGGCCGACGCAGGCAGCGTCTGGTAAGTAAGAAAAATCACAGCATATCCACGGAGTGAATGACGAGTGGGGTGAAGCGTCCGTCTTTCTGTCTGTCTGTCTGCCCATGCGGCCGTCCGTCTGTCCATGCGTTCATCCGTAAATCAGTCAGTCCATCCATCAGTCCTTATCTGGTTCTTAAAGGGAAAAGAAGAGAAAAGTGAGCACCGCAACTGTCTGCATCAGGTGCGACACCTCAACAGTACCTCACAAGGGATGGGGGTGAGGACGGATTAACAGGATAGGATTAAAAATTATCGGTCGGCACGAAATCTAGTGAGTGCCATCCATCCGTCCACCCATCCGTCCGTGCGTCCGTTCATGCTTTCGTCCATGCTTCTGTCCATGCTTCCAACCGTCAGTTGATCCGTGCATCCAGCTGTCCGTCCATCAGCCTGTCTGACACAGCTGGTTACGCGTGATGGAGGACAAGGTTAGACTAAGAGGAGCTTCGCCCATAAAACCGACTGCTCGCGCTGAGCAACCGTTCACTGGCCACCCTGTATGGATCGCGCGTTCGAAATTCAGTCAAGGGCGTCTTGATTAGCGCCAGCGTCAACCTCACTGCCAGAGTAAGCATTAGCATGCACTCGCTGCTTCGCATCTGAACATGGTTCTCTTTAGCGGGAGATGGTGTAATTTCTTTTTTTTCTAGCTTATATTTTTTTCCCGTGGACCTAATCTACGAGAGCCTAGGAGTGTACAGCTCCGCTGTTAGAAGGCACTTGGAAATTCTCATTGCCGGGAGCATTTAGAATTCAGCAAACGGAAAGTCAGACGTCATAAATGAAAGGCGGTATCTATTTGCGCATTTTCCCCAAGGCCTTTAGAAAACAAACCGATAGTTAAAAAATCTATCAATCAATCCCAGACCTTCATATTGACGGCGTAGCTCCAGTCGGTGTAGAACATCGTACCAAGGCCACTCATGGCGCCGGGAAGAGTGGCTGATCGCACGAGCAGCAGCAGTGTCGTCACGACGTGGATGCACACCATCACGTACACAAACTGCGAAGGTAAGTCTCCTCAATCACTACATACTGGTATATAAGGCCTAATATTGAATCACACGTGGGGCGAATTGTTTGTAGACTTTCTGTTGCATCTGAAAAAGATAGCTGCAATAGAAAAAAAATGGTTCCGTATCTGCATGTTTCACTGCAAATGTCGCCGAAAGACGATAGTCTTGCGTCTGGAGAAAGTAATCAAAACGTTTACTTAATATCCTGCGCGAGAAAATCGGTGAATTGTATGCTGGAGGTGCTGCGTTAGCGTGTCTCGACCTGTGCAGCGAAGGTGAACGAGCGCATCGAGGCACGTCAGACACGAGCGCTATCTGGCAGTTATCTTCGAAAACGAAAGAATGCGTGGGCGCCTGTCTCGGAGGCGATAAGGTGTTGAACGCAAAGCGACGGGCAGGTGCCACTACCGTGTCGTCTTAGCAAAGCGTTGGAAATGCTTGCCTTTTTGAGCGTAGCGTCACACGTACAGTAGAAATCAATGATATGCGAAGCACGAATGAGGATGGTTGATATGTCACTTTATAACCAACACAACGTTACGAGGCTGCCGTAAGTTATGCAGTACATGACATCTATGTTTTGGTTATCATGTTTGAACGTGTCATTTACCTTTGTCGTCTATTCACGTCACGTGATACCAACTTTGATATATGAGGAGCCAACAAAACGACCACGAGGGCACCATTAGCTTGGCGTGTAGACATGACTTAGATGACGTGTATGTCATGATTTCCACGTTAGGGTCTATCACTTACGTTCGCCATGCAGTCATGTCATACCATACCAGTTTTGCAAGAAGTCATGTGAACGAAACCACGGCAAGAGCAGTAAGATAATGAAAGTTATATCATTGACATTCATAACGCACATGTCATGATCTTCATGTTATGAGTAGTCATTCATGCTCGTCATACAGTGATGTTATGCCATACCAATTTTGGTATAGATACCATTATCTAAGTGGACAGGAGAGCTAAATGTCGTAGGCGGAGATAGATAGATAGATAGATAGATAGATAGATAGATAGATAGATAGATAGATAGATAGATAGATAGATAGATAGATAGATAGATAGATAGATAGATAGATAGATAGATAGATAGATAGATAGATAGATAGATAGATAGATAGATAGATAGATAGATAGATAGATAGATAGATAGATAGATAGATAGATAGATAGATAGATAGATAGATAGATAGATAGATCCACGACCAACGTCAAGAGTATTTTATCTCTGCTTGGAACTAAAATACAACAAAATAAACTGCATGTATTTCGGGCCTAAATGTTGATTCTTTTTATGCAAGCATTGAAGCTGACTAATGGAAGAATAATTAGATATTAGCTGCATGTTAGTTAAGATTAGTTGCTGAAAGTCGCACAAAGAAACCACTTATTTATTTCTTTTTTATTTTTGAATAATACTGAGTGCCTTAGACTTAGTATGCCATGCGAATCTCATACCTTTGCAGACAGTGCATCATAACTCGAATATACAGAGTGCATATTTCAGTAATAACGTCCACGCACCCACTTCACTCTGTTGAAGCCTTGGTGAGCCAGTGCGAACACCACCATCCAGATGGCGGCCAATGAGAGCAGGCGCTGACCACGAATCTCGCTCAGGGCTGAGGAGCTCTCCTCGAACCAATTGGCATGACGACGGCTGTGGTAAAGGCCAGTGATAATAAATATGGATGCCCGATCACTCAACAACCAACCTCATGTCACTTGGGAATACGTCGCGCCCTCGTAGAGCGATCTCTTTAAACTCGCCTTTATTTTAATGCAACCTTACGTTCTGGAAGAATATCTTTTCTATTATTCGATCATATTGCTCTAGTTCCGCAGCCCTGCTGCTGGCGCCTCAGCTTAAGTGCGTGATTTGTGCACAGTGGCTTAATTGCTTAAGGGGAAAATGGCAAAGAAAAATAGATCACCCAAGTACAAACTACAACGTTGTTTCCGTTTAGTGCCTATACGTTATATGCGAAAAAAAATTGTAAGTTTCGGTTTGTCAGTGGGCTTTGATTGCGTATGAATATAGATTACTCGTAATATCACGATGGAATGACCCGAGCTCAAAATTCGTTCACCATGTATGCTACTCGGCTCAATCCATATTAGGCGGACGTAAATGATATTTCACAATATATCTAACCGAAAAGGCGAACTTTATTGTTGACACGACCAAAATAATCCGTTGCTCTGAGAATTACGCATCGAGACAGACGCACAGCTGGTACGGCTGTAAGTAGTTGTACACTCCGGGCAGGCAGCTGGCCATGTGCTGATGGTACACCTCGGGTGGTACCAGGGTCAGGTGGGCGACTTCGTCGCTCGCATCCATCACTGGCATTCCTTGAGTGAGGGGCCGCCGCCGAAAGGACTCAGCGAGCCGAGCGCGGGTGATCCTGCACAGTGACTGCGCACGGACAGCCATCAAAATGACTGTCTTTGCACATATTGTCTTCAAATAAGCTGCGCGTGCCAAGCATGGGCGTCCAGGGGAGGGAGGGGTTGCAAACCATTGTTACATCGCATTTAATGGAGTGCATATTGAGAGCTGTAGGAGTGGGGGCTTCTTTAGGAACCTTATTCCGACGACCGTGGTCCCAAATCACAATATCAGTGGCACAACATAGAATAGAAATAAATACAAGTGCATTTTTGTTCAACGAGCATTTGACGGCGTCGGATATAAATGGTGATTACTTGTGGTAAGCATAATTTTTGAAAGTGGACTTCTCGTAACAATAGCAAGAAAAAAAAAGAAGCTGGCCTGTATAACTTGACTTTTTTGAACGAGGAGGGCAGGCAAGGTTGTTTGCAGAAACCATATGATGCATTCTCAAAGTGCCATGGCAAATAAATATTAACGCAATAGCATAGAAGTGCTCGTTTCGCGGACATTCCGGCATCGGCGTCGTTAGTTGTGAGCGAAAAATCATCATCTTTGCGTGACCCAAAAATTGAGAAAGACGCAAATAAAATAAAAAGAACCTCTGGGTGGGGATTGAACCCAGGCCGCTTGCGTGGCAAGTGGGTATACTACCACACAACCACTCCGCTTGTGAATATAGTGAAAGTTACTTCCTCTGCTTGCAAATGCAGTGAAGGTATCTTTCATGCCTTACATACACACGTGCGCTGTATATATGCTTGAGGATACAACACTAAATATTGCAATAATAAGGCGTGGCACAAGCGCTCATTGCCATCGGTCATCAGAACATTAGATTATCATAATGACTTCATAATTTTAGCCCAGTCACCCACTATAAAAGGCACACACGCTACTGCACCCTTAAGGCCACGTACTGGGTGCATAGCAAGCATACCAATTTCGAAAAGATTTCATGCATCAAGTGTTTGAAGTAAGCACTAGGAACAAAATATCCCTATCACGTTCAACTTTTGAAGGCGAAGCTTAAAGGGACACTAAATTCAAATAACAATTTACGTCAGAGTGAAAGCTCAATGTATGACAACGCCTAAAACGACAACATTATCAACAACAGTGCCCTACTTACCGAGAAATTAAGGTAAATGCACAAGAACACAAGCGCCGCAGTAGGACATTTTCAAAATAATCTTATTAACATCAGACGGACCGCCTACAATTATTCACTAGTAATCGATCTAACTAGAGACGCAATAAAAATGCTGCTTGTTCATTTCTGTTTGATTCATGGAAAGAAGAACCGCCGGACGTTATTATAAGGAATTGCGCAAGTGATTCAAAAATTCAATTTTCACGTGGTTACACGGGACAGATGGTGCCATCTAGCAGGGCGCAGTTGAAACAAAAGCGTCTGCAATCACGGAGCCCATGGAGAGAAATTGATCAACAGCCGTTTTCACTGCTGTGGCTCCCACTGCTTTCGGTCTGCTGCTACTAGCGCAGTAAAGCCGGGCAGCGTTGTGCACGGCAACAGTGATGTGAGACGGACCGCTGAGTATGTTTCTTGAGGCGGGTAATTTGAAGTGTGCTAAACCAATGCGGACCACTAAAAAGTGATTTTATTTCAAAATAAGCCCTTCTTTTGACGCGAAAGTAACACTAGGAGGTTTCTGGACAGCCATTTCAACAATCAACGTCGATTTAATAGTTGACTTTCGTGTCCTTTTCAGGATGCCCCATTTTTTTGTCGCCTTGATTAGACTTGAAATTGAATAAATGTAGATGTTTATTCATGACGCCATAAACATGCCGATAAACATGAATTTCAGGGTAGTGGTTCTTCGTAGCACACACAAAAAAAAAATAAACTGACGGCCCACAACAAAAAAAAAAACGAGGAAGAAAAGCGAAGGGAGGTAACAAACATAGCTTTTAATTGTCTGTCTCACCTGCCTTCGTTCGTAGTTTTTTTGTTTGTTTCCTACTTTTTTTTATTATTCTGCTGTGAAGGTATGACTGGCTCAATCAACTCCCTGCACGATTACCTGTAGGAACTTCAGACTATCATTTCTCGCTTTTTCCTGTCCGAATAAACCTGTTTTGTCAAACATAAACGTGCACCGGCCACTACTGCCTCGAATGAACCAGCAAATTAGGCGCGGCCATTGCGGAAAAGAAAGCGTTGTGTTCCTGAATGCCATTGGTATTTTTATGCGCATTTTTAGGAAATCTTCGCACACACAGACACACACACACAAAAGAAGGCAACGAGGATGAGCGCGCGCATACGATCATTCGTGTTACCTTGTCTCATGTCTTTGATTGCACCGCTTTCATGTCAAATATACATGCAGCAAGAATCGATAATTCGGGGAGTTTTACGTCAAAAACCACGATACAGTTACGGTGAGCGTTGTAGTGGCGAGCTTCGCAAATTTCGAAAAGCCCGGGTTCCGTTACGTGCACGTATACATCCAGATACTCGGGTCTGCACCAACAACGCGTATCGTTTTTCTACATGTCTGTAGGCACCGAGACAGCCACTCACGAACGGGTGCCTGGGCACGAAGCAGGAGCGGTTGGGCGCCAGGAGCATTCCGTTGCGGCACTCGTTGCCCGCTGCCTCCCGCACGGAGTCGAGCAGGTAGAGCAGCTGGTCGGTGACCGGCACCGAGTCTGCCACGATGTGCACGATCGCGTACACGCCCATCGTGACACCCACGCCTGCGACGCGCCAAGCATCTATTATTATGGCGTGTGCACGACGCTCTTGCGACCAAATGTATAAGACAACGAACGCGGAGTCTCTGACACGCTTTTAGAACTTCGGTAGTGCCGTTGTCGTTTCCCATATATCGAGAGAGAACTCTTCGGAACGCAAACAACACCACTGACACCAACCCTCTACAGTTTTCGATAATTTGTATCAATAACGTTTGTGTACCTTTGCTATCTGTTCCATGTTATTATTTGTCCTATCCAGGAAGGGCTGTCGCGTCGTCAAGCTGCTCAGCTTTTTGTGGCAGCTCCTATTTTTTCCTTTCTTCGAAAGATGAATAAACTTAATTTCCTTTGATTTGAATATGGAAATTGTCCGAGAGGCTCGTTTTTTTCTGCGTTATACACAGCCAATGAAAGCAACATGCAATTACATTAAGGAAGGCTAGGGCATACATTATGAGTGGTTCCTTAACTGTATACTGTAATACACAGAGGAGACCACCAATAATGCTTTCCTTGGTGCAAAATTCTGTCGTTTTCATTACATTACTTGTAACCAATACATAATGCAGACAGGACGCTTCACTACTGTTTGTAAAGTACTCCAGGATTGAGACAGGACAATCTACGGCTGAGTAACTCGCATACTTTTGTTTACACCGTCTCCAGTTCGAGTCATACGGACGTAATTTCGACTCGAACGTGTGTATGCGAGAGTTTATACTATCTATGGTGATCCGATTCGTCGCGGCATAACGCGATTACCTCGAGTTACTGGGATACTAGTCGCTATGCAAAATCATTTGCAGTGTTTGTCAGTACTGTACGTCTTCGATAACACAGGTATGCATGAACACAGATATGCCACAGAAATACCACGCATCGTACTAATCACACGACGTGTTTATGCTCAGCTCTTCGCGTATGTATTTCTGAAATGAGCATAACTCAACCATAACCCACATAAAAAACGCGTCGGGAAACGAAGGAAGATAGCAACAGCTCTGTCCACTCACCGATGAAGAGCGGAACCGTGGAGAAGACGCCGAAGTGACCGTCTCCAGCGAACTGGGCCAGGCCGCTCTCCAGGCGCATGATCGGCAATGTCACGACAGCGAGGAACGCTAGATACGCCAGCAGGAACGGCACTGCAACAGAAGGTGCATTCGCCCAACACGACTCGAAAACTGGAACCATCTGGACACTAAAGAGCAACAAGATTTCTCGCGTATTAGTAAAGCATGCAATCTAACAATCCCGAACACACCACCGCGACACGACGCTTAGTAAGCGTGGAAACGAGGGTGGCAACCTGACCTTGACATTCCCGCACCATAAGAAATTTTGAAGGCGTCTATTGGGTTCTACACAGAATTTACAATCAATAAAAAGTGAAGTATACATTGTAATTTGTGGGTGCCATGCACTTGGCATACGAAGTTTCAGGAAATACTGAGCGAGTGCCACGAAAATACCAAAAATAATTTTGAAATTTCCTGCGTCACGCGCAGAGATTATCGTGCGAAGTTTAAAAATACACCATCAACCTCAATTTTTTCCGCTAACTTATGATGCCAAAATAAGCAGAATAATAGTTTTTAGAGTGCAGTTTGTTCATCTAAACCAACTGATCGTTCTTGAGTGTCCAGATGGCAAAGAAATAGACTGCAACGGGAGCCGAACCTGCGGACTCTCGCTCCCGCAACGTGATGTGCAATCGACTAGGCCGCCAAACGTACGTTATACAGCTGGCGAGCTATTTATATACACCATCTTCTGCCGGCATTACTCGTTACTTCCTGCCCGTCTTTGTCATCACCAACAAGATGGCGTGAACGGTGCGCTCAAAGATCGTTAAGAGCGCCTTTCGTTGCCGTCCTCGTGGTTAGTGCATCTTATGCTTTCTCCGTAAGGGTGCTGTGACTTCTGGCCTCGTGACTGATACATTTTACCAAAAATATATTCCATGACCTAACCTACTTGATGCAATAACTGTTGCTAGATCAGTTACCTTCTAGGGCGGTCTTCGAGTCGAGGAGGCTAAACTGTAAGCTAACGTGTTTTCTTGGGCGCAATGAGATCAATGGGCGGTGCGTTATCTCCGCGTCGAATGTTATGCTTTACATCAAGGTTCTCACATCCTCCGTTGACAATGAACATCATGGGAAACTGCGTTGCGTTGGCGCTGCCAGCCGTCATGATGAACAGGGTGGCCAGCTTGTGCGCGCGGCTGGCGTAGTTCTTAGGGCCGTACTCCTGCGAAATGGGCGTCACGAAACGCAAGCGTGAAATTCGGGGCATAACACTGCGATGCACCATATGCGCGCTACGTTTACTTACATGCATAAATACGTTAAGGACTGGAAAATTCAACACGGATCCCGTACCTGCGGTTTCAATATGCCGGAGTGGGAATGCTTCGCATTTTTTATTCTGATAGCATTGCAATGCCATATGGGAATTTTATTTTTTCAACGGTGATGATGCGTGACTGTCTCCAGAGAGGCATGAGTATCTTTTATTTGCTAGAAGGTGTTCTAACTTTATTTTCGCATGTCGTAGTTTGAAATATAAGAAGCGTTCCTTCCGATATATTACTTCACGTCATAACAGAGTCCAGGAAACGAGTATATAGAGTTACAGATCTGCTGGGACGCAGTCGACAAGGAACTTGGCATCACTAAATATTTTTTTTACTATCATATAAGTACTGTAGAACAACCGGTTATCCTGAATCTCATGGAGTGTGCTGTCCATGTAAGGTCATGCTTGCAGATAAATGAATTCGCATTTTTTTCCACAGGTTTGCATGATTTGACAAAGCGCACTTTAAAATATGCCCTTCAATTCATATCAGCGCATGAACCAAGTAAAATTTTCATAATCTTCATGTGCCTACACAGCCAAGCACATTTAGTCGTTTTTTATTAAGACATACTAAAATAATCTTCCCCTAAACCTTGTTCATCACGCCAACTTCAAAACCGCGGTGCAGTCACCTTGTCCACTTCAGCTAGCTTGTGTTCGTCAACCACCATTCATAATGAATAGGATCGAAACGTATTTTCAATACGTGAAATAATTATTTATTAATATCGGTTATCGAGTTTCGGCATCTGACTCCCCTAAGCTTCACTGCATTCACTAGCTGTCAAGCAATAACCGCCAAAGTGGATCAGTAATTACGGTGTTCTACTGCTTACCGAAAAGTCGCGGGATCGAATCCCGGCCGCCACTTTCGTATTTCGATGGAGGAAAAATGGCCCCTGTATTATGCTATGACAGTGCACGCTAATTAACATTGTAATATCAACATTTCTGGAGATCTCCATTGCGGCGTAAAGCCATTAACCCGTCATGCAATGATTACCTATCAGACGATCCTTCGAATCGACCGATGGGCCTACAGCGCCCACCAGCGAGATACCATGCTTACACATACCTCCCGTTCATCGTCACTCGACGACATGGTGAAGGCGAAGATAGTCTGACTGGTGGCGGGAAAGCAATGCCGCAGAGAGCGAAAGTCGACAGCGATGACCGAAAGGCGACAGAACATCCGCGCTGCGCACCGATTCTTCTTCTATGGAAGAACCGAGGCTCGTGCTTCGCGCATGCTTCGGGTTGCTCTTCAACCCATGGTGCTTACCCGCTACGGGGCATTCGCCAACTGAGAGAAGGCGAGAAAAACTCCATTTAGATGAGAATGAGTTCTTTATAACTGTCATAATTCCTACCTTTTGATAATAGCGAACATATCTCGTTAATGTTTCATGTGAGTGAACATTTGTACAAACTGTAATCTATATGAACACCTCATGTGTACATTGGACCCTTCCCCAAGCTTCTGCCCCTTCTTTAAACGCCAGATGTCGTGCATGCACAGAGTACTTGTGGTCATTTTCTTTCTTTTCGTATTATTTCATTTCTTCCTGTTTTTAGAAGCTTGCTCGGCAAGCTTATGCTCACGTCCGACAACCACTATGTATGTAATAAAGACTGACTGTCCTGTAAAAAATGACAAGCTAATACTTCGGGCTTTCAGTGAAGCGCGGCGGTCCTGCGTCACATACTCGCAGAACTGAAGTTCCGCCGAACTGCTTGCAAAGTTCAGTACATCAGACGCAAGACAGTAGGAACGTTCAATTCCGTGGGTATGCTCGCAAAGTTCATGCCGTGTGCTGGTCACTACGAGCTGCAAAACAAATCCATTGAGGATTTGCACCTTGCCTGGCCCACCCGATAAGAAACAAAACACCCTGAGTGCTGAGTTGGGGGCTGGCTGGTCCCGACGAAGCAGAAGAAGAAGGCGGCCGACGGAGACGTACGCGCCGGCGGGGACACCGACCAGCCCGAACACGCGGGTTGGCGCGAAACGCCGAAGAGAAGAACAACAACCGCTCTCCACGGTTACCCAACACACACTGATTTTATTTACAGTCGCCTTGAAAACCTGGATGCCAGAGCGGCGCCCCCTGGCATCCTCACATGTCATTCCGAAACCTAGAACACAACACTGAGTCCGATCCCGGCCCAAGATGAGCAGAACACGGCCTGGGGGCCGGACCAGGCCGGGCTACTTGGAGCCCGTGCACACCTCACTGCCAAAACGAAAACCCCAGCAATCAAGCGGCGTTGCGTACCTTTTTCCGTACAGGGAAAGGCGCGTGCACTGCGGCACCTTAAAAAAAGGCGAATGATAACTGCAACTGCTAATCTTGGAAACAACTTTCTGTGGCAATGAACGGAAGGCTACGGAGCCAAAGCAGGCATGTGCCACCGCTGTAGAATATAGTGCCATGAATGCGTCTGTGTTTTAAGAACATTTTCTACTACATGATCTTTATAAAGAGACACTGCACACGCCGAGGAGATACCATGATTTCTTGTTGCTTTCTGAAGAGTCGATCATTTCGCGTTTAAGCGCGTCTGAAAACGTCGCACGTTTTACGTTCACCTCTCAATCAAAATGGCGTCGTCGTCTTTAGGTTGTAGTGGACGCTGAGTGCTATGTTAATCCTCTAATGGATGGCGCTGTCGGCATGCGCGCGCCACCTCATGTGGGGTATATAGCAGGGGGGCAGTTGGGAATAAAGGGGGGGTCTTCTTGTTGTTGCTATGAGCCATGCTCGTGTCTTACTCGGCGTCTCTGAACATGGTGTCAGAAGTGGGCGTCTAACGCGGAGTTATGGAGGAGACAGACGCCGGACCTTCTCAGCTCAACTTCATTCACGTCGGTACACCGGGACTTCAGCCTCCGTCGCCTTTCAACTTCACCAGCCCTGGGGAATGGACAACATGGATAACGAGGTACGAAGATTACGCCTTCGCGGCCGGTATCAACACAGCCACCGACGAGGTGCAGGTGCGAACTCTTTTATATTGCATGGGTTCCCAAGCACGTAGCGTCTTGTCGTCGCTAGGACTGTCTGCTCCGGAAAACAGCCCGTTTGCGGAAGTCAAGGCTAAGCTCACTTCGCATTTTGTCCACCCTATCAATGAGATTTACGAGAGCCGCCGATTTCACCGCCGAGTGCAACAACTTGGGGAGCCGGTTGATGAATTTTTCACCGCGCTCAGGAATCTTGTCAAGCGTTGTGGGTACAACAACGCCGAGATCGAAGACCGCCTTGTGCGAGACAAGTTTGTCGTTGGATTGCGGAATGAGAAGCTATCGGATCAGTTGTGCCGATGTACGAAACTTACAGCTGAGGAAGCGTTGTGCCAAGCGCGTGTTCATGAAGAAGCCGAAAAAGAGCGTCTATCCCGTGAAATTCCCAGCGAGAACGGGGCCTTTGACAGCTTAAACGTGGACGCGGCGCAACGCGCGAAGAACGCTTCATCGCGTCGCAGCAAATCTGTGCAGCCAACTCAGTCTACTTGCGATTACTGCGGCCGTGGTCACCACTCTCGAAAAGAATGCCCAGCTCGCAAAGCCACATGCAATTTCTGCAAGAAGCAAGGTCATTTTATTGCTGTTTGCCGGGCCAAGCATCGGAAAGAGCTGTTAGGCTCAGTGGAACTTCACGCGCTCAGTACGCGTCGGGCACGATATGCCGACATTCACGTGAATGGTCACCTCGCACACTTCAAGATAGACTCAGGGGCCGAAATAACGGTGGTTTCACCTTCTTTTCCGGCATTACCTACTGTTTTGGATAAAGTGGACGCCGAGGTATCCGGTCCTGGAAATCAAAGGCTGCACGTTCTGGGATCTTTCACTGCTACCTTGCAGTGGCGTAACAAAGTGTCTGTGCAAAGACTGTATGTTATCAAGAACCAGACGACACACCTCCTGGGATTACCAGCAATTGAAGACTTGGGCATCGTTCAGTTTTTGGACTCTGTGGATGGTATTCCGTCATCTCAATCAAAAATTTTTCGTGGGCTTGGCGAAGTACAGGAAGAATACCACATCCGCGTCGCTCAAGATGCTCGTCCCTTTTCATTAAGTGTTCCTCGACGAATACCTCTGCCTCTGCTAGAGCATGTGAAGAAGGAATTGGATGAAATGGAAACCCAAGGAGTCATTCGCAAGGTTGACACGCCTACCGCATGGTGTTCAGGCCTCGTCGTCGTGTCAAGCGGGTGTCACTCTTAATGAAAAGAAGTGTCAGTTCAGGGTCTCTTCTGTCAAGTTCTTAGGAGTTGTCGTCAGCCAGCAAGGAATTAGTCCAGACCCGGACAAAGTCAAGGCTATCATGGATCTCCCACCACCAATCGATGTTAGTGGTGTTCGCCGATTACTTGGAATGGTAAACCATGTGGCTCGATTCATTCCAAAACTGTCTGAGATCTCCGCACCTATTCGTGCACTCCTCAACAAGAATAACGCGTGGAGCTGGAGTTACAACCAAGAGGAAGCGTTCAAGAAGATAAAGTCTTTGCTCAGCTCCGACACATGTATGGCTATGTACAATCCCCATTACCCAACTATAGTATCGGCTGACGCAAGCTCTCATGGCCTTGGTGCCGTTTTACTCCAAGATCAACCGTCAGGAATTCGACGAGCAGTTGCCTATGCTTCCAGATCTCTCACTACTACAGAAGGACGCTACAGTCAAACGGAAAAGGAGTCTCTGGCTGTCACATGGGCTGTCACCAGGTTCGATCAATACCTACGTGGACTAAGCTTTGAGGTCGAATCCGATCACCTTCCGCTTGTAGCTCTCCTGTCAAGTAAAGATCTGGACATCTTGCCACCTCGAATTCAACGTATGCGAATAAAACTGATGCGCTATCAGTTCGCCGTCAAGTATGTTCCTGGAAAACTGCTAGCCACAGCGGACACACTATCAAGAGCACCCTGCGACTTGCCAACTTCTAAAGCAGTCAGCAGCTTGGAAGTCTATATAGGGGAAGTTCTCAAGGAGCTACCTTTACAACTGGAAAATCAGCTAGACGAGATCCGTCGTCTTCAAGCTCAAGATAGCGAGTGTTCTTCTATTATGACTTATTGTGAGAAAGGCTGGCCGTCCAAGAAGAGAGTTCCGACCCATTTAGCACCATACTGGAAGGAGCGAGAAAGACTGAGTGTGTACGATGGGTTACTCTTACTGGATCGCCGCATTGTCATCCCGTCAGCCCAACGCAAGGACATTCTCGCACTACTGCACGAAGGACATCAAGGTGTCCGCCGCTGTCAAGTGCGCGCCCGCGAGTGCGTTTGGTGGCCCCATTGCAGCCAGCATATTGAGGACCTTGTGGCTCAATGTGCTAAGTGTGCTGAGACGCGAACCTTGCGTTCTGAGCCACTGTCACCAACGCCAACACCGGAACGACCATGGCAACGCCTGGGAATCGACTTGTTCCACCTGGAAGGACGCGACTACGTCCTCATTGTCGACTACTACTCCCGATTTCCAGAAATAGTCACACTGGGAACTTCATCAGCAAAAGCGGTTGTTGCTGCGGTCAAGAGTTGTTTTGCCCGTTTTGGGATACCAGACGTTGTGCGGACGGACAATGGACCTCAATTCTCGTCCAAGGAGTTCGCCGACTTTGCAACGGCGTATCGATTCTGCCACGAGACCAGCAGCCCTCGATACCCTCAGAGTAACGGAGAGGTAGAGCGCATGGTGCGTACCGTGAAAGATTTGCTGAAGAAAAGCCCGGATCCGTACCTCGCTCTACTCGCATACCGAGACACACCTGGAGTTTCGGGCGTCTCTCCAGCTCAGTTACTCATGGGAAGGAGACTACAAACTCGTCTTCCGGTTCTGCCTGAACGACTTCTTCCGGCCTTACCCAATCACGAGGAATTTCAAGCACAGGATACTGCGGCGAAGTTGAAACAGGCGAAGGACTACAATAGCCGTCACAGTACTACTCCTCTGATTTCTCTCAGTATGGGGGAGGATGTGTGGATAAAGGATTTAGGTTGCAGCGGTCGTGTCCTCAGCCCAGCTCAGCGACCAAGGTCATATGTGGTCGAGACTCAAAGTGGTGTTGTCCAGAGGAACCGTTGCCATCTGGTGCCGTTTGTAGATGACCAAAATGTCCAACAGCAAGCATCAATGGCTTCATCACCGACGCATGGAACCTTGTCATCAAATCCGCCAAGAGACTCAGCCTCGACCTCAGCGTCGGAATCATTGTCTCCTAGTGCTTCAAGTGCTTCGTGCGCATCACCTGTGCCGCCTGTGAAGATGCCTCCCTCGCCTGAAGTGCAGACGCTACCTGTGCAAGCAAGTGCGCCTCAGTGTGATGAACCTAAGCGTACGCGTTCTGGCCGTGCCGTGAAACCGCCGCGCAGGTTGAACATGTAACTATCCCGGGAGGGAAGATGTAGTGGACGCTGAGTGCTATGTTAATCCTCTAATGGATGGCGCTGTCGGCATGCGCGCGCCACCTCATGTGGGGTATATAGCAGGGGGGCAGTTGGGAATAAAGGGGGGGTCTTCTTGTTGTTGCTATGAGCCATGCTCGTGTCTTACTCGGCGTCTCTGAACATAGGTGAGCGCGCGTCGCCCTCCAGCTATTCCGACGACTCGCCGAAAGAGCTTGTGTCAAATTTCTCTCATAAATGGCTGTGTATGCAGGCGTATCAAATTGGGTGCAGTGGAATTACATGAACGCGGCCGTCATTTGAAACGCGAGCCAAACCGGACTACTTCGCGGAGGAGTACAAGAGCGGTGGCTCCGCCAACGTAGTCTTCGCTTCATTGCCCCAGAAAGTTGCTGCACGTCCCGTACCAGACAACGCGAAACGCAGAGAGTGAGTGAGCACGGAAAACTGCATTGACTACAGCGCTATCTATTGAATCAGCAGTCAACGCAAGGAATTCAACCATAGCATCCGAGATGGCGGGCGCGGCCCGCCATCTTGGAGGCCATGGTCTAGCTCAGGGTCACACGGGACATATGCAGAAATATCGCGTAGAGCGACACATCGCTATCGCCCCTTGCTCTGGCAGTCATGGCACTGGTGAGGAAGAGAATCAGCGTTTATTCTCGCAACTGTGTTCCGAGCAATGCACTGGTAAGGCCTGGCTGATCCCCCTATCATAAGAATCGGAAACACGAAAGTGAAACTTGCCTTCAGAGAGGTATTGAAGTTCGCAGGTATAACGTTGCAGTAGAGAGCACAGGACCGGGTCGATTGGTAAAATATGAAAGAGGCCTCCCTGCAGTGGGCGTTGTCAGGCTGATGATGATGACTTGCATTGTTTGCCATAAGGGTGATGGAATGCATAATATGGCAATGAACTGTGATGTCACGTGAATAACAAGCAGTTTGAAACTTGCAGCGCACACCTCGAGCAGAAAGGATACACCCAAAAAGAACATACACATGAGGGGCATGAATCAACAACTGTCACAATTTTTATACGCTCCTTTCGCAAACGGGGCTGCTTCAGCGAGCGACGTGACCATCATGCTCTCAAACTTCCTGCGAACTTGCAGTGAAAACACGACTTAAATTTCATCTCCATCACGAGACGAGCGCGCACGCACGATAAACCACGTTCTACAAAGGAGCGCGTGAATCACAGCAAGGGACCTGTTTGAGTCCCGAAACATATGAGTCTCAGGGGCGAAGGTCTAACCTTGGCATGCGTCACGTGTAACCGAGAGAAGAAGAGACGAGAAATAAAAGAAGGCAGTATCTCCCGAACAGTATAATAGACGGCGCTGTCTCATAGAAGTACATACAAACTGCAGTTGAGTGAGGATATTCTAGATGGCACTGCATCGTTACTCTCCAAATGGCTGCTGCGCGGGCTGTGCCTGGGTACTCAGAAAACGATTGCCTCTCACTCTCCTGGATAGTCGCCGTACGTGGCGGATCGCTGGTGGGGCATGGACGAAGCAGAGCGGCGGGTGCTTTGAAGGCGCTTGCGCTCGGCATCCTTGGCTCACGTCTCGTCGGTGTTATTTGCACGCAGTCTGCATTCTCGAACACGATCGGACGCATGCACGGACGGACGCTTTGCCCCACTCATCATTATTCACTCCATGGATATGCTGCAATTTTTTTTCACCTTGACTTGATCAGTGACTGTATCTATATCCTCATCATGACACATGACTAGACGAACTTTCATTGAACTTTACACTACGGGTCTGTATATTTTGCTTGTTTTCATTTGAATGCATGCTAGAATAATAAAATGACGTTGGCTTAATTTTCACATTGCGCCATGGAAAAGTGAAGACTATGTTGGTAACAACAAATTCAAGAGGTGGTCCACACAAACACAAAGTATTTGGAACATTTTACTTGTCACATGATTGGTTCAACACCCATGTCATTGAAGTCGACATCAATCATGAAACGGTTTCTGCGGCAGTTCTTTATTTACACAGATTTATTGCATCTACATACAAATGTTTGTATGTGATAAGAAATCAGTAGCAGTCCCTGTCGCAATGATCTGATGCGGCAGCAGCCAAGATGTCTTCTAAAAGGGAGTCACCACTGTGAAAGTCTTCTGTAACATGCTCCACATCACAATTTCTGAATGTTCCCCGAGCTGATAGTCTCGCAAGAAGTTCTGTCGTATCTACCAGCTCTGACTTTAAAGTGCATGTTGTCGGTGGTGCGGCTGGCTTTCGGATGTTCTCGGGGAGCTTCAACTTCCGTTGGAGGCACTCCGACACGCCCAGATCAAGCACTTCCTCCATGGCTGCCAAACGATCCACAGTGGAAGTATTGTCACAGCACTCCATGGGAGCCCCAGCTTCAGCCGAGTGATCTGGTTTGCCTGTTAAATCAGCAAGACATCCGGATCAAGATCAATTTTCGGGTGATAATTTCACTTTCGCATCCCTATGCAACACCTGGCTCAAGATGGACACTGCTCTGATGAACTGCAGAGAAAGTTTTACCACTATTACACAATAGCTGGATGTTTGTGAATTTATGCTTCACAGTGAAATTCGGCGAGTAGTTCCGGATACAAGTCGTAGATTTTCTCAGTCTACTCAGTGATTTCATATGCCAAGTGTTTATATGCCACATGCAAGCAGGAGAACCACCATGCTGCATCGATTTCGTGGTAACAACATACGACATGCATTTTGCTGGTAAAGAGAGGAGCCACTTCATATATTCATATGTTATATATGTTCATGCATGTTTATATGTCCATGCATATATATGCACTTGTGAGATTTTTTTTCTCCTATTGTATTGATTTTGAAAACAGTGAACATGTGCTTGATTGAGCAACTCCTGTTTTGGCATAACAGTGTGGTTAAATATTTAAAATAAAAACAAAAGTCATGCATTAATGAGACAGGACGTGCAAACACGGATACAAAAGAGGAGGCACCACAAACGCAGACCTTAACTTCTCTCTTATAATAAAAAAAAACAAACTTGACTTCCTGCGCAAGCAGGGACAAAAGATGGCATACAAGAAAGAGTGCAGGAACCTTTCTATCTTGCATCCATGTTTGCATGCCCTGTCTTAATACCTAGCCATTAGCTACGCTCCAGGTCGTCATCATTCTAACACACATGCATGCCTTTATGGTGCACCACTGCTACTTCATTATACGAATTATGTTTATGCAATCCTCTCACTCTCGCCTTGATAGGGAGACAAAAATGTTACCGTCTGAGGCATCCACTTCATCCTGGGTACGTCCCATTACACGGCTTTTCTCAGGCAACAAACACTGGTCGTGCAGCCTGGTCCACAGCTGACGCATAAAAGCCTGAGCATCTTTCCGGACTTCCTGGTCTGCATCGCAGGCCATCACTTTTTTCATAGACGTGCCGAAACCTGCGGTGTCAGCATCCTTGAGGATTTCCTTGACAGTGGAGTCAGAAACTGCACTCGACGCACCAAGACTTTCTCCCAGAAGTGTCTTCCAGATCGACAGACCGGCTAACTGGACTTCACAGTCCAAGTCCAAACAGAGCATGGTGGACGCACAGCGCTGCAAGGCACTTCGATGTCTGGAGCGCAGTCCAAGGCAGTCTCGAGTGAGCCAGGTGCGAAGAGTGGATGCTGCGGATCGTCGGGCAAACACGTCTGCATCGTCCACAACCATTGATGAAACGTCTTTTATGACATTTGCCTGTAGGAATATAGTGTTTGCTTTTATCATGTTCTCCCACAACCATTGATGAAACGTCTTTTATGACATTTGCCTGTAGGAATATAGTGTTTGCTTTTATCATGTTCTCCCAAGGGTGTAGCAATGTGCATATTCAGCATTGTTCTATTTACAAAAATTCAGAAATGACTTCAAAAACAGCTTGATTGAGTATCTAGTTTATTTTATTTTTATTTATCAAATACTCACAGCACCTTCATAGGCAATACTGTGGGGGGAATACACAAAGCACATAATACAAAGCAGAGGTTACATGGAGAAAACACGAAAACATGAAACATGATCACAATTAAGTTAGGACATCACAACATGGTTATGCCTATTCAATAACATCACGTAGCACCTGGACAAATCCTGCATTTGAACTTAGGCTAACAATGTGTGCTGGTAACCGATTCTAGGCTCTTATTGTATTGGGGAAAAAGGACTTGCTGTACATGGTACTTTTAAATATTTCTTTTACTTTTAAGCCGTGGTCCACTCTCTTAGACACGTAGTCAGGGTCATGTAAAAATTAAACCTTTAAAAGCTTCTCCAAAAAAATCCCAGATAGTGTTGAAGCCAGTTTCAAATGAAATCATGCAGTGTGTACAAATAAATCCTATGTGAGCCTCAAGTTTTGTCTCATGGTGTTCCTTGTGCATTTATCGAACACCACCATACCATGCCATAAACGACGATGTCTTTAAATCTCACCTCGTCAAGCGACAGACGGTTGCAAAAGTGAGTCCACAGCCATTCTCGAACAAACAGCTTTCCAATCGCAGCCACCGCTGATGCCCGCACCCCGCCATCACCGTTCCGCAAGTTGTCCCACACAAACCTGGCCACTCCATAGTGCTGGAGCCAATCAGCAAGACAGGACAGTGCAGCGGAACATGCTAGCAGATTCAGCCGATCTGTTAGCAATCATAATTGGGGATAGTGACGGGCATTCACCTTTTTCTCTTCAGTTGTGTATGCAGAAATCACAAGTGGCATACTATAGTGGAAAACAATTTGCAAATATTGAGTCTGATTAAAAGCAAGCTGGGGTGATATGACGATTTCATGAACAAAGAAACTCCACTTAATGCCTCAAAATTTGCACTGAATTCTGTAAGGGTACTATGTAATTTACGAAGCATTTAAACAAGTGAGGCAGACTAGTACACATTAAATGTTCAAGTAGAGGTGTGCAAGTATTTGAAATTGCTAATTAATTTTTTAAAATAGTGTTTACTGTTCGATTGGATTCACACTTGCCGAATACAGATACACTCAATGTCCAATTGGCCTTCAGATTTCAATATGCTTCCCCCCATCACAATCATGTTGTGGCAAAGCTGCCTTTCAAGCTCTGCTACGGTCGAAAATGTATTGAATGAAGAAAACTCTGGTTGAATGAAGAAAACCAGAGCCCCCACTTCTACCAGAGTGGGGGCTCAATTAATGCTGTTTTGAACCAAAAATTCGGGCAGGAAGTCTGAAAACCGTACTCCAAAAATTTTGAGCATCCATAAGGTGGCCAGGCTCCCTTCAAGGTGCTCAATGCAGTTTTTTCCCTGGTCATCTTCCACAACCTTGTTGCAAATAAACTCAATTGGATATTTAAAATGTTTTTACATATTGACGTTAATGAGGCAGATCTAGAACTGTGGAGTCGAAGAGTTCACCACAAAAGTTAAAAGAGAGGCTGAGGAAATAGTAGCGAATTGTCGGCAATACTTTGGTTGTACCAGATGATGTACATAGTAAGTACAATTTGGTCTCTGCAGCGCCTCATCCTTTATAAGGCAACCATGAGACGCTTCATCAATTTAGCCAGAATAAATGCTTTCATGATGTTATCTTATGAGAATATGCTCAGAAAACCTCTACAACTTTTTATCTGAAATTTCACTTTTAAGCATTCGAAAAATATTCGAGAAATTTTCAAAAAGTGTACGATTCAATATGCACTCACACTTGAATATTCAAATTCGTTTTGCACCCAAAATTTTGCTATTTGCACAGCTCTAGTTGGAAGCGTAGAAGCCCAACATGGTTAGTGTTTACATTAGGCGAGTGAATACAGTAGACCTTACACAAACTGTGCTTTTTCTCTCAAAATGACTTACTAGCGTTTTAGTGCAAGAAGCCATGAACCAAGACTAAACTTCCCACTATGCTTTATCCTTTTATAGCCATTAGTCTCAGAAGACATTCAACCTCTAGTATGACTAAATATTCTACCATATTTACTTGTGTAATGAATGCACTCGCCTCGCATAATAAATGCATCCCTCCCCAACTTCAGTCATCAATATTTCGATTTTTCCCCCCAACCCCCTTCAACCTACTCGGCTCGCTCCCCCCCCCCCCCTTTCGCCCATTGCCCCGTGCCTATTGCTTTTCCTTCTATCAGCACGTCCCCCATCTTATTTGTGCAACACAGGAGGTTCACCAGTGGTGTGAGTGTAGAGACAACCCAGCTGATAAGCACCCAGGGAGGGAAGGTCACCAAACTGCCCACCCCACCCGAGGTCACTCACTCCCCACGAGCCCCCCCCCCCCCCCGACCCCCTTTCTTTTTTAGCCTACTTTGTTTATTCCACTGTTGCAGTTAAACGATTGCGGAGAAAAGATAGCAGCAAAGTGTTTGTATGGTGTGAGCGGGGGGGGGGGGGAGGGGGGGGGAGGGGGACAGCTTGCAGAAGAAGATAGTGCCATCAACCCCCAAAGATGAGCAAAGTGCAACAAAGAAGCTGTTTCCAAACAGTGTACATGTATGTAAATAGTGAAAGGCTATGTGAACTAACTTTTTTTTTGCATTACCATATTTTTTCCTTCCCCTGAAAAAATGTTCATAAAATTCACCCCACGTAATAAACACACCCTTCAACCTTGCTCTGATTTTTCGAGAAAAAAGTGAGTTCATTACGTGAGTAAATACGGTAACCTATCGTACAGGCATTGATGCTTGATATGTCGGGTTTAACGTTCCAAAACCACCATATGAATATCAGAGACCTTGTAGTGGAGGGATCCAGAAATTTCGACCACCTGGGGTTCATTAACGTGCCCCCAAATCTGAGCACACGAGCCTACAACATTTCCGCCTCCATCGGAAATGCAGTCACCGCATATATCGTACAGGTGTGATTAAATGAAGTGGCATACCGGCATCATTCCCAATGCCACCGAATGAGTCAAGGGCAGCTTCCACGAACTGTGGCTCAGTCGACACAAGCTGACGCTGTAGGGATTCGCCAAAGGAGCAGAGGGCACCGCATGCCCTCCAGTCGAAATATTGGCTTGCACTTGAGAAGATGACGCACACGAATGTCAAGCATACCGCAAGGGCTTGCTTCAGTGCCTGCAAAACAGGCAGCAGTGTCAGGATGAAGCAAAGGGAAAAAATCAAGAGCACTCTTCCTAGGGGGAAAATGGCAGCACGTGATGCTTGACATGCATTTCTGACCTACTGCTTTTCTATCTTTCTTTCTTTCATCGAATTGTACAGTGCTCTCCCCGAACTTTTCCTTTTTCCCATACCAGAAAACGAACCTTCATCCTTCCTAGCAGCACAATGCTTCAGTGGCTACAGGTAATAATGATGGCCACATGTTTACAAGCAAGAAACAATGAAACATAGCAATGTGAAATGATGAATGACCTCGATCAAAGACGAGATTGCCAAATCTGAAACGGTTGATTGCCAATGCAGCTACGACTGAGAAAGCATAAATTATTGGAGAATGAGGCACACAAATATGCATGTGTCTGCACGCCTTAAAGGGCAACGTTTCTTTGCACTCACAGAACCCGGCTTTTTTACGGTCACACTTACAAAACTACTTACACCTGTGAGGCAAGAAAGGTGTGACTTGAAAACTGTTTCAAAATAAAGCGGGGTCTCCCCTTAACACATAACAGAAAATGATGCAATGCTATGGTATACTTACATGAGCTGACAAATTCGGATCACGAAGGAATGGTGCCAGGTTATCCAGATAACTTCTTAATTTCGTTGCATCTGCTTGCACAAGATCTGTTGATAAGATAACAGCTGGCTGAAGAATGTAAAAAATTTAACACACACACACTGGGAAATCTGAGTGAGTTATAAACACCAAAAGCAACAGATCCGAAAGTACCCCTCATTAAGACTATTCAGCAGCAGCAATACTTGTACAGCATCAGTGCTTAAAGGGAACCTGAAACGGTTTTGACAATTTTGTACAAACACATTGGGCCGGTAGACCAAGTACCAACGGCCATTTACAAACCAATTTGAGGTCTCTGCGTAAACTGTGTAATTTACTGCAATGCTTTAAAGCTGCAAATTACTGCATATCGCTGCGACTCGGCCAAACGCGTTTTCAACCGCCCATTCACAGAGCGACATGTTCTGCCCACCTGACGTTACCGTGACTGCTGATACAATTGGCTGTGGAGCACAGCACAGGCCCCGTGAAGGTAGAGCTTAGCCCCGAGCGCTCGAAAAAAAGAAGCTGAGGTAGATAAAGGTGAAAGACGGAGCAGAGGAGAAATATTTACTTATTACTCGTAGCTCCATTAAAAAGGCGTGTTTTCATTGAAATATGGTTCCAATGATTTGCTCCAGTTGTGGTCGAATAAAAAACAGTGTAAAAAAAACGTTTCAGGGACCGTACCAAAAGCGGATGTGAAATGAAACACTTACCAATTTTTTCCACAGTAAATGCAAGGCACTCGAGGGCAACGGAAAGCAGCCGCGTCACCTTGACAGCCGAGGAATTCGTTAAGAACTGCATTATCTTGTTGGCCACCATTTCATGAGTTGCCTAAAATAATTAGACGAAATTAAGTGAAAATGAAGACATGGCACCTGAAAGCTTTTTAAAATTCCTTTATCAATTTCAATAAAGCTTGTTGAGTTTATGTATATTTATGAGTCGATTTCAATTCTGCAATTACTTTTCTGGTAACGTGTATTGCAGTCTTTAAATTCCAGGTGCCATTTTGGGAGCTATAGTTTGCCTGAATTCATAGAGGTACAAAGTAAATGTGCTAGTCAGATTGACCTGGAATGAGTACAAAGTGCAATAAAACAAAAATGATCATTTTAAGCACATTTCAACAAAAGTTATGGTATGTTGAATATTTGTGACTGAAATCACAGCTTGACGTTGACTGATTGGCGATGGTTCAAGATACCATAACTCCTGCTCAAATAGAGTTGTAACATCCATTTTTGTTTTCTTGAACTCTGTACTCATTCCAGGTCATTTTGATGTGCTTATTCACTTCGTGACTCCCTCAGTTTAGACAAACTATAGCTCCCAAAAAGCATGTGGAATGTATATTTTAAAATCTATGTACTATAATAGAAAAATAGTCGCATACTTGAAACCTGCATACAAATATACATAAGCTCTACAAGCCTCATCTCTATCGATGAAGAATTAAAACAAAATTTAAGACCCGTGATACCCAACCCCCTTTATTAATTCTGAAAGCAGGTGTTGCAAGGAACAAAAAGTTTGGGTATAGCTGAAAGAGGTCAATGAATCACTTGGTGAGAAAACACATTGTGTGCCAAGCAGAAACTGTGGTGAACATGTCGGCTAACTTTTGCACTTGTGCCCGGCAAGAAGAGTTCAAAAGTGGAGTGAAATGTTGCCATTTTCTCAGGTGCCCTCCTTTCATGCTGAGGCCCATGCTCACTCTCTGCAGATATGCTGTTTCACATCAAACAGCGCACAATTGGCCTACATAAATTAATAGAGGCGCGCTTCTTGCCACGGGGTGTCGCCGTGCGCCGAGCTCCATGGTGCGCTACGCAGTGAGCCACATCCCTGCACAGAAAGCTCAATGAAAGAGAGCGATCACATTCCATATCGCACCCCCAAGGCGATGAGCAGGCTTGTACAAATACTAGTTATTCTTGAGTTCGAAGTAAATTGGAATAGCAGATATCACATATTATAAAGAAAAATGAGCATATTTGTCATGACCTGACTAATCTGCACAGTATGATTTTTTTTTTTTAATTTAGACAAGCCATGAGCAAACGTCATTCTTTCTGGTCTGAACTGAAGTGAAAGCAGCTTTGAATAGTAGCAGGATTTGACCTTTGGTAGAACGCAGGTGACAACCAGTAAAGTATGCTACATTTTAAGATTTACTATACTTGGTGCATATAAACCAGTATAACACGCTACTAACCTTAAAAAAATTATGAATCAATGCATGGGCAATATGATCATTTAAGCTTGCAATGAGAGTTCACAGCAGTGCGGAATTTTCCTAGTAAGGTCTATTTTCGGTAGAGCACTCCTCCACTGCAGTGCAATTGCCTTTACAAAGAGGTTACATTTGGTTTATACTGGGTGATTCCACGTAAGATCGAACAAAGCATGCCCGGTCAGCCTCCTAATTTTGTCTCAACATTTTATACACTGTTGCCTGATGAATGGAAACAAGAGATCTGCAATTGGCTTTGTTGGAAAAATTTTTCGGTACAGTAAATCAATAATGATGAAGAAGTGGAGTGCCCCACTCACCTGCACTGCTGTATTTTTTCAACTTTGAAAATGAATTACACAATTGATCGATTGAATAATATGTGGGGTTTAACATCCCAAACCACTATATGATTATGAGAGACGCCGTACTGGAGGGCTCCAGAAATTTCGGCCACCTGGGGTTCTTTAATAAGCACCCAAATATGAGCACACATGAATTACACAAAATATATTGAAGCTATGAACCTCATACATTTTTACTAAATATATGCATGTTTTCGCTTGTGTTCAGTCAGTTGTCGCTTCTCTGAGTTGAGCAGATATTTTTATAAAATATCTCAAGATCGACCAAGAAAAAGCTTTTTTCTTCATATTTTGCAGGTATTTGTTTAAAAAAATGGTGTGCTACAGAGTGGCTAAAATTCCGCATTATGTTTCCAGCATGCTTATCCATAAAACTGTCAAAACTTAACCCCTTAACTGCTTTGGATGAGCAGAGCTCATCCTAGCGAAATAGGTACTTTGCTCTAGCATTATGGCGGAGAAGCACGCACTTACGGCTTACATTGCATGTCATCCACTAGATGGCAGCATTCTCTCGAGCCTTAAGTTTTTTCATGTGGCAGGAGCATGGTTTTTGTATGAAAACACGGCATGCGGTGGTGGGGACCCATGCGAAGCGGGCCCATGAACACGAAAAAAATGCTATTTTCATCATCTTCTTTCAGTGATGATGTTTAGAGTACAGATGTATATTTATCTTGAGCTCGAAAGTGAAGACAGAGATCACGGTGAATCGAGTAGCCGCTCCGGTGACGGCTCGGGCGCGAACATTGCGTGTGCCCGCCAGTGAAGCCCGCGTGCCCTCGTTATTCCGCGTTTCTAAATTTTCCACACAGTCCCAAAGCTTCCTGAGGGAAATACCGCAAGGGTGCTTAGCCTACACAAGTGAAGAAAGATGTGGCATCTATAACTGTTTAGTTTATAAGGTTTTTAAATTTTATTAGCGGCAGGTAATACAACAATACACAGGTTTCCTGTGTATTGTTCAGAAATAAACTTTATTTCGTCGATTTGACTAAGTATGTGATGAAATTAATTTTTCAACATCGACTAGCTACTTTTTAGAACCAGATTCAAAATTAGCAATAATAAAATTGGCACTTTCTGATTAAAAAATTTTCAAAATAAATGAGCAGTTCATAGGTTAATAACACTCCTTAATAAAAAGATACTATCACGCTAACTGCAGGAAGACAGCATGCAATAAAAAATTCTGATGACAATTAAAAAAAAACTATTTTTGATATTTGCTAAGCTTTCGCCATTTATTCTCTTGCACATCAGCTTTCATAATCAATAAAGACATGTTGCATAATGAGGTTTAACTTGCAGTTATGGCCCGTCGAATAACGCGCTTGCGCAAGAATAGGCACTTGTAGATGACCCTTCCTGCTCTCTAAGTGTGTGGAATGCAGGCCTATACTTTAGGTTTTTAAAAAGCAAGCAGCACCGAAATAGCTGTCAGCTGCCCTGAGGATGCCAATTTCAAAGTTAATCGGTCACGGGAGCAGCCATGAGTGTGGCCTTACCGAGCAAGCAAGCGTGCTCTGTCTGGTGTGTTCCAGGGTAAAGAGGGCTCGTTTTTAGTCCTCAGATTGCGATACAGCCGGGGTTGCTACAAAACTGTTGACTATTGGGCGAGTTGGTATTTTGACATAGAAACCATCGTGAGTTGCGCAACAAAAGCACCAGTTCTTTCTTGTGTGTCGTGGTTTCGTTGCGCTCTCACGATGGTATCTAAGCTGGGGGTAACTTCAAAGCATGTGCATTGGAGCGTCAATTTTTTTTTGCCTTTCACTTGCATCACAGCCACACGTTGTTAGCAGAGTGAAGACAGGAATGCAGACGTAGCAGACATTGTTTGCGCATTTTGTGTGCTCGAAGTAAACACAAACATAAGCACGTCTACAATACAAACTTGTATATTTAAACAAAAGCGCTCCAAGGTGACTGACGCAACTTGGGCATGGCTGTTGGGATTCCTACGCATGTGCTTGGTGCGCAAAAAGAGGCGATCGGCCAAGGTCACAAATTTGCTGGTTGTAGCTCAAGTTCCCGGTCACATTAAGTGCCCACACAAGAAACGCTTCAAGGTGTTGACATGAAACTTAGATAGCCGGATGGGCATGCCTATCTCAGATGATGGCAGCCAACGACTTGTACTGGTTATGCGCACAGTCCGCTGCTCACACTTCATTTGACTCCAACATTGCTCACGCTTTACTCTGCTGCTGTGCGTTTCCTAGTGCCAAAGCACAGCTCAGAGCGATGTTATTGTGCAGACTACCATTCCAAACACAAGAAGCTCATTGCAAGGAAACTAACTTTTCGTGGAGTTATATATACATCACACCTTGATGCTGCAGTACCTCAAGGAAGCCCATGCATACAACACTGATTTATAATCATTAACTACCATGTTTATTACTGCTTTTTTGCAGCAGCCAAGACATAATTACTCAATACAACATCATGCCGAATCGAAAAGCTACACTCTATCACAAATGTTATGCAATCTTCAAACCTGCATGGTGTGCTCAGTCTTTCGCAAGGGCCTTATTCGATGGGCCCTCTACGCACTGGAACACACCGAATTGTGCGCGCTTGCTTGCTCGGTAATTCCACACTCCATAACCAGTTCCGTTACTAAATCATTTCGAAATTGGCGTCCTCAGTGCAGTCGACATCTACTTCAGTGCTGCTGGCCTTTTAAAAACCTGAAGTACATAGGCCTGCATTCCAAACACTTAGCGAGCAGGAAGTCCAATTTGCAATTGCCTATCCTTGTGCAAGGTCATTATTAGCAGATGTAATTGCAAGTGAAATCACATTATGCGACATGTTTTTACTAAATGCGAAAGCTGATGTGCATAAGTATAAAAAGTTCAAAAAATATCAAAATTGTTTTTTTTAATCATCAGAATTTCTTTTGTACGCTGTTTTCTTGAAGGTAGCACAATGGTATCTCTTTATTAAAAAGTGTTATTAATATAGGCTTTGGCAGTTTTATGGATAAGCATGCTGAGAATGTAGTGCAGAATTTGGGTCGTACACCTTTTTGATATAAGGACCTACAAATTAAACCAAATGTTTTCCAGGCCGATTTTAAGATTCTTTTTAAAAATATCTTCACTGCACAGAAAAGCTATAAATAACTGAACACAAGCAAAAATATACATATGTTTAGCTAAACAAATTTGAGGTACATAGCTTTAATATATTTCTTTAATATATTTTATGCTGTATATCATCACCAAAAATGAAAAAACAGCAGAACAGGTAAGCGTGGCACTCCACCTTCTCGTCCTTATTGATTTACTTTGCATTGAGAGAATTTTTATTAGCAAAATGAATTGCCGATCTATTCGTTTCACTTATCAGGTAACAATATATAAAATTTTTAAGTAAACTTAATTGGCTGACCGGCCATGCGTCGCTCAATCTTAGAATCACGCTACTATATGTTGATTCATTCATTTCGAATACTTTGATATTTCGCATACTTTAAATTCGAATCAAAACTATTTCGACTAGAGTAATATTCATTTGGATAATGAACTAGAATATTCGCACAAGTCTAGACGCTCACTAAAATAACTTCTTTACCCCAAGCCATCTATCCCTGAGTAACTTCCAACACACTTGTTGGAACTTACACAGTTACAACAATCATATGGTGGTTTTGAGTTGTAAAACCCCACATATCAATCAATTAGGGTGTTGAATTTTTTGCAGATGATGAAAGCCTTGTACTATGATTTTTTAGTGTATAAAATGGTTCAAGTTAGAAAAAACATTATTTAAAAACTTGGGAGTGATTTCCGATGTCAGTATCACTCATAACTGCGTAATGCTCAATAGTATTTCAGAGCTTGGTATTCCTTGAAACATGAGGCTGCGCAAAGCGCCTTAACGCAGTCCACATACATTAAACGCTTGTCCGTTCTGTTCTTGTATTTTGGCAAACACGCACAACATCTTCTTTGCGTGTGCAGCCTTTGACAGAATAAACCCACTAACTAGAATAACTCCTCAGAGTCTGCGATAAACAAGCTAAAAGCAGCGCAAGTAAAAATAGAAATCAACTTCTACCGCCCCTGCAATATAAAATGCTGATAAATATAAAAATCAAGCTTTGCGCACCTTCAATGTGATAACACAGCGAAACAGATAGCACGAAAGAGGCATTGCCTATCAACATTGCCGCCGAACGCTCCATGCACTGATGCTCGAAATCAGTTCTGTTTATCTCACCACGAAGGTAGCAGCACCTCCCAGTAAGCATTCACTGTCATTGTGGCACAAAATTTTAAGCGGAGGTTTGAAAATAACCGTACAGCCAAGATAATGATGGTAATAAAACCGCCACCATGCATGTAAAGCAAGAACACTCAAAAAGTTAAAGGGAGATTATGCTGTTTGCTTAAAGAAAAAAAATAAAATGAAAGGCATCTTGTTTAGACATACCAAGTGTGCAAAGTGCGGCAGTGCTCTCTTCAGTTCACAAACAGCCGCGGACTGCAGCGCCCTCACTTTTGACTTGTTTCCAAACTCGGACTCTGTTGTGGCTATTGGACTTGTGAGGGTTTCTGCAATCTTCCGTTCGATTTCCACATTTGCGCATAAATGAGCACTGGTTCAAAAGGGGAAGCAAAACTAAATCACTGATGTCATGGTAGAATTGCTGAAGTTGCTTGAAAAACCATGCACTGCTATTAGAACAATGACTCTGTGCTTTTTTCGCTGAAACACTTCACTAAACAGTGTATACAGTCGAAACCCTCAATAACGAAACCCCGCGAGTACTAAATCTCCGCGGCAACGAAGTATTTCCGGATCCCCGGCGAACGTTCATAGAAGCCCATGTATTACGTATCTCGTGGCAACGAAATGTTTTTGGACAGCGATCCCGCAATAACGAATTTTCTGGCACGGTGCGTGCCTTATTTTACCCTCCCGCCAAAAGTTAACTGTCGAAAATATGCTCGTATGCGTATATAGAGTGCCTCTATCCCTGACCAAAGGCTGGGGGAACTTCGAGCCGTCGACATCGACATCCCAGATGAACTCACCGTTGATGCATTCGTTGGCGCTGATGACGATGTAGTCGTGTACGAGGAAGTGGCCAATGAGGCCATTATCGAAAGCGTGCGTGAAGCTAACGACACCGAGGACGAAGAAGAGATGCATGCGGAGAAACCCAACCCGCGGGTTGTCTTGGATGCGCTGGACACCTTTTGCTCCTTCTTTGGCGCACATGATGACAACATAGCAATGGACCACTTTTTCCAGTGCAAAGGGAGAGCTTTGAAGTTTTTGCATGGCAAGGGTGGGCAAAGTAAGTTGACCGACTTCTGGCAATAAATTCTCGTTCTGCTGGCAGTATCAATGTTTTTATATCTCACACTCGCGGCAACGAGATTCTCGCGAAAACGAAATTTTTCAGTTTCCCCAGCGATTTTGTTATTGCGGGTTTCGACTTAAAACGTTCCTAACGTGTAAAAAGGCTGCTGTCAATATGTGAGACAACTATTATCTGACTGCATGGAGCAGAAAACTGAATATATTACACAAGTGAGCTTTTATTTAAAAGCATCGCAAATGTCATGTATATGCCATCACAGGTATTATAATCCAACGAAAAGCCTTACATCACCATTATGACAACTTCAGCTCTTGTATTCGCTTCTCTACAATTTCTCCCTTTCATTTTCCTGTTGTTGTTTTTTTCCCTTTTTGTAGTACTATGCACCATTGTTTCTTGCTATTTACTATTTGGCTTTCTTGTTCTTCTTCCTCCCCCCCCCCCCCCCCCCCAGTTTCTGTACAGCAAAAGTCTGCCACTATTGCGACCTACAGTTGTTTGCTGTGGGCACTTTCATAAACGAAGGACAGCAAGTGATGATATGTGAAGGCAATAGATCATTAGCCACATACTTACACACCCCCCAGGTTTTTCCATAAATTATATGTTCGACACATGGAGATATTGGATCTGCAAGGTGCATTTTTTTTTGCTTCATTACAGGAGCATTTGTTAGAAATTAAAACTTAACTTTATTAAGGTGAGTCCCAGTCTATTAATTAATGTAACTTGAATCAATCCATCTAGAACTGAGCACTATGGTATCAACAGCGCTATTGATATGTAAAAAAAAAATATCTTAACAACACACCATTGCATAATTCAAGCTCAGTTAAAATTCTTGGCATTTTTGCAATCAAGTCACTTAGCAAATGTGTTAACTTGTATAGAGTAGACAGATTTCAACAACAAAAATAATATTGCAGATAAAAGAACTTGCCTTTCTGCAATAAAGCTGGCTGCAAACTTGATGCTGACAAGTCTGTCGCTGCTGAGTGAATTCATTACTTCTTCAAAAAAGCTGTCATCCCTGGTGGATAGGAAAAAGGACCGTTATAAATGTTTTGACGCGAACACATGACTGTCAATCACTGCACGTGATTCCTTTATCTGGAGTATGCAAAGGTAACTACATATTAATACTGTCTCAGTATGGGTAATAAGAAATATGACATGTAATTAATGTAGCCGGATAGCAAACGTGGCTATCAAGGGCTTAATCACTTTTTGAAAAATCTACAAACACTTTACTGCTTTTTCTGAATCTATTGCATGCAGTAGGGTATTTAAAACTTGGTGTCAAAAACAACCGAAAATCCACCATGTTCCCACTCACGATATGGTCCCTAGCTAATGCAACAAGTGGGCACAACTACTATGTGGTGAGTGAGCCTGAAAAATATTCGCCAATTTCATGAATAGTGCATAGTCTTAGAGGTCAGCTTCTGCATCATGTAAGCATTAGAGCTGTGTTATGCTGGCGACATGAATGTCTGAACCATAAATCATGGTCGACATGTTCAAAAGAAATCAGGAAGGAGAAACGCTCAAGGCAAGCCACTGATATTTGATGAATCTGAAAAGTTTTTGAAGCAGGAGGGTCACGGGCAACAGAATCCACTATTAAGTCATATGACAAAAGATAAGTGTTGCAAGGCCCCTTTAAGCAATGATAACCTAAGAGAGCACCGACAAAATACTTACTTTAAAGGCGAGATAATGAGTGAGTTAGGTTTATATAAAAACACAGAAAACATCTACGAAACATGAAGAGCAAAGACAGCCTAGAAACAAATTTAAAATAAATTTCAAAGTGCATGCTGTGTGAATGAGCAAGATGACCTCGTGATGCCAATATCGACGCAGTGTCAGCATAGACAAACCTATGTCATGAATTTGTATACCGTATATTATGGGATGGCAGCGAGGATCCACCCCCGCCTGATCTCCTGACCCCTGCCTCGTCTGAGGCGTGGGAAAGTGTACTCCGTAATACAAGCCTAGAAGTACAGCTCCGGGCCATACAGCAGGCCGAGAAAGTGACGGCCCGGTCCTCTGTGATTTTTTTTTTTTTCCCTTAAATAAAGTTGTTTCTCTCTATGGCTGGTCAGTACAGAGTGCAATCGTGTGCACCCTCGTGTGAGGCGTCCACATCACAGTTTTGCGTATTCATGTGGCCAGCTGTATTTAACCAACTACTTAAACTGCTCCTGTTTCGCTCGGTGCTTTTCGAAACTAAAACTGTGACCAAGCACTCTAAAACGAACTTCCAAAATAAATAACTGTTGTGCACTCATGCAAATAAGGTTTCCAGCCGTGATGCGCAGTACATAACCTACCTATTATAGGAAAAAAAAAGACATGGTGCAAAGTTTTTGTGTCAATGCTCTTTTAAACAACTGCACAAAGTGGACACACCAAGTCAGAACTGGTCATAAAGTTCAAAGTAACAAGAAGTTCTTTTTACGCACTGCATAGTAGATGTGAGCTTGGCGAGAACGTCAGCAGCTGCACCGGATGCTTCAGAGGACGACATCCAGGCAACACAGCAGCCAAGGAGGCGCTGGTGGACATCAGATTCAGAGGAAAGCTTTTTTCCGAATTCGGCATCCTTTTCAAGCAAGGAACGAATGATGTGCAGACATCTGAAAATAAATATTGGAATGTGTAGAAACCTCTATTCAAGAACTAAGCCAGTGTAGGTAGAACGTTATGAACATTGCTATTTACTGAAAAGCGTAAATAAACAGGACGAAACAAAGGCATGTGGGACAGATAATCAATCACTCAAAGAACTAATCGAGGCATTTCATATCCTAGAAGCATGAGACCATATGTGTGAGCCAACCATCAGTGCACCTGCTTGACAACGAAATAACCCCTTCTACTATTTGTTGATAACGTGCAACTGTTGCAATTGATACCCATGGTGTTAGTTCATTTTTTGCTGTTGGTAATCCTTTTACTGACTGTTGACTGACTTCACAGGTGCACCCACATTTCAGCATGAGAACCAGCGCTAGATTTTCTACGGAAATGGAGCGCCACCCTGCTGAGTAAGGTCGGAAACATTAGGCGTATGAACAAATGCCACCGTGCAGAAGATCGGACAAGGAAAAAGAAGCTTCGAGACCAGCGCTAGCGCATTGTATTCACAAATGCCGAAAACACAGAAAGTTTTATTAACAGGAAAAAATAGTCCAGAGCATGTGTAATTCACTCCCTCTGGTGTCGATTTCAAGCAATGCGCATGGGTTGGTGTTCTGCAAAATATCACAAGCATTTTAATTAAGACTTGCCTTGAAAATGGTCAAGAAAGCACATGATAACTTAGGTTGCATAAGCATCGCGTCGTAACACACCATATTTCTTCGATTGTAACACGAGCACGATTGTAACGCGAGGGGTGATATTTCATTAGGTTATGAAAAAAAAAAATAGAATTTCGGTACTCGGTATGAGAGGGTTGATTTTAGAAGCGAAAATCTGAGAAAAAAAAAAACTCGCGTCACATTCAAGTAAATGCGGTATCATATCTGACTGTCATGTGCACAGATCCAGTCAGTCAGGTTAGAAGATGACTCCTAGAAAAACAGTGATAATCTACGCATGTTGCACTACTGACCACACACTGCATGTCAACTACAGAACCACCACAAAGCCAATTACCACCAGGTTCTTCAAAGGAATTTTTTAAAATATCAGGCCTAAATAACGGCCAATCGCATGCTTGAGAACGGTCTGCAGACGACAGTGAGTCGACTTCGTTAAAGCACGACTGCTGCGACATGTTTGCATTTCCGGTAACACCACTAATCTCCGCTTTACACTGGCCTTTAGTGGGAAGGTTGCCTTAGACATACATTGCACGACTCGCTGTCAGCTTCAAAAACTTATTTTAAAGACTGCGGTAAGAGCATTTTGTGGGTTCATGCTAGCCACTGAACACACCGTAAAGGAAAGCGTGTAGTGAAACAGCTTCTTTAATATATAGTGCAAGAGCTACGACTACTAACTACGTAAATGATATGTTCTCAATCAAAACACCTGTAACTGGGCCGAATGTTAACTCAGTGCTGCCTGAGAAACTACTATTTTTACATCAATGCGGGTGCATAATGAGTAACCTGCACACAACGTCGAGCTTCGCAAGTGCTATTTGAACACACTTACCTGCAAGTTTACTTTCTTTCAGTATTCACAATGCAACTTTACCAATTGAATTTAGCACTGACAGGCATGAAATTAAGAGCCCAAGCACCAGAGCAGAGCGTTTCGTAAAAAAAATATGCTGCCACAATTGGGGAATCGTTGGTAGTGAGCCATGGCAACAAAGAAATTTGTTTACATTTTTGGATACTACTGCTATATTCTTCCAAGAGTACAGCAGAATGACTACTGTTGATGAATAGCTGGTCATAGCAACTCTTTACAAGGGTCGTGTGGTCTTTCTTACCCGCAATCAGGCATGAACTGGTTCGAATTTGTTGATCCTTACTGCCTCCTGTATGCAAGCTGCAGAAGAAAGCCAATCACTGTGGAGTAATGTGATCCAAATCTAGCTTAAAACGTTAGTGACACAAAAATTTTCTGTTGCTAGCTTCATGTAAAAGGTCAAGCTCTTGAGAGCCTATAAAATGCACTGTTAGCGTGAGTGTGACTTCAAAAAATTAACTATATGTTCTTAAAAGCTAGCTCTGGTTTTTTCTCAACTCCATGACATGCTATGAGCTTCTCCTCGCATGCTCGCTCAATACCTCGTGACAATTTTACAATTGCTCCGCTGCGTGGCTTTGTTTTTGATGCACAAGCAGCAATTCTGCATGTTTGGTGTCTGATGTCATCACAACTACGCATGGTGGTGCGTGAAGTAACCAGAATTGATACTGTAGCCTGGCGTCATGCTAGCATCAATATCAGTAGATGTGCTACACAAAAATTGACTATAATGTCAAAATAAATTACCTCATCGGCATTTCCCGAGTTTGAAACTTGCTGAGAGCCGTCTCCGTAGAAAGGAAAATTGTATAATAGAGTAAAGCCAGGTTAGAAAATCATTATCTGTGCCCCTTTAATCCAAATCAGCAGCACAGCACTGTGTGACAATGATGCACGAAACACCATTATAAATGGGCATAAGTGTTGTGCTTGCCTTTTACGGTGTCTCGGCGGTAGCTCCTCAGTCAGAGTCCTGTTTACAAAGGCAGTAACTTCACTCCCATTGCTTTTGCTGAAGTCCGACTCGAGGAACGCAACAAAATATGCCTCTGCCTTTCCCTGGACAAAGACACTGGCTTCCTGAAGGCACTGGAATACCTTTGACGAGACACCTAGAATGTAACGAGATTAATTTTTTTAGGCATCATTGTTATCATCAGCCTGACTTTCCCACTGCAGGACAAGACTTTCCCACTGCAGAACAAAGGCCTCTTCCATGATCTGCTAATCAAGCGAGTCCTGTGCTAGCTGCGGACACCTTATCACTGTAAACTTCTTAATCTCATCTATCTTTCTGTCTCCCTCTCAGGCATTTCTTGGAATCTAGTCCGCTACTCTTATATTGAGCAGTTATCTTGCCTTCTCACTACATGCAGTGCTCGTGCCCATTTCATCATGTGGATTCGGCAAAACACCACTTTGCTTCCATTCTGCTCACTTCTCACCCCTTTGTGTTACACTTTTCTTTTTCTTTTTTCCGTTTTCATGGCTCACTGCATTTTCCTCAACTTGGGTAGAAAGACAATTCAAAGCAGTGATTGCACTGCTGAACGTCTACAATTACTTGACGAAATAAAGGAAAATGGCCACTTTAGCACATGTAAGTGCATGATTCAAAGGCTTTCCCTGAACCAGGGTCATGTAAATTAGACGTATTTTCATAATACATGGTCAAGTTATTGCTACAACCTCATTTCAATGCTATTCCTTTTTTACACATAGTAAACAGTTCAAGTAGTATTCTGCTTACGTTGTCACGATGTTTGACTGGCCACAAACAGTGAGATGCTCCATATTTCACCAACACTGCTATCACTGAACCGACGCTGAACAAAGACAATGTTGTTTGTATAAGAGCAGGCAGCCAACATTAGCCCAAGATGTGCCTCATAAACATATTGTGGGTTTAGGCATGCAAAGCCCCACAAGTATATTAGATCAATTAGTCAAGATTAAACTGCACAGTAGGTATGATAGTTCAATTTGGTCAGCAGTCACAATCATCACTCGCTGCCATCATCTAACAAGGCAGACATTCAGAAGAGGTCAGAGGTTTGAAGAGATGAATGTTCTTGAACACGGTGTGATGCTGGAGCCAATGTTCTGACATGTGGGCTTGTCTTCTTTACCAGCACAGCAGATTCAAGGTTTTTCCATCAGAAGCAGACAACACTACTTGTTAAAACATTACTCTCTTTCCACCTCGCAATGACAGAGACTAATTGCATTAATTTACGTATTTCATAATATCTATAGTGCCAACCACACAACACTGCCTCTTGTACAATCATTTTGCACTTTGTGTAACTGGAATATCCCACTACCATAAAATCTTGAGCAAAGCACCCCTGCCCAAGCAAGTGCCCCCTTTCCCTTTTGGGCGATTGAATATATTTGCCAATGACTAAAAAGCGCCCCTCCCCCCCCCCCCCTTTTTTTTTCCCAACCTGTTCGCTGCTGCGCAGTTCCATAGCAGCGGTTCTCAGGAAACGAAGCTCTCAGAGCTTTTTAGATATGTGTGATACCTCAGGGTTGCATTTGGAGTGGGCACAAATTGTTGCAAGACTTGAAGAATGTCTTTCACCCCTTGTCATGACACACGAAGTTTCACACAAGAATTTCCTGCAGTTAAGTAAAAACTGTAAATGCAAGTGTATCCAATAAGGTGTTTCATTAGAAGCACAGGTGCACATTCTTCTTCGAGCATCTTTAATTTTGGCCCGTGATCGAGCAAGAGCCCCACTCCAAATCTTGCCAATTATCTTTTGCTGTAGGGGTGGTGCTCGCTCGGGATTTCATGGACAGCTTCCAATGCATTTTAAGTAGAACCGCTGCATTAAGTTTATCTGCTTTGTAGCGGCCTATTATTCAGCAGACTGGCGTTCCGGAGCACATCATTACCACTTGTAATGCAACCAATTTTAGGGTGGGGGTAATGGCTACCTTCTCTAATTACTGGCACATGATTAACTATGTCACAAAGATGCTACTACTTTTCAGTGTTCAATACTAACAGTGAATAAACATTCCATAACAAGGTTTTACATGCTCTTGAAATTACCTTTACTTATGTAATCCCACCTTCTAATGTAGGAGCCTATAAAACAATTTGAACAATAGCAATAAAACGTGGGCTCCAGCAACACCTGCTGTTCAAAAATGTTTTTTATTCATGTGCCCTGCTAAAGAACGAAATATGCCCAGAAATGCATTGCCTTAAAATAAATAAATGGATAAATTTGACTGACATAAGTTCCCACTTAATACCGGCGTTGCTAAGGCCAGGCGAATCGAGTCACATACCATGCTCAATACACCAGGCTCGACCAGACTGGTGACTGAGAAACGATGTCACGGTTTCCAGATACGCCACCTGCTCACGGGCACTGGCGTTGTCACTAAACTTGTCCAGGGCCTTCAGCACGCAACTGTCGTCAAGAAGTGATGTGAACATTGTTTCAAGCTTTCCGAAGACGGCAATGAGCCGAAGTGCGAAGCAAAGGGATTCGGATGTTCTAGGCACTGCAAGTGCCTTTTCCAACTTGAGTAAGACATCGCAGCCTTTCCACAGCTCCGTGCCGAATTCTGAAATTTACATAAATCATTTAGCAACAGTGCTCTAGACTTTACGAAAGGGATCAAAGACAACCACTCATCCGTAAAATGAAGCTTCAAAAAAAAAAAAATCATATAGTCTGTCCCAGTGAATCAGTGGCCACGGTGCTTAATTCCTGACCTCAAAGTCACGGGTGCAATCCAATATGACACATATGGCACATGTCCATGTACTTTGGGATAAAAGGGCACATTAAAGAACACTAGATGGTCAAAATTTCCGGAGCTCTCCACTACAGCATCTCTCATATTCATGTTGTAGTTTTGGGACACAAAACCCCAAATATTGTTATTAAGGAAATCTATTCGGGTTCCTTGCAAAGGAAAGCTTCTTAGATTTAGAAAAATAGGTTGCGGCACAGAGATCGAACCCAGGACTAACGCCTTTCAAGGGCAGTCACTCTACCTAACCAGGAAACTAGGAACTGGCAGTGCGAATTAGTCAACAACTTAACCACTTACCCTCGGGCAGCCAAGCAAGGTTTGAGTGTTTATCCTCAAGACTGTTGCGCATAATCTGGCAGATTGGCCAGGAAAGCATATCACAACCTTTCAATGATAACTACAGTAGTGTTTATCATTACAGTAATGAAAATCTATAAAATTACAGAGAGAAAGAAAAAAGAGCATAACGGCTCTTATAAAGAAACTTTGAAAGCTCGAGCAGACCTAGAAGTTGTGTTTACATAACCCCAACGAAGTGTAACGTATGTGTTACATTTTAACACGTTTTAAAAATTACTTCAAGAGTATTTATTAAAGCAAACATTAATGCGGGATGCATTGAGTGGCTTGAATAACACTACCACCCGCATCAATACGTCTCTGTGATAACGTCCCAAAAACGGTGGCTCTGAAGTGTGGTAGAGTTTTCGCAGTTAAACATACCTAAGAAAAAGGAATAACTAGAATTCTTCTTTTGAGTAAGGACTATCTGCAACATGATAAGGAATATACGTGAGTCACACGAAAGACGGTGCTTCACTTTAGTGCGTTTCTCAGCGGAGCAGCACGAACCAATCGTGAACTTATAGTGAATAAATAATATAGGTTTGGATGTGACAGTAGACTGCGTAAATGCACAGCTCGCGCACACAAGATGCTTCTTATTATGTTTCCACTAAAGGTTAAAATATACTTTCTTTTGACCAGCTATTTATGGTGGGAATGGGCTATATTCACTGGGAAACAAACATCACACGCGTTGCAGCGCACTACACAAAATAATAAAAAGCTGATCGCACCCAAGTCCTGTCGCACGCTTGCATCGAGGAAAGTCACAAGTTTCTCAACCAACGTATCGTCGACGTCATCCTTCAGCTGTCGAAACAGTAACAAATCGAAGACGGCATTCCATTTTTCCAGTTTCTCCGCGGGCACTGGCATGATCGTGAACACGAAGAGCGAACAGGTTTTCGTTTTATGAAAAGCTACACTTTGTTCGCATGGTTCATCTTCAAATGCCGCTAGACGACCGCCATTAACCGAGAGTGTTAATTAAGGCAAGACGCAAGTTTTATTCCAAAATTACAATTTACAGGGCTAGTTTTGCACTTATAAAATGAAATTATTTTAAAATCAACAAATATATTAAAATTTATTGCTGGAATGTTTGTTTTGTAAAGTTAATGAAGATAAATACTTACGAAACTGAGGATAGCGCAATAACCTCATTGCTGGCAAACGTATGATCGGACGGGCAGCAGACGCTATTCACAGCCGGGTCGTTTTTTCTGCCCATATCGTTCTTAAAGCTTGTGGTACATCTGACGTGTGAAGCAGTTCCTGATATCTCGCGATGACGCTCGACAATACACAGGTGCGAGTTGTTCGGATGGCGACATGACGCGAAAAGCGCGCTCTTGTCGGTTTTTTCGGTCGTCGTGTCTCCTAGCTGCTTCTCAGCAGTTACGGCTTTTGGGTAAGCGATGTTGTTGCATTTACAGGTTGCTGTGTTCGTTTTTCTGGGCATGGTGACTCGGCTTTCGCGTGCACGTTGCGCGAGCGTGTGTTGCGCGTAAGCATTGACGCGATCGCGGTGATTTCGATCGTGTGTGTGGGTGTCATGTGCTTTCCCTTTCCTCTTGTTTTCAGCGCAAGCGGGCCGCCCTGTGTTTCGCTTCCACGAAGGGTGGCCACTTCGGTTGCTGTGACTGCTCAAACAGCGCTCAATGAGCTTCTTTAAACGTATATCTAAACTGAGATAACCATATTTGCCCGATTGTTTATGTAGCGGTAGTCTTTTCCCACGGAGCTGGGATAAAGCTCATTTTGCGAGCATTCAAGCTGGCATATCTCTGGCTCGTTGTATAATCCCGCGCCAACATGCATTTATCATATCTCTGAACATATATCACAGGATGTTTGTAAACATTCTCTGATATGCCGAAGTGACAGCATCTGTGTTCCTATAAAAAATACCTTCTCCAGAGCATACCATGCGTTAGTATCTGGGCTATTTGCCGCTTGTTCCTCAAACCACACTTCTAATTGTTTATAACTGCAAATGTGCGGTTCATTTCGCTACAAATATATCGACATGTCCCAACAGGTCTTGAACTTTCCTGTTGTCACTTATATTCTCACCTTTTTGTTTATGTATGCCCAGACTTCTCGCAAACTGCGTATCAGGTTCATATAGTTTCATATGATCCTGTTTTAGCTTCTCTACAACATTCAGTATTCGATTAATTTGCTGCTTCTGACTTACGCCGCTCAAGTTTCTATACGAACACCCTAACACTACCTTAGATTGGGTGGGTGCCTTCTAAAATAGTTGATGAGCTGTTTGAGATCACAGATAGGTCGCATAATTCTCACTGCTAGCTGTACTGAATATGCCGCCTGAGATAGTCAAGAAATGTTCTTTCTACTGTCACATATGTGTTCTCATAGTTTTTACATATTTCCTTTGACAAAACTTGGCTCTTTTTTATTTTCTTTTAATGCAAGACAAAAGCAACGTATGGGTCCTGACTTGGAAAAAAAAAATGCAGAATTTTACGCAATGTGCCTGCAGCTGGCTAAGTGGCCAATGTAGCGGTACTTGTGTGTAGTTGTACTTACAATGCTGGCATAAAGGCCGCGTCATTTACAAGCCGCTACATGCTAGCATTTTATTTTTTTTATCAACATTTTATGCCTTTTTTGCCACTGTCTTTACAATGTGCCTCCCTATGTGGTTATTCTTAATGGTCCTGTACAGCATCCTCATGTTTCAGACAGTGGCAAACTTGCATGCTTTAATTTACAATTAGTTGCACAACCATATAGATTTATTTATAAACTGCTTCCGCTTCCCTACATGCATTTTGATTTGATAGGCAAGTGGTATTTCAAGCAGATTAGGTAGAAGTTTGAAAACTTATCAATTTTGTTGTAGATCAATAGAAATATCTGTCCGGTTAGTTGATTTATTATTATCAGGGTCCATTTATATTTCAGGCTATGTTTGGAGTGGAAGGTAAATTAAGATGAAGGGCTACCTGTGTAGCTTTCACCACCTATAGCTTGTTCATGTATTGGGGCGAAAGAACATCAAAATTTATGGCGACATATTTTGCCTTGATTTCCTGCAGAAGCAGAGAGGAAAAGCTGTGATCAGATGAAGCGATGAATCTTTGGGACGCTTTCTGTGCAACAAATGATGGCACCCTGGTCGTCTGGGACGGTAACCGTCTGAGCCGCTGCTTTCTGGATCTCCTTGGAAGTGCTGTGCACATTCTAGTCGCGGTCATCAGCGTCTACTACGTTGGCATCCGCCAAATCTCCCTACGCCGTGACCACCAGCTCGTCCACCTGCTGCCATTGACATGGCGGATCCATCTTCGCAAGCTGTGCTGCTCCGTCTTCCTGCTGTGTCCCATTGTTCACCTCGTCATGTCCCAGCTGATACTCGGCGAGGTCATGGCACCCTCAACGATGTTCAACATTGGTGCTGTCATCCTGACCTGGATGGTCCACTTCTTCTACCTGCAGACACTGACAAATCCACTGCCACGACACCGCCGGTTCGTTGGCGAGGTTCCTGTGATATTTGTTGTGGCCATGTCCGGATTGTGTGCAACGTTTCGCGTGTCTGCGCTCCTTTCCCTAAGTGAGTCAGATCATGGCGCTGAACTCTCGTATTGTGCAGACTTGTACTCGAACATTGCAAGCGCGCTTGCCTGTGCCTTCTACCTTACAGCTGCCATACATTGCTCGAGCACTGCAGGCGAGACGCCGCCGCAGACGAGCCACGAGTCACCATCATCCATTCAGAGCTACGTTCGTCTGCTCGAAGCGGATGACGAAGCCCAACAGCTCGGCACGGCGGAAGACACGAACTTCTTCTCGCTCCTCACCTTTTGGTGGGTCGGACGGTTGATGCGCCGTGGATACAGGGGCCACATTCAGGAGCCCGATGACCTGTACGACCTTCCGGTCAGCCTGAGACCCGAAGAGGTCGTGCGGGAGCTCTACCAGAATGTTGACGCCTCCAAGCCCCTTCCCAGCCTTCTTATGCTGTTCCACCGGTGCCTTGGAAAGCAGTACTATGCCATCGGAGTTCTCAAGTTCCTTGCAGATGTCCTGTCATTCGCCAGTCCTGTCTTGCTCAACAGGCTCATCATGTTCCTTGAAGAAGGACCTGGTCAGGGACCCGCATGGTCTGGCTATGCCTATGCGTCAGGGCTCACGTTTGCCTGTCTGGTTGGTGCATTCCTGTCCAGTCATTACGGCTACCTGGTGTCGCGTGTGGGTCTCAAGGCGAGGGCGATTGCCGTGGCACTGGTCTACCAGAAGACACTGCGTGCCGATGCGACGGAGCTGCGACAGAGTTCGTCGGAAGCACTGAACCTGATGACCACCGACGTTGATCGAATCGTTGGCCTCTTTCAGAGTTTGCACGAGGCATGGAGTTTACCACTTCAGGTCAGTTGTGTGACACGCTACATTAGAAAGCCTCTATTTATTTCTAGAAATATGTAATGCATTGGATTGTATAATGCAACTGCTTTGAGTAGAAGTGCACCTGCTGTTTATAAGTATAATCGCTAGGCTAATGACTATGTAAAGGATTACCAACGCTTACAACAATTGCTAATGTGAAATTCAAGCGCAGTTGTGCATGTGTTGATTTTGTGCGTTCCTTGGCGGCAGCGGCAATGACCTTCTCTATCGGTGGCGTGAACTGCAGGGTTGCACCTCTCATTGTTCAGAGAGTCCTGGTAAAAGTGTGACTTAGTATTCAAGTCCATTGGTCTTTATGGATGACTAATCGGAAATTCAAGTGTAATCACATGGCTCCCAAGAAGTACTTTGCTATTTGGATCACACATACTATATTTAATACTATAGTGCTACGTAGGCAGGAGCTGTGGTGATGAGGTTTTCTTGCAGCGATATCAACGGCAGAACCCTTCTTGTCTTTGACCGTCCTCTTCATGTTCGCTGTGATGTTTCACTGTGCATGTTTTATTGATTACGAGGCATGCCAACATTTAACTCAAGAACAGACTTGGCAAGCTATAAACGCCATAGATCTCGGGCTTTCATCCCCTGAGGAAGAATACAGAGCGACTTCGAAACATCGAGTCTTCCCGATATATTTTTGGTTGGAGTTTTTTCATTCCTTCAGTGTCTGTTGCAACAAGGCAGACTCTTGCCAAATGCTCACCTTTGATAATACTGTGAAGGTACAGACAGATTAGTGAAAAGACGCAACTCGGCAAATGCATGAATGGATCGTTTAAATGAATAAAAAAACAATATGAATGGCAACTATTGAAATATGAATTGCCACGGCCTCTAAATAATTGATGTAGAAAAACAACGTTATAGAAAAGACTACAAAAAAGCAATTTTTTAATATTTCCTTCACCAACATGCATAACAATACTAAATAAATGCATTGTTTTTTGTTTGATTACAATGTTGAACTTATGTTGTTATATTACATTTTTATAGCATGATGACCATGTACTCTAATTAAACTGCATCCTATGTTTCATCTTGCTGTCATTCATTTTGTATCTAGGACATAAACATTAAAATTGTATTATAAAATCCTTTCTTTACTGCTTATTGTTGCATCCACTTGCATTGTTCACCTTATATTGCACGGGGTCGTGACGTGGCCTAAGACAGCAGACTTTATGTTGGAATTTAACTGTTTATTTGGGCGAACCTGTGCCCGGTAAACGGAAAGTTCGATTACAGTAGCAGTCTTGCACAGATAGCAGTGACCGGAGCGTCGGCCGTCGATCAACTTCTGACAAGAGGCGAAGCGGGTCGGCATTTATACTCTTGCCATCGAATGTTTCAGCGTTATCGCTGGCGGTGGCGTAGGTTCCAGAATAATCTGTACAGTTCGCAGAGTAGGCGTGATCTTATCGAAATGATCTACTACAGTCTGGAAGCTTCTCGAAAACTGCAGGCGCGGTTTGCGCTGAGAATTGTGTAGTGTTTTGGGACGATAACAAAACTTGGGAAATGGAACGTGGCAATATTGTATTACTCCTTTCCGCTATTTGAAACATTCTTTATGCCTTCTTTTCATATTGCCAAGGTGTTTCTTCGTTGTAGGTGTCCATGGCGTTGTCAAGCTATCGAAAGATTGTTTTTACTGTGGGGCCCTCAACTATCATGTTTTGTTTTGATGGCGAAATAAATTGAATTGAATTGAAAAGACAAAGTAGGCATCCTCCAATATTTGGCACGAAGCCTTAAAAGGGCCATGACACGATCACCCACCTGATTGTGGCTTTCAGCAAAAAATAGAAGCAGATGATCTATTGAGCCTGTAGATATACGAAAGATGAACTATGAAAAAATATTTCTTTGTAAAATGAGCTCTAGAAATCACCGACTATAAACGTTGCTAATAACTGCCATTTTGCATTTCTGACATCATGTGCTTCATGGAGAAGAGTTTCTGCCACTGCAAATCATTAAATTTTCCATGCCAAACTGAACAAAGCTGAAAGAGCTTCATTTTAAGCACGGCTGACCACAAAACAAAGTTATTTACAGGAATGTGGACATTCGCAAAGGAAGCCCTGGTTACATCACGGCTCGCGAGTACGCCATTCTTGTCCGACTCTCAGGCCATTTATGTGTTTAAAAAAGTATTCGTTATAAATTAGATGCTCGATCAAATTCACTGGAATTCCGACTGCTTATTTGTGAACAGCCAAGGATTGACTCGCACAACACAGATTATGAGCAAAAATTGGGTGTCGTGGCCCATTTAAACGACTTTCTATGAAACAGTTTGTCACAGTTTTAAGGATTTGTGTTAAACCTGGGAAATCTTCAACTGCTAGGTTCTTCATTTGAGGAATCTGAGTAAGCTTCCTCTGTTGCCTTATGATACTGCAGACTTTTTGATGCTAACTGTCCTGTCATATAAATTCTTGTGCTGACTTTTCCTGAGCAAAGCTTCTTTAATATCAGTTATATGCATCAGGTTTTGAAGAGTGATGGGATCTTAGTCTACTTTCTCATAATTTCTCAAATTTTGTTTGCAGGTAGCAGTGACTATGTTCCTCCTTTGGCAGCAAGTGGGCCTAGCCTTTCTTGCAGGCGTGGTGCTGGCCATTCTGCTAGTCCCTGTCAACCGCTCCATTGCGCTCAATATTGGAAGACTGAGCACCGGCATGATGTCATCCAAAGATGAACGCATAAAGGTGTGGGATCGCCTAGAACCGAGTGTTACTGAGAAGTGTATGAGGGCAAAGGCATACACTAAATGGTTCAGACGTGAAAATTTTTCAGTTCTCCTTTTTCTGCATAAAATGAAAGGCCAAGTTCTAAGAGCATAAAAAATGTACTTCTGAGTGTGAGTGCTCTATGAAAAAGTAATCACGGTATGTTTTTGAAAGCTAATTTTGATTTCTACTGTTCCCTAAGATGACCATGATGAGATTCTTGTGACCTGCTTGTGCAAAAGGTCATGACGCATATACGATTCCTCCACTCCATGTATCATTGCTATGCAGAAGCGGTGGTCATTTTGAATGTCTTGGTACCTGACATCATTAGAACTAGTAGAAAGTCACCAGTGACACTGGAGCCTGACACACTAGGGTCAATGTCACTAGATGCACCATGAAAAAAATTTAACGTCAAAATATCGTTTAAGCGTTAGCCGATCTTCAAACTTGCCCTGAGTCATCTCTGTATATCCCATTCAGGCACCGTGTCTACAATTGTACACATAAGCTTCAGAGGCATGTCATACACCATGTGTTGGTTCGAATGGCTTTTTCCATTTTTAACACGAAAGTGTTTTATGCTGGAGTTCACCGCAGCTCCACTGACGTATTTCCGTCACAGATATGATGCTCTAAAATTTATACTAAGAGATTGCAAAGAAAACGAGAAGGCAAAGTTCTGTGGCGAGGCATCGCAGGAACCACACGTTCCGTCACATGCGGTGCTAACCACTAGGCCACAGACCGTATCTTGTCAAGATTGCTAATGGCAAGCCATTTATATACACCATTCGGTGGTCCTCAAAACTCTGTAACCCCAGTGCGTTTTCATCATCAGTAGCAAGATGGCCTGATGTGTCCGCATTGGGCTCTCTCTCAAGGTTGTCGTCTCTCGCGTTTTGTTGGGAGTCGACTCAACGAAGTGTGGGCTCTCCTGCATGCACGCCTATCAGACTCTGTGATCCGAGAAAGCACAAAGGTCACTTCGCTTGCTGCCACGGTCGTGCTTAAGGAAGGAGCATGCCGCTCACACATGAAGTCAGAATTGTGGCAGTTGTTAGCGCTTGTTCCTGTGTATACTGGTGCATTCGTTTTGTGCATCTTTCTTTCTGTTTAAACAGTGCGCTTTAAGTATCGAGCTGTGACAGTTGTTAGTCTGCACTTGTCCAGTGTATGCTCATTTCGTGCGTGCTTTCTGCTCAAGTTACACGCTGCAAGTTTCGAACTGCTTGCTGCTCTTCACTTACTTCGCAGTTTGTCCCTGTAGCATTCATTCCTCACCTTTGTGGTGAAACGATGCACATAAAAACGCTCAAGTACCTCTGTGAAGACACGTTTCACTTTTGTGTTATACTGATTTCTAAAAGGAAGGATCACCCACGTTTTTTTTCCTCTGTTGAACCTTTTTTGAATCATACAACCTCTCGTAAACCTGGTTTATCTTAATTAGAGTCTTTACTGCTAAGGGTATGCAAACGTTTAAGTTTCATATTCGAACCAAATAATACCTAATTAAATAGTTTGATTTGACTTTTGAATAGCTATTATTACAGGTTTCGAATGATTTGACAGGACAAATATCTGCTGCGCAACAAGTGCCTGTGTTAAAACTTAGGGTGGGGTGGTCAAAACTAATCATGACATCATTACAGTAGGCCTTTCATCTATAAACTGTTGCAAAATCTCGAGCTTTGTTTATGACTCCAACAAACAAGGCCACGGAACAGTCTGGGAGACTTGAATGGCTAGTGTAAAAAAATAACCAGATCACTGAGCTTAGGCCATATAGTCCTGTGGCTTATAAACACTTCAATGAGCCCCTTATCCGAACAAAGGATGCTCCATTGAAATAAAATGTGCGTGGAGCTGCACCATGTCAGCAAAATTGCTTTGCAACACTTTCTCAGCTCCGTCACTGAAGCGCCCAGAGAGCTTTCGATTGCAGGAAACATTGCAATGCCAAGGGCTGAGAGAATGAAGCTGGCTCATGTGAAACCACTTGTATTTGTACATGCCAATTTGTAGTCTTGCGGTAACAGTCATCAACATTGTTATGGGCTCAAGGACATGAGCAGGTTTTGTTTTTTTGTTGAATTTTCAATGAATCGTTGTTGAATATTCAATGAAATCTTTTGTGTCTAATATTTGACCACTGTTCGGCACTGTTTTGTTCGAGATGAAATTAAATTATTCACACACCCCCAGCTTTAGTATGCAAATCGTTATTCAGCTCTTGGCTCATTAAAACAAAGCTTCCCATGCTCATCTTCCATTGCAGCTGATGTCAGAGGTGCTGTGGGGCATGCGGATGATCAAGATGCATGCATGGGAAGCCCTCTTTCAGGAGCGGCTCGAGAACATCCGGCGGAAGGAGGTGGCCTTCCTGCGGCAGCGCAAGTACCTGGACGCCCTGTGCGTCTTCTTCTGGGTTGTGACGCCTGTGCTCATGTCGGTCCTCTCCTTCGTCACATATGTCCTTCTAGGACACCGACTCACAGCTGCAAAGGTGAGCAGTGCACCATTTCGAAAGCCTTAAAGGGCCAGTCGACAAGTTACAAGTGCAGCTCTCATGCACCCATTCCTGCATTGAGTGCTGTCGTTATCGGTGACATAAGGAATAGACATGAAAACAGGAAAGAAAATACCCAAGATGAATTTTTACCCATTGCATGACAGTCAAGTATTCTACGACAGAGCCATGCTGGTGTTTTATTTGCTGAAGCATGTTATACAGGCATGATGTCGGGCAAGGAATCGTATTAACCCTTGTGATATAGTCTGGCAGAAGAGTAAAATACCAACAAGTCATCACGCAATTTTAAAATTTACAATAAGTGTGTTGTTTAATGCGTCCCACTCAGTGCAAAGTGCTCAGCTATGATAATTAATCATCACCAGCTACATGCAGCATTGACAAAATGTGCATAATACCTTACAGATGTGTAGCATAACAAATAATGATGCTGTACTACTACACGAAAATTATTGCTTATAATGTGTTGGATACCTTGCGTACAGCCAAAACTTCAAACCAATTGGCCTTGCCCCAACACAAAGCTGTGCTGAGAATTCGCATTAGGGGGTATTATAATCCTCAGTGAGGGTTTCAACTCTTACGCAAGCTCACTGGCGTGTACAAAAAGCTGTAACAATCACATTTTGCGAATATTACAATGCTGCATGAATGTTCTATTACAGTAACCACACTTCTCTACAGCACCTGCTCAGTCATCTTTCCTGCAAAGTGACACAACATTGCCCATGGGCAATGTTCTGTTGCTTTGACTTTGTTAATTCCTCTGGACTAGTGCCAAATGGTATTATGGCCTCGTGGTGATGCGGTTTTGACTTGGCAGTTGTCATGCATGATGCATATTTGTTTACCTCACCACTGGCTCACACCCCTCCCGTTAAACTTCATCATCTCGCTCCTCTGACACGAGCGAAACATGGAGGAAGCCTTGCTCAGTCATTGGCTGCTTGCTGATGAAGTAACTGCCAATGACGTAGTTGCCAAAGTCATGATACATTGCTGATGAAAGTGTAGTCAGACTGATGATCGGTGCCTGCACTTTTGTATGGTGGAGGAGAGTGAAGAGGCCAAGCGAGAAGCCAGTCAGAATGGCTCAAGTTTCCTCGCTCCTTTCTCCAGAACGTCACTTCAGCCATGGCTCAAAGCATTGTCTGGGCGTTCATCATCTTGTTGGTCATCATCCCATTCACTTCTCCTTTGTCATATTCATTTATTCCTCTATCTGCTTTTCTTGCACAGTGGCTGAGGTTTTCTGCTTGAGTGAGACAGTTGTGGTGTGCGCTTTTCTTTTTTAAAACTTGATGTAAAATGTTGGGTGTCCACAAAAAACCTTCGCTGCCGTTGATTATCAGCTGCACCCACTGACAGAGACAGTCTGGTTGCCGCAAGCTCCGAATACGAGCGACGAAAGCCCTGCACTTTTACCGAGCGTGCCACAGCCAGTTTTGCACGTTAGTTCAGGTGCTGTAGTTTGGACATTCTTGCAGGATCTGTGACAGGTTCGACTCTGCCCTGTCTACTCCAAGAGAATCATCAGCCAAGAAGGCCACCTTAGGTCTTTAAGATATACCAACTTCGCTGTCTTTCAAACTTGCGTGACCCACTTAGACTTCTCCCTTATCTTTAGAAAGCCATTTCCTACAGTTTAGTCGTTTCAGCTGGGGCTGTACTCAGCAGCACTGCCTTGGAACTTTAGACTTTAACTGAACTGGTCAATCAACTCTTCGATAATGCATACTTCTTTCCTCTTTCAGGTGTTCACGTGCCTTGCTCTCTTCAACATGCTCAAAGTGCCACTCAACGCCTTCCCCTGGGTCATCAATGGATGCATGGAGGCATGGGTTTCGTTGAAACGTACCCAATGCTTTCTTGACCTGCATGATTTCGCACCTGCCAGCTATTACACTGCCTCAAAAGAGGGTAACGACAGCTTAGGCTCTCCTAAACTTGCTCATTCTTAAGCCTACATTGCGTCGCATAAAAGGTAGCATGCTCAACGAAAAGAGCCTGAACAGTACTTTGAATCCAGACAGAGTGGCTCAGTTCTCAGTAACATTTCAATCACAGAATAACATAATCACTTAAGTAACAAATAGCACTGGCCACATTTTACTCTCAGTTTGTGAGATTGCACCTGTGTGTACCAGACACCCTCATCCCTTTCAAGTGTGAATTATGATGCACTGTGTGCAAATGTGTCAAATATGCAGGGCATGATTCTAAGGCACTCAGTATTATATTATAAGAGACAAAATGAAGAAGTGTGTTGTTCTCTGTGAGTTACAGCAATTAATGTTAATTAACATGTAATAAATTATTTATTTATTCGGCAATCAGTAAGCTTCAATACTTGAGTAAAAAGAACCTAATATTATACACAAAATGCATGCACAGTTTGTTTTGTGCTTGCACTCGTTTCAAGCAAAGAAATAAAATGCTCTGGACAATGGTGCTGCATTGCGGCACGTTGAACGATTGTTGGACATGGTAGTGTCTTCAGTAAAGTGATCCTCTGCAGCAATGTTCAGCATAATGAAGTTAATTGAGCATTAGTTATTCACTCAGGAAGACTGTACGAATGTACGCACTGTGTTTCAAGTTATTTAACGTAAGACGCAGTGCGTGACACTCTTCCAAAGTTTAGGTATGTGTACAATTGTACACATGGCTTCTGAAGGGGTCATGCTCTGTTTCATCCTGTCATTGTAGCACCTGGCCGCATCGGTGTGGTTTGTCAAAGATGGCAACAGATTCCTATCGTTTTCTGACATATGCCGGACACTATGCAACTTAGCTACATCCTGCCTGTTCATTAAAATATCTACAAAAGTAATATTATTCTCTTTGAATGATAATTGATCAAAACTATATTAGCGACAATGTTGTGATACAATATTCGCTGTATTTTTAAGAAGCACTTGACTTGAAATTCACATCGTTCTTTTGTGACTTGGCCTTTTATTTATTTTGAGTTGGGCCACTTGATTTGAGCTGTGAAATGTCTATCCTGCCATGGCTTTGACAAATTGCTGCTGCAGCACTGGTAAATAAGTACTAGAAAAATGACTTTCTTTCAAAATAGTACTTGAACACTAAGAAGAAAAATGATTTTTTGTTCAGGTTAGTAAATTACTAATTTACAATTGCAAAATCACCACATTTTCTGCGCCACACAAAAGTTTGAGTGTTTGCAGAAAAGCTAATTGTATGCAAACAACCTATCTGCATCTCTTCGTGCAGATGACCTGCTTGTACAGGTTACAAACGGTGTCTTTCACTGGGGCAGCGTGACAGGTGATGCCACTCTTCCAGCAGCCATCAGCGGAGCCCAGGGCTTCATTCTAGGACCGGTCAACGTCACTCTACGCAAGGTCTGTTCTTATGCGAAATGGCTATGTTAGTCATAAACGAGCAAAGTGAAAGGTGCCTGTGATTAAAGGGTGTACTATTAGCATTGTGCCTTCACTGTGTTTGTAAGTGTTTGCGAATTTTAGGTGCCAGCTGTTATAAAAAAGCTGTTTCATCTTGATTTACTCACTTTTTCTCGACCTTGTTTTAATTGTGACACCAGTGATATGCACACTTTTGGCAGATTTTTGCCGTCGTTATTATGTTTGATTGAAATCCAAATTGGTAACATCGCCCCACACATTGTATGTTTTCAACACTTCCGTAAAAGTATGTGAATGCCAGGGGTGAATGAGAGTGAAACAGAGATGAAACGAGCCAGCCGTTTTCTTCACACGAAGGGCACATGTGATAGTATCGCCGCACCTGCAGGACCTACCTTCTAAGCAGAGAGTAAACACCCTGCCTGTCTTTCATAAAGCAAAGGAGCATGAAGGGGCGCTGGTGTTGGTGGGGCTGTGTTGCTGAAACAGCAACTGTGAATGTTGATCAAAAGGGCGCAGTCGCAAGCGCTGGCTTGCGCTTTTTAGACGGCTTGTTTTCGTGTAAAAACAAATGACTTGTATGCCCTCGTATGGCCTGTGCTCTCACCGCTTACTTCGTGTTGATACAGCTGATGACGCAAAAACCGCTTTTCATTTTTTGTTGCTGGAGTAGCTGTATTCTCACACTATCTTTTTGTAGAGTTATGCCAGATTGGACCCTAATGGAATAACTCTAGCTGCTAGTCTTACTTGCTGCAGGATTCTAACTTGTTGGTGTTGCATTCAGTGTTTCATGCTTACCATGAAAGTGTGTTTTCTTTTCCCTCTCTCTTTAACTGCTTGTGCATAGCCTCAACAAAGTAAAAATAAACAGTGTGAAAAAAACACGGCTACAAAAAGCAAACATAAGGACATGCACTAACTTCCAACTGAATTTTATGACATGAATGAATTATCTTTCCGTGGGAACAGTCACAAATAAAGAATACCCTAACTGGAAAAAATGCAATGGCGCAAAAGCAACAAAAACAGAATAAATAATGAATACAGTGGCCTGCTGCACATCTTTTGCATATTAAAGGGACCCTGAAACGGTTTTGTTGATATCGCATAAACACATTGAGCCAGTAAAGCAAGTCCTACGTATCATTTGAAACCCGATTTAAGCTCTCTGTGTCAACTGTGTAACTTATTACAAGATATTAAATATGTGTATCCCTGCAGGTCGCAGCGGCTCAGTCAATGAGTTTTAAACTACTAGAGCCTTTTACATGCAGAAATGTTCCAGTATGAATAGCACCCATTGACCGATCTTATTGGCTTTCTGCATCTACGTCACGGAACTGCCTGTGGACAATGGGCATCGTCTGCTTGTGTTACAGCATGCTCCATGTTGGCATGAGCTGAGCGACAGTGTTTTTCTCAAAGTTTCTTTTTGGACGTGATATATTTCCTTGGCTGTGTACCACATATGGAACAATCGGTGACTTCCAAAGCTGCAACATCGCCCCGCCGCAGCGGTCTAGTGACTAAGGTACTCAGCTGCTGACCCAGAGGTTGCGGGATCAAATCCCAGCTGTGGTGGCTGCATTTTCAATGGAAGCGGAAATGCTGTAGTTCCGTGTGCTCAGATTTGAGTGCTCATTAAAGAACCTCAGGTGGTAGAAATTTCTGGAGCCCTCTACTACTGCGTTTCTCATAATCATATAGTGGTTCTCGGACGTTAGCTTCACATATCAATCAAAGCTGTAACATTATGTATTGTTTGCAAGGCATCTGTTGACTGGAATCTCTTCAGCTAGTTCCAATGAGTGTTGTGGTCAATGCTATGATCCATTTGTGTGCGGCTGGAACTTCACCCCTGAAGGCACAACCAAATTGCCAGAGTTTACGCTTATCAGGGATTGTTCTCGAATTCTTTTCGTTTGTTTGCATGCCTTTGAAGGTCGTCACCATACAGGTAGTAGTGTGGCGGCACCTATTGGAGCAGATATCAAGCACTCTTTTTTGTTGCCAGATGACATATTATTTGAATAAAAGGTGTTATTATTATTATTATTATTATTATTATTGTTATTATTATTATTATTATTATTATTATTATTATTATTATTATTATTATTATTATTATTATTATTATTATTATTATTATTATTATTATTATTATTATTATTATTATTATTATTATTATTATTATTATTATTATTATTATTATTATTATTATTATTATTATTATTATTATTATTATTATATGTGCTGTCGGGCACACTGAGTTGTGGCCTTTGAGATTGCGTGCAACCTGTCGATGGGCAGTCTCGGAAGCCATTACTGGGCGAAGCTCAAACCGTTGAGTGCACTCACGAGAGGGCTGTGATCGACAAGGATGCCAGCATGTCTCACGAATTCAGGAGGCAAGGCAGGGTTGAGAAGAAAAGTATAGATATAATTGTCCATAGCGGCCTTGGTACACGGTGTGTGTCGCTAAATTTATGGTGTGAAGGATTTGATGATGCTCTAGCCTAAATGCTGACAAAACTTCAAAAAAACGTTTCAGGGTCCCTTTAAGAAACAAAGCTTCATGTTCGAGCTAGCGCACTCAGCTGCTAGCATGCGCAGCTGTACGAGCAGAGCGAGATAGCGCAACCAACAGTTTACTTGCACATGTGCCCCTTTCTCACACCATCTGAGGACAGTGCATGTCCAGTGTGTTTGCTTTTCGTAGCCATGCTTTTTAATCTATTTATGTTCAGTATGAATAAGCAACTAGCCCAGTCAGCTCCTCGACACCCTGCAGGGACAACTTGTGGGTGTGGTGGGTCGGGTGGGCAGCGGCAAGAGCACCCTGCTGGCGGCCATCGCTGGCAACATCTGCCGGGTCCAGGGTGTAGTCAGCCTCCAGAGGCTGGACATGGCCTTGGGTCTGGTGCCCCAGCAACCATGGCTCCAGCGAGGCACACTCCGTGCCAACGTGCTCTTTGGGCGGCCATTCGATGCAGCACGCTACCAAGCAACACTTGAATGCTGTGCTCTTGTCGATGACTTGAAGGTGATGCTTTTGTCTTGCTGCTCAACTATTTAGCTTGGTTCATACTGCTAAACAGTTAAGCCTATACATTTATAAGCCATACCAATAAACCTAAATATAATGGAAGGCACTAAAAATAATTTACTGCAATATACAGTAAACTCTCAGTACACAAAAGTAGCTTAAGTGTTATGGAAAATTGTACAGCTTGTCAGATGTGAGCTAGCCAAGCCTAGCAGCCAATCAAGGTGCATGTGCACCTCCTGAATCTGCCATTTTCAATTTTTTTTGCTGAGTCAATTAAACATTGCTTGTAGAATAGCTATTCTGACCTGCAAATTAATTGATATATTCCCTTCACTATGAATAATATTTATCGTGTGATACTCAGCTCTATGAATTTGCTACTGAACCTAGACTCATCTTTTCAAACTGATGTCATCTATCTAGATTTTGCCAAAGCTTTTGATTGTGTTCCCCACCAGCGACTTTTGGCAAAGCTTTCATGCATACAACTGGACCCCCTCATGCTGTCATGAGTCCGCTGTTTTCTGACAAATCGCCTCCAAACACTGTTGTCGGAAATCGTTGTTCAACCACTATTGACGTGATTTCTTGAGTACCACAGGGATTTGTCCCTGGTCCTCTGCTCTTTCTCATCTTCATAAACAACCTTCCAAACGGCATTTCATCTTCCATTCGACTTTTGCACATGACTGTGTTCCTTATCGTCATATCACACATCATAGGGACCATAATGTCCTTCAAAACAGTTTGCATCTAATCGAGACCTCGTGTTCTAATTCATTTACGAATCTCAACATCTCGAAATGCAAAGTGATGCATATATCTCGTAAGTGCTGAAACAGCGATTACACGTACTCCCTAAACTTGATAGCTTTGTCCTCTATTGAATCATATCATTATCTCGGTCTCACAATAAATAAAAAGTTGACATGGTCCAATCACATCACAAAATTAGCTGCCGATAACTGCTAAATCACTTGGTTACATTAGACGTTCTCTTTCCCTGTGTCATCAGCAACCCTCAGCAACACGAAAGCTGGCGTATGAAACATTCATACGGAGTAAGCTTGAATATGCCTCAGCTATTTGAAGCCCCTACCAAGCATAACTCATCAACCTTTTCGAATCCATACAGAATTGTGCGGCCAGATTCATCTCTTCCAGGTACAGCGGTGACAAAAGCATCGGCACCGTAAAGTTATTCCTGGGACTTGAGTCTGTCGTTCCGTCATAAGATTACAAGGCTGTGCTTGTTTCATAGGCTGTATAACAACTTCCCGCAACTTTGTGGTAAACTCATCAACCCTCCACACTGTACATCTACTGCCTTTTCAACTCTTGCAGCATCCAGCGATTGCATGGCTCATCTTTTTTCAATCAATCTTTTTTGCCGATCACCACTGTAGAGTGGAATAAATTGTTCGATAGTGTTGTCAGCAAGCATACCCCCATTGTGTTTAAGCAGTTGCTCACTAATTGCCTCACATTGTAATATTGGTTGCAATTTTAGATTGTTCTCCCTTTTTTTGAATTTGAGCAAGTACATATTCCATTTCTTCGAAAAGTGTGTTCCAAATTTGTGACCTGAAAAGTTGCATTTCTGACTTTTTATGTTACCCGTTCTCCCCCTTATCTTATACTCCCAATGGCCTTTAAGAGAAAAATAAATAATGACAATAATGATGACTTTAAATCTTTCATTTTAATTTTGCCAATTTTGGTAAACTATTCATGGATATATACTGCACGGCCGGCAAAATTTTTAAAACCCTGTACATTTTTCATATTGGTGATCAGTGCATTAACACTTGACTACGTGCAAGATTGGGTGATGAGTACCTATTACAGGCCTTATTCCTTCACAGTCTTTGCCAGCTGGCGACTTGACGGAAGTTGGCGAGGAAGGTCAGACACTCAGCGGAGGCCAGAAGCGACGAGTTGCCCTGGCTCGGGCCTTGTACCAGGTACCAACCTGCTCGTTGACTCAGACTTCGGAGAGTGCGCTCGCGTTTTTTCACAAAAGCGTGTACAACTGATCTACAGTAATACCTCCTCAAACTCGCATACCTCGAAAAATCATACGTGGCACCAAACATTTTTCTATATATCCCATGTATATTTTTCTTTTTATCTCGAAGTATTTTCGGGTCAAATTGTGAATAACTCAGAATTTTGACTGGGAGTGAAACGAACATTCTGTCGCCGGACCATTCCACAAGATTCGCATGATGCTGCCACACCTCAAATCCGTCGACTTTTTTTTATTATTTAGCCGCGCCTGCCTTTCATTTGCGTTCATCTGCACAAGCCACGTGGTACAGATTTTTTGCTTACTCTGAGTGCAGTGCTCATAATTCTTCTTGATGTGTGATTTTCGTTCATCTGCACAAACTGCGTGGTACGAATTTTTCCCTGACTGTGAAAAGCGTTAACTTAGCATGAGTATGACAAGCATGGTGGCAAAGCAGTGGAAGACGCTTACGCTAGGAAAAAATGTTGCCCTAATTAAGGAAGTGGAAAAAGGAGGCTGAACGAAATCAAGCATCATGCAGGAATTAGGCATCCCTTTGTCTACGCTTCCGATGATGCTGAAAAACAGGCAGAAGGTGCTGTATGGATTTCAGCCGAGCTTCTCCATCTGGCAAATGCGGGTTCGAGGCTCGAAGTTCCCAGATGTTGAAGCAGTGTTGATGGTATAGCTGTGAAATGCCAGAGCGGCCAACCTTCCCGTCACCACAGCAATAATGATGGAAAAGTCAGATGCTCTGGCCTTGCAAATTTAATTGGCAAAACCTAGTCGGTTAAAGTCTATTGTATGTTATTTTTTTTTCTTTTTTAAACCTGCACAAGAAGAAAGATGAGGAACTGCTGCTGTATAGCCGGTGCAGTGGTGATTTTTCTGAAAAGCGCTTATTTTTCCTGACGATTTAGCGCAACTTAGGTTATCGCGAGAATCTGTTTATCTGGAAATTTTTCCTGGTTTTTACGACTATGAGTTAACGAAGTATTACTCTATATCTCACCAGCATCTCCAAATGTAAGGTGCAGTGGTGATCCAGGAATATATTTTTCATGTCATATAGTGCCTAGCTAAGTAATCAAGGCAGGTGGCATTTGGTCAGAGATTATCATAGTCATATACTTTTACAGAGAGTGGGTGTAATTAGTCTACGACGTTACTGTCTTCAAAAGGGGGTCGGAGCCCTGACTGATCAAAGGCTCCTTGTTAAAACATTGGCTTCAGCAGAGTAAACCAATAGGTCTGCACTTACATTTATGTCCAGTTTGTGATGTTTACGCGAACCTCAACCTTTTTTCTATTGCAAGGACGGATGCTGCATTATAGAGTGTGTATTCAAAGTGTATGAGATCATGCCCCAGATTGTGACGTTATGTGTGTGCAGGGAAACGGGAGGGTAAAAAGAGAAAGCATGAAGGCAAGTGTTCCTCGAGCATGCTGGGCAGAAGGGCATTTTAGGACTTTTTGAGCTCATAAGATGTGAGGCCAGGCATAGAAGACGTTATCTATTGTAAATTACCAATCATTGCATCTGCCTAAGCTATGCTGGAAAGTCTCTCAAGTTGGGAGCATTTGGGATTACTGGGGTCTGGTGTGGCGTAGTCGAGAATCGAAGCTGTGCACCGATTCACCATTTTTTTAGGTATGTCTCTTACAAACAGGGTACCACATATTCATTTTCATATTAACCCGTATTTCAAGTTGGGACTCTTATACCTATTTGTCTGCTCAGTGTCTTCTGTAATGGTGTTAAACTGTAATTCAGTTTGGTGGCTTTTCTGCCAGGACTGTGACGTATACCTGCTGGACGACCCGCTCTCAGCACTGGACGCCCACGTGGCGCAACAGGTGTTTGAACGTTGTGTCCTCGGAGCCATGCGAGGGAAGGCCCGGCTTATGTGCACCCACCAAGTGGGCTTCCTTGCACAGGCAGATCATGTGATTGTGCTGCGTGATGGCAAGCTTATCGCTGAGGGTGAGTGATGGCATGTCGGTCGATTGGCTGATTGATTGTACTGAGAGCAGTTTATATTGTTCGTTGAAGGTGCGACCCATTAGATCAATATTATGTGTGATGAGGGTCGTGATACATGAGACTGCACTGATTGATTGATTGAAGGACACTTTCGTTCTAGCAATGTGTGAAATCTTAAGATGCAAACGACATAAGAGGGGTGTCATAATGCCAGAAACAGCGTTGTGATGTATACATACTTGTTACAATAAAAGACAATATCTGGTGCTGAATAAACAAATGGAACCATGGTTTCAGCTTTCGAAACTCTGTCGTTTCGAAACGAAGAATTAAATAAGTATGGCAGTGGCAATACATATGTATACTATAAAGAAACTATGACGCTATGAGTAACAGAATAATCATGACTGCGTGCACAGAAGTAGCAAAACAGGAGATCTTGAACTGTGGGGGAGCAATTTCACAGGTAGTAACGTTTGAACTGATATTTTAGATGAATACTGTGAGCATGTGGAAGACTCAATGCATATGGGAGACTATGTAGAAGATTTAGTACACTGAAAAGATTGTCGTTTTTTAGTGGTTAGTGGAAGTAAAGGTATGTATAAAGAAATTGCCATAATGCGGTTACCTCAATTTGTTGAATTCAGTAAATGAGTTGCCAATTACAAAGCTTCACATATTTTTTTAATAATTAGGATTTGTTTACTTATGTTGTAAGTGCGATTTACCAGAATCTTAATTACAACTACGTAACTTCTTCGGTTTCCTTATTCCTAGGAGCATGAAAGCTCGGGTGAGTTTGTAAGACATACTGGAACAACTTTATAACTCCAAAAATTCTGTGTCCCCTCTGTTTCATCTGTCCTCGTTTTTGGTGCTGTGAAATGGTTCCAGGATGCTTTTATTCCTCTCTTATCTTTGACAGGTCCACCATCTACAGTGCTAAAGTCGTCCGTAATAGAAGCACTGCCAGAGCTGACGTCATCCGAAGAACCGTCTTTGTCGTCGTCCTCAGCAGTAAAGTCCAGCTACAGCACTAGCTCATCTGTATCTCAAGAATGTGCCGGATTGCTGGTTGAAGACGAGGAACGGGAGTTCGGAGCCGTGCGCCTGAGCACGGTACGCTCTTACTGGGACGCTGTGGGCAACTGGCTGGCTCTTACGGTCCTGCTGTCCCTTGTCCTTATGCAAGGTCAGTGTATAGTCCTTCTAGCAATATTGCTCATAGTATCGATGCTCCAAAGTGTATTGATACGCCGAAAACGTCCTAAAAGTCGGGTGGGCCACATGTTTACAATACAGCAGACAATCAGAGTTAGGTAATATACAAAGTACAATTTGGGATTGCAGTGCAGCTTACATCAGTGACACGGACAATAAAAACTCTGACGCTTAAACAACGTAAAGGGGGAGGATGTTGCCAAAGCCGCTCGTTCAATGCATTCTAAGACGAAGGTTGTTGCACACTGCTGGATGAAAGCTCATGGCTTTGATCTAAACAATGGGGTGACGCTACCTCGTGAACGAAGGGTGGGAATTAGGTAAAACTGCTGAAATTGTGATTCAGTTGCCGCGGATGTATTGGCTTGCAGCAGCAACCACAGCCCCCTATCGAGCCTTTACAAGGATGTATGTAACGTGTGACAGTGTGAAGTGTTCCCACTGTTCCGAGATTGCCAGCTGCATAGATGGAAAAATGTCTATGTCATTTGGTTAATAACTGCTGTGTTAATTTGGAGCAAATCTTTTGCAATCATTTTGCAATTCAAGGTGTACTGACGTGAAAGTTTTCAGTCGTCTTTTTTTTTTGCGTCTCAGCATTTACTGAGTTTCACATGTGCTCAGAGTCATCTTTGTGTTTAGGAGATCTGTATGATAAAACGAACTCACCTTCGAAAATTGTTGTCCATGCACCTTTTAAAAGAGCACTGACACAAAATTTTGTAGCCAAGATGGCTTCACACACACACACACACACATATATATATATCGGGAAGAATGGAAGAATGCGCTAGCTTCCTATTTCTGCGGAGCGAACATTGCCTTTCCGGGCGTGCGCGCTTATCTCTTTCGTGAGCGAACAAGAAGGTGGGGGGCTCACTTATGGTTGCCGCACTATCACGGCCACGATTAGCGCACGGCTCTTGTCCCCACAGCAGGCGGGAGCTTCTACGGGCTGTGCTGTCAACAGGAAAAAACAGTGTCATGAAAAAGCAGCCGTCCACATGTGCTCTACACATAACAAACTGCCACCAGCGGGGACAGACAACGTATTGCCCTTAGTGCCAGCATGTGATTCCCACGGGAGGCGCTTGTCATCAACGCCGTCACTACGCAGGAGCCTTGTTGTGGTCATCTACTGTAGCAGTGCCGCAAGAAATTTGGTTACTTAGCAAGCGCATGTATACAACAATTAATATTGCTCCTAATAGTGCTAGCCTTCAGTCGCAAGCAAACTTTATGCATTGTTACAGTGTCTCGCACTTCCACTGACTGGTGGCTTGCTGTGTGGGTCTCTTGGGCGAACACGACTGACAATCTGCAAAATCGTCGTCTCATCAGGTGACCCTTCTTTCCCAGCCTTCTGACGGGTTTTTAAGGTGCGCATGACAAAGCTGTTTGTTATAATTGTCAACTCCTTGTGAAGACTCACTTTCAGAAAAATGACTTCATCACTCTTTCACTCTCGTAAGAATTCAAATACAAGGAGAAGAACGAAGAAACAACGTTGAGTGAGCAGAATGCAGAGTTAAGCAAAATGGGAACTGGGCCCTGCAACACTTGTCCAAGTAACCATCAAATGGCCTCACTGAAGGAGCTTCTTGCTTCACATATCGACCGGCGAAAAAATATTTAGAATCTGGCTAGCACAAGCGGATACAGAGATTAGTTGCACGCTGTAATTACTGTCTCTCTTCTCTTGTTCCGACAAGCGCGTTGAAGCTAAGCAGGGAGGGATTGCCCGGTAGAAAGAATTAAGTTATGTCACGCATGCATTATGACCTTGAGCACTTTTTTCTCCAAATAATTGCATGCAGGCATCTTGTGGCGGCCGTGGTAGCTATGCTATTTACGATGCTCAATTAGCTGTGAATTTGTGTATATGGCGTGGTCCTTTCTGTAGAGTATGCGGCATCATTTGTAGGAAGAAGAGGGAACATTTGCTAGCTGACTTGTAAGAAGTCATTGTAAGTTTCAGGCTGCACCATAAAGCTCACATGTTCTTAGGAGCCTTGACTGCCTAACGGCAGTGCTATTTGACCTTGCTGAAAATGTTGGGTTCCTCGAAAAATCTGCTTCAGTTGTAGGACCCGAGTTTATTAGATTTGAGTCTGTGCTTCACGTTGGACCCAATTTGTTGTTCCACTTTGTGGAACGTAAGCTCAAAAAACAGCTCAAGAGACATGTACTAAATGAAGTATGAAAGTGAAGCGCAAATTATCTTCAACTCTTTTGCTTCACTCGTTCAGTTTTGTTTGGAATTGAAGCTGTGCCCAATTAATTATCTAGTGTAGCCATAGCAACGTGTGACATAGCCCTCCTGCCATGAGTGTTATATGCATGAGCCCTGTAATCATGCTGTCATACTCGTTAATTGAGTTTCCTTGTGTAACTTGCCATGGTATGTTACCAGATTATGTGTTGCTCTGTTAAGCTTGAGAACATGTGTTTAACTAGTTGGTAAACACTAGGAAGCTTTCGAATAGGGACCTCAGTCATTTCAGCACCCCAAAGCAATAGTGTTGAGGCCACTGCGCATGCACAGGACCCATACAATGTTTGGGTTTTGTGTTGCGGATGCTATTTCTTGAGTTTATCCGGAACCCCAAAGCTTTTCCCAGAAGCTTTGCATCAGACAAACGTGACGGCACCCACTGAAGTGACGGCTCTCGGCAAAGTCTTGAGTGACTTAGAATAGAGAAAGTGTCCAAAATGCCAAAGACACTATTTGAAAACTCTTTGCTTCTGCTTGATCCAAAGCATGCATACGCAAAGGGCTTTGGGGCCCCAAAATTTTGGAGACCCTGGCTATCACTGTCAAGGCTTTGCCTTTCAAGTGAAACTGCAAAGTGCCTTTGTGCTTCAGCAATATGAGTGTGTGATCTTGCAAGCTCTCTGTAATGTGCCTTGTAGAGAGTTTATATTATTTTGTCCATCATTGCAGTGGACACAAGCACTCCCCTCGAGGGGTAACTTATGAAGAAGTGTCTGTAAATGAAGACTTGTGAAGAAGTGTCGTCAAACTTACACAACATTATTTAAAGGCACTCGATATTTTATTGTAACAAAAATAATGTGTTAATAGGTTTATGTGCATGCTTTAATGTAGTTAACCCTGATTAACTTATAATTACATATCTATTTATTCTGAAGTCATTCATCTTCTGTTTTCACAAAAGTAGAAACCAACATCAGGCTATAAATGCAGTGCAACTTAGTTTTTGGTTATATTCATTTCAAAAAAAAAAAAAAATTACTCTTCTGATGTGCCTCGCAGAAAGCTGCAAGTCTAATGAATTGTCAAGCCTTCAGCAAAGTGATCATATGCGACACTTAAACAAAGATGCGTTAATTATGTAGGAGGTTCAACAAACCATAGCTGTACACTTTGCTCTTTCATATCCACTAGTCCTAAAAAAGACAAGTTGTGTTCATAAATGTGTGCAAAGGGCTTCAAAGCATAGAGTTTTCTATATATGCACTAGAGGGAACTCTGGCGCTAGTGCTTATGGGAGCTGCATTGCAGGGCGCTTCAGCGAGCATGGGAATGATAGGTAGTACACGGATTTGTCTAATTTTCGTACTTCTGCCTCCGTGTGTGTTCATGTGGCTTGGAGCTGTTTTGTCGCGAAACGAAAATCAGCAAATGTTCAGCAGTTGCACCTAACCACCTTTTTGTTTTAGGCTTACCATTTTGAGTCGGGTCACAAAATACAAAAGGGTTCGTTCTTTCATTCAAAACAAAACCAAAACACAGCAATAAACGAAGCTACAAGTACGATTCATCGGCCGCAAGTACGAAGACTAGGTAAATGTGTGACCATGGGAGTGTGTACCCATCACTCCCATGGTCACTCAACGATCGCAGTGCCACGGTCCCTTCTAGTTAATTTTAGGAAACTCTATGCTTCAAAGGTCAGCAATGTGTCCTCTTACTTTCTTACTGTTCCAGAGACACAAACAGTGATGTCATGAATGTCTTCCTGCCAATCTATGGTGGCCTCGCCATGGCCAACGGTTTCCTGACGTTGGCTCGTGCTTTCTCATTTGCCTACGGCGGCATTGTGGCCGCGGTCAAAGTCCATGACTTGCTTCTCGACAAGGTGCTCAAGGTAATTACGTGCAGCATTGCTCTGAGAGACGAGTCAGACATCTTCTTAATGGGGCGTCAATCTAAATTCTTCTAGAGTTTGCTCATTGTGGCCACGGCTACTATCTAATCGAATATCCACAACACCAACTGTGCACAAGAAGCATACGTATGTTAGTTGCAAGCTTCAATTAGGTCACAAATGCAATAAAAGTGGCAAATAAGAGTCACTGGCACTGTATTCCTGTTGCCCTTGTGTGGCCACTGCGTCAATGTCATAGTGTTCATTCACACAATTGCTGCTTACCTTTTGGCAAATGAAGTTAGTGAAAATGTTGCGGAAACACAAACAGTTGCACAGCTTTGCGACTCATGGAGCACACAGACATCGCATGAGATTGCATGTAGCATACAATGACAATAAAGGCAAAAAAATGCACTCCATTTAGTTTTGTAGCATTTAATCACCCACATCATGAAGGTTTCATTTGACTCAGATTCCATCATGTGCATTGTAATCTGCATAATATTTTATATTTACCATGTTAGGCTTGGGGTTGCCTAATCTTGAGTGTAAATGTAATGGGGGAAGTAGGGGCATACAGCTGGCAACAACACCAACAGATTAAGTATGACACGATAAGACTTGAAAAGATAAGACTTTAGCCCATACACTATGTCATCTCCTACATTGCTCCGTTACACCTGCACATTTGCACAAATCTGACACCGTTAGCAAGTAGGATGTGCGAAAATTGCAAACCAGCCAGCTGCACCTTTCCTAAATCTTTTTTTACTGCTGTGCTACGCTTATCCTATCCCCCCTTTTTTTATATTAAGGGCATAGTTTAGAGGACTTCACTGCCCGGTCACTGTAAATATTGGCAGGGCACGACACCTCGAAAAACTGATTCAGCTGGTGCAAATGGCTCGAACAGAGGATGCTCAGCAAATGCTCGCTTTGGGCCATGGGGTCTGTGTATGTATATTAAGCTTTTGTGTGTTTGTATTCATGTTACCATTACCCGTTTGAAGCTTATGCAAAGGTCCAGATAAGTAACCAGCTACATGTTTCCCCATTAAAACAGGCACCACTGTCATTCCTGGAAGCCACTCCTGTGGGTCGGGTGCTGAACCGCTTCTCGACGGACATCTGGTCGATCGACGACACGCTGCCGTTCATGTTGAACATAGTGCTGGCACAGAGTGTGGCACTGGCAGGCACTTTGGTGGTCACCTCCTATGGCCTGCCCTGGGTGCTTCTGTTGCTCGTACCCTTGGCATTTGCATACCACTCCCTCCAGGTACAATATTTGCTGTGAACTGCATAGTATTGAATATTTATAAAAAAATGGCTCAAAGCTAGCAGTTAATCGTGCAATGCCTGATACACAGCACAGCGAAGCTGATCACTTTCATGCTTATGCATTGCTGTATCTAGGCAGAACTTTTGCTTTATCTTGGCTGTAGTGATGTTGAGCTTTTTCGTGAACTTGGCTTAACGTCGGCTATAGCGTTGTTGAACTTTTGCTTGAGCTTAGCGAATCCATTCGATGCTGTTGTTTCTGTTCTCACGCAGTAACAAGCCTTGTTTCTCGGATCGCGGCTTCTTCCTCGGTAGTGCGATTTATCTTCGGGCGACTTGTGGCTGCATATGATAAAGCATGAACTGTGCACTAGCTTTTATAACAATAAAGTATCTCGTGGCAGTGGTGTAATTATCGTAACAGGCACGCTGTTGGTGTGAAGTTCCAAGCAGGTGGCACGGCACTCTCAGATACCTAATATTCCTTTAAGGCACAGCCCCTTTGTGACAATGTTAGTCTTCTGATAAGCTGCACACATTTCTGTGGCACATACCCATTTGTTGGGCTAACTTGCTGAACAGTTTGCAAGTATCAGAAACAGCTTTATTGCTGTAGCAATTGCAGTAACAAACAGCAATTGCAGTAACGAGGTATGTATTGCTACTGCAATACATACCTCTGCGATGCCTTTTCTTTTCTAATATACTCTGCGATGCCTTTTCTCCTCGTAACAATATGGACACTTGAAGAAAGCCAGCCCAAGCACAGAACACAAGAAAGAGGCAAACACCGCTGAAAGCGCACCTCTTTCTCATGTCCGGAGCTTTTCTTGGCTTTCAAGTATCATGAACCAACTGTCCCTCATTTCAACTCTTCCATATGCATGCTCTCAGTGTGTTTTCACCATCACTTCCAGGCTCTGTATAAAGTCAAAATCAATAACATTACCCTATGAATTGCACGTTCTACTCACAAGTAAAAGCTTGCGAGTGGTAACAACAACTGCGGCTGAAGCAGAGATGAAACGAGCTGTCTCCATTGCACAGGAGGTGCATGCAATAACATCGCGCCTCGTGCAAGACCTGCCGTCAGTCGCTCATCAAGCAGAGGGGAAACACCCTACATTTTTCATAAGCAACATGAAGGGATTCCGGGGAGGGGGCTGCTTCGCTTGAAAGGCACTGTATATCTCGACAATCATGCGGAGACAGCATGTAAACTTGGTGTGCTGTCAAAGTTTACTTCGCATTTAGAGAACTGACGGCTCGAAAGCTGCTTCAGTCCCTGGCTTGGCCATATTTCCTTAACTTAGCGTTTTGTTGAAATACACGAGACAAATTCAAAATAGTTAATTGCTAGCCTTACTTGCCACATTGCGATCTCTTTTATCACATTTATTGGTTTGCCCTTTAGTGAAACTGATTCTCTTTTTTTCTGATTGTGCTATATCATGTCTCATTGAACTTGCACCACGCATGCACTGTGGTGGGGAATTTCACCTTGAAGACTGGCACCACTTGCTTGCAAGCATTCGTTAAGGCTAGATCTTGTTTTTAGTGAACCCCTGTCTTGTGCGAAATGCCATTTTCTATGGAGGCGAAAGTGCATGAGGATTAGGTGTTTCTCTTAATAAGGGTTGTCAAAAGGAGCACCACCTTTTCCCAACAGTGTAAGAATAGAACGGTGCTGGAATTCAAGTGCTACTTAAGGGGGGATGCGGCTTTCAAAACTAACGTTGTTGTTTCCGGTTGAATATTGATGAAAATTGGCACAGACAGTAAAAATGACCTCACAGTGCTTCAATGAAAATTCAAGGTGATACCACAAAACTTATTGAGAGACTAATTATTTCATCATTAAACCTCATGGAGGTGCTGGAGGATTTATAAAATGACAAAAATAGTTGGCAATTACTGTACGCACAGCCAAATGTATGCTGAAGGTGGCAGCGTTTTCAAAATAATTTTTTGCAACACTAAATTTTGTAGTTAACATTTTATCCAGTGAAACTGCAATGAGCACACTTGAAATACAAACAAGAAACCCTACAAAAAATTTTTTAGGGAGTAAAATGAAAAAAACTAAGACCGTAGCCCCCTGAAGCACACAGTTCAAGGGTTGTTACAAAACAAACGCAACCAGAATCTGTGCAGTGGTTGCCAAGATATCTGCTCCATGGGCTGAGCATAATGCTAAAAAAACAGTATTGAGAAAACAGCTTTTAAAGTTTTGCCTTCTATTTACGTCTCTAAAACACCTAAAAATTGATATCTTAGGCTCGTCTTGTGATATGACTTCTTAGGCATGTGGCCTCTGCCCAGTGTGCCTTTGTCGCATATATTTTTTTTTTCATAACCTCACTTTTTTTTTATCTACAGAGAAAAAGTATGAATTTCAAACCAAGTTTTCTGTATGAAGGAGTGGAGTGATAGGCATGAAAGAATAGATTGTAGTTGAATTGGGCCTCATACTGAAATGATTACACATCTTTCTTGTGTTCCAGCTGTCATTAGCACAATTAAGACTATGTGCAAAGCTGACAGAAAATTGTACACATAGTGAAAATTCCGACATGATTAAAATGGAATGGCAAACGCATGTTTCAATGGTAGCAGGATGGGCATTTTGAGGGGCATTCCAAAAGGTCGCAAACTCTAGAAAGGAGATTGGAGATGCTCCGTCTATTTCGCCACAAAATTCTACATTCAAATAGTCTTCTGTAGTAAAACTCGATATCTTCCATCACTTAGAGAATTCCTAGAAGATATTCTCTGTAGAGGTTTTCTAGGATTTATTATAGATAATGATCGCAGCTGTAAAGAAAGTCCATGAGACATTACGCTAGGAAAGAGAGCTGTCAGTGTAATCTCAAATACTATAAAAGATAAATTTGTTAGCCTAAAAAGTGAAATAGTAAATCTAGTTTTCCTGAAAGTATGAGTGTTTGTGAGCTCTCAACTTCACAAAAGTATGAAAGGAAGAAAGCTTGATTGTTTCAAGTGTAGTGTTGAAAATTCCGTTATTGTTGTGCATTTTGTTGCTGCAGCAACGTTGCCATTATTTATTCTACAGCAATACTACCGCTGGACATCGCGGGAGCTGAGACGTCTGGGCAGCATCACGCTGTCGCCCGTATACTCACACTTTAGCGAGACGTTTGCCGGTCTCTCGGTCATCCACAGTTTCAAGGTGGTCACTAGGTGAGAAACGTGCCACATGCGTCGTCTGTTCAAAGGCCCGAAAAAGATTCAAGAGCGCGACATTGGCAAAGAGAAGACTCAAGGGTGTTGCCCAAGTCGTGCCTCTGCCTGCAGTGTAGTAATTCATGATGCTTTAAAGGTTGAGAGAAAGGAAAAAGACACAGGAACAGTGCACATAAAGACAAGTACTAACTTTCAGTAAAATTTGATTGTAGAGATATTCAAGTTTAATGCAGGATATGTGTACAATGAATTTACATTCATTTACCAATAGTAAATAATAGCACATGTGATGAAATGTACACGCCAAGAAAAATCGAGTATTTCGGGAGTGCTTCTGCTACACAAGAATAATCACCATCTGTCTCGAGCACTTTCCTGTCATTATCACCATGGCTCCAGTAGTTCGCGCTCACGAGCAGCGCACTTTATCAGTGTGACGTAGCATTCCTGACAGCAAAGTGGCCAGCGCCGGGTTTTCAAGAAAGGAAACGCGAGCAAGACAGATGACAATCATAGTTGTATAGCAGAACTACTCCCCGAACACTCCAGTTTTTCTTAGAGTGATAGCTGAACTAAGCAGAATCTACAATACCATAAAAGAACATTTCAAATGGAGAGTGAAACGATTGTGGTCACGACATGCACAAATCTGCACTATCCCAGGAAGTCTACTCTTTTCACTTAGAAAAATGAAATACTTGTTCATGCAAGAACATCCTTCTCACTTCATCTGTGCTGCTTCTACTGCTATAATGAAAGTATGGTCATTTGCATGATATAAGTAAGAATCTTAGCTTTGTGGGTTGGCCTTGAACAGCTCAAAAATATTGCGTGAAGTTCGAGATGAGTTAATTAATCATTGTCATCAGGGGGTCGAAGAGATTATACTGTATATTAAATTATTACACAGCACTTGACCATCTGTCATCTGTTTACGTATTTTTGTGTCATTATAAATTGGCACCGCTGCCCCATAGTGACGGGGTGCTATCACTCCCTGTAAAGTAATTTGTGCCTTGTGTCGCACACGTGTATCGCGGATAAGCTGTATTTAGGGTTAACAGTCGCTGAGCAGTAGGTGGCGCAGCGCTCCCACGTGATCTTCACTGTCATCATCATTATTATTAGCGCAGTAGCAGCAGCAGTGATGCCTGGCGGCGAGGCTAGGTGGCTGCACAGAAAAAATTGGAGAGGCTCTTTGGTGCGTAACGGCTCGTGCGAACGGTTGTCTCCCGCAGTGGGTCCATGGGGACGGCACTGTGGGTCGTTTCCCGTGGTGAGTGAAGCCAACACCTCCTTTCTTTCAATGCCAGTGCAAACACGCACTTCTCAACGAAAGCCGTCGGTCCGCCTTATTTCAGAGAGTGGTCGTGATGCGGCACTATATGAGGGGTCACACTGCACGCGCCAAATGTGCTTCCGAGCGCTTTCCCCCCAGAGATGGGACAGATGTGTTTCCCACTCCAATATCATACGTCTGTCAGATTTGTTTCTTCGGGCTTCTACTTTGTAGCTTGAAGCAATGCCGCCGCTACATCACAGCACTCTCAAAGTCAGAACCACTGGATTGGGCGCATCTGGCTGGCATTGATAAAATATAGTAGGTGCTGGTGAAGCGTTGGCAACCCCACCTTCACGTTACCTTGTTCGTTCTTATGTTTGATCGAGTACATTGGAATATATTGTATAAGGTTCTGTTTAGCGTGCTGGTCACTAGTGATTTACTTGATTCGGCTGACGATATTATTTATGTAAAAGTAGTTCAATAAATATTTTGTTTTGGTTTGATTCGACCGCGTTTCTGTGTCCAATAACTCCAAAAGCGGGCTCTTATTTCGAGATCCCACAACAGTCAGTAGTTCTTTTGTGCGAGAAAGCATATTAATGATAACGGTATCCCTTCATCTTAAAGCCTGCTTTATGGTACTTTAACGATGAAAGCTTCTTGTGTGTTTTGCTTTCAGGTTCTGCCAGGAGAACCTGCACAAGCTAGGAGTCAACCAGCAGGCCGTGTTTGCATCACAGGCAGCATCCCAGTGGCTCAACCTGCGACTACAACTTATGGGTGTTCTGCTTACTTCTGGTGTCGCCTTTTTGGCTGTTGTCCAACACCAGGTCCGTGGGGTCAGTGCAGGTCAGGGCTATTTTGTGCTCAGAGCAGTGTGCATTCATCCATTTTTAGTACCTTAGAGATCTCATTTGTAGTATCACATTAGGGGCCGTCAGCACTTTCATACAATGAAAAGCAGGTGTTAACTAGCACGGTGTCCAGGCATTCCAAGTGATGAGTCATCAAAGAATCCCCACGAAGCCTAGCTATTCTTGCTAAATCATATTAGGCTTGTGCAAATATTCAAATGCTTCGAATATTCGAACGAATAGTAGAGTATATGAATTCGCTTTGAATTAAAATTATCGAATATTTCGAAGTACTTGATATGAACGAATCATCATTATCATCAGCTTGACTATGTCCACTGCAGGACAACGACCTCTCCCATGTTCCGCCAGTCAACTCGGTCCTGTGCTTGCTGCTGCCAATTTATACCTGCAAACTTCTTAATCTCATCTGCCCACCAAACCTTCTGTCTCCCCCTAACCCTTTTGCCTTCTCTAAGAATCCAGTTAGTTACCCTTAATGACTAGCGGTTATCCTGTCTACGCGATACATGCCTGGCCCATGTCCATTTCGTCTTCTTCATTTCAACTATGATATCCTTAACTCCGGTTTGTTCCCTAATCCACTCTGCTCTCTTCTTGTCTCTTCAGATTACACCTACCATTTTACTTTCTATTGCTCGCTGCGTTGTCCTCAATTTAAGCTGAACCCTCCTTGAAGGTCTCCAGGTCTCTGCTCCGTAGCTAAGTACCGGCAAGATGCAGCTGTTATATACCTTTCTTTTGAGGGATAGTGGCAATCTACCTGTCATGATTTGAGAGTACTTGCCAAATGTGCTCCACCCCATTCTTATTCTTCTCGTTACTTCAATCTCGTGGTTCGGCTCCGCGGTTATTACCTGTCCTATGCAGACATAGTCTTTTACAACTTCAAGTGCACTATTACCTATCTCGAAGCGCTGCTCTTTTCCGAGGTTGTTGTATATTATTTTCGTTTTCTGTGGATTAATTTTAAGACCTACCTTTCTGCTCTTCTTGTCTAACTCCGTAATCATGAGTTAATAGGTAATCATAAACGAATGAATGTATACTGAACTGCATGTAACCACCTGTGAAGGTGGTTTCACTGCTGTATAGCGAAGCTAAGCCGTAAAAGCATCTATTCAGGAGAAATTAGCTCTGCCGCGAAGCCTCGCTTCAAATTTAGAGGGGCCCTGCAACACATTTTGAGCATGCTCAGCAAACGCTGCAGATCGGTAGTCAAGGCTACAGAGAACATGTGACCTAAATTATATAGCGCAGCACGTAACTTGGAATTCACAATGAATTCTAAAAGTAACACAAAAATTGCTCTCTTTTCTCAGCAAATGACACCACAATGTCAGAAATCGCTCGTCACAGCCGTTGTACCAGCCATTAGCTGATTTGAGCATGGGGCGCTCCGTTGTTACTGGGGCCACTGCAGGTGACCGCAACATGTCCACGTGTACCTGTGCAATCGCACTAAAAAGCCGCATTATCAAAGAAAGAGTGCTCAAGGTCACGACACGCACGTGACGTATTTTCTTTCACTATGCCATCTCTCTTGGCTTCGCTTCAAGCGCTTTCGTCGAGACGAGAAGAGAGAATGCAATTGCAGCATGTGTCAAATCTTCGCAACTCCACTCATACTGGACAGATTCTAAAAAGTTGTTCAGGGCCTAATTCATAAGGTAATAAGCTTCTTTAATGAATCTATTTTTTGAAAAACTGTTAAATGAACATAATATCCTCAAATCGATTGATCATTTTTTAAGCTTAGAAGCTTGTTTTGCTGGCTTATACACTCTAGCTGTAATGAATAATGTTACATATTTTACAGATCATCACTTGCATCCTACTGAAAGTGAAATCCTGCTACTTCTCAAAGTTGTTTCTACTTCCTTTGAATTGAAAAAAGTAATGAAAGCATAGAGGCCTTGTTTAAAAAAAAATATTGTGCAGGTTAGTTGTCATGATAAATATGCCCATTTTCTTAACAAGTCATATATTTTATTTGAATTCGATTTGAAATTATTCAACCAAATTTCTACTTGCATCGAATTCGCTTCGAACCTTATGTTTATTATTCGCACAAGTCTATAAATCATGTTTTCGTATTTACTTTTTTGTTTATTCAGTGAATGCTCTGCATCGTCGACTTGAAAGACAGTTCACCAATTGTAGACAAGCGCTTGTCCATTTATGCTGCATAGTTTAATGCTGTAGTGTCAAGTATGTCTTTATGTTTTCTTGGCTCCTTGCCTCTGGTGGTTCAAAAGCATTAGGAACAAAAAAGTGCAAAACATGCAGTAGAGTGCAAACACAAAAAAAAGCCTTTATTGGGTACAGAATTGGCAGCTAGTTCAAATGTAGCATGCTGAAGAATTTAGAAGATTGAGCTCATTACGTAGAGATTGCACATTCAAGTCATTGGGAATACCTGTGTTGCCTGTGATGAACACTCACAAACAGAGGAACTTCGTGTCATTGTGCAGAATGACCAGGGAGGGTGCGAATGTTTCGACGCAAATGTCACCTGAGGGCGACACATAGGGTGCATTGATGCGGTCAGTGCACGATTATTTCCTAGGTGCAGAGGAAACGGACATTCACCGAGTACCCATGCCACTTTCATGTCCTAAAATGTCTGCTGTGACAAAAAAAGTAATGCCGGAGGTATCAAGCAAATACAGTATCGTGTTTCCTTTATATTTAGAATTTTTAGGTGCATCTCTTGAAACATGCTGTACAGTATGTTCCAATACTACCTGGCCCTCTGTGAAATGCAGTCGCAGCTATGCTCGGCAAATTATTGTGTATATCATAGTTTTGAAATTTCACTGAAATAATTTTTATAAATATAAGATATTTTATACCTTTTTGAAGGTGACTGTGGGAAACTTTAAAAATAAAGAATACTAAAACTCAAATGTGGAGCACTTTAGAGGCCCCAGCTGTCACTTCTGTTGTCTCATGTCGTCACTTGGGGTCATGTTCAAAGTACCAGAATAGGTCAAAAGGAGGAGCTGAAAGTCAACAGGAAAATAGCTCATTAAGAGAGGGCGCCACTCATCACAAGTGAAGGTTTTTATTGTTGCTGTGGATACCAAACAGGCTGTACGTTTGGAATGCCAGTGCATGCTTGCTTTGAACACCAGCGTCACTGAAGGGCCAACTCGTCTGTCTGAGCCAGCGAAATCCCCTTTCTGGTAGTTACCTAGATGCATATCTACTGAAGAAAGCGGCAGCAGCGAAACACCAGCAATTCATGAGGTAACCCTAAGATTCGTAAGACTTGGATACAAGCCGCGCACTACCAAATATAGGTAAACCCACTGCTTCAACTTAGACAGACACAAGACAACCATCAACAGAGGAACCCTCTGCTCTGATCTACAATTTGTACGGTTTATATGGCGTGGAACCGGCACAAGCTTTTATATATTGAATTACCCACATATAAAACTTTCTTGTAATCCCCTTCAGATTTTACCTGTGTTGTGAACTAGGTAAATAAAGGTGACTGTTGGCTGGGCATTAACAGTTGCACATATTACAGGTTTCGTGGGCCTGGCACTGTCGTATGCGCTGTCGGTCACATCCCTGTTGAGCAGCCTGGTGACGTCGTTCACGGACACAGAGAAAGAGATGGTCAGCATGGAGCGGTGTGACCAGTACATCAAGGGACTCGAGGAAGAAAGGCTTGATGGGGGCATCTTAGTACGTTGTGAACCTATTTGATTCTAGCGTGTTTTTTTTGTTCAATACGTTTATCATAGGGAAGTTGAATTCAGCACTATAGTAATACCTTCATTACGTTAAATTATTTTTACAAGCATTTGTTTGCTTGCTGTTGTAGCATCTTAGTGTTGCTTTTATATACTATTTCTTAATAAATTTGTGTTTATGTTTGTTATGCTGATGGTTTTGTCTGGCCTAGTTAAATAAATAAATCTTCAGCTGTTGCATGCTGTATGGTCACTATAGTGAAGTTGAGTTTAAAATGAAGATAACCATTTGTAGGTACGTTCATATTTGTTGCATGCTGTAACATGGTATCTTTGTTCTACTACCATGTTGTGATTCGTTCATGTTTGTTATGCTGGGGTTGAACTAAGTATTTTTCATCGCGGTAGCATGACTTCGCGGTTTTGCACCTCTTGCTGTGAAGCCATACTGTGCTGCATTGGAAGTCACTAGTCCAACTGCCTGCAATTTAGTCTTTTCACGGGGCTGAATTGACCAAGAGTCGTGTGTTGTTGTTTGCAACTATTTGCCTGTTTTAAGCATACTACTCCATTGCTTCTTCTTCTGGGTGCCACGATTTGGCGTGTGGACTTATATGCTGCAATCTACAGGGTTTGCGTGCCATTCAGTATAATCGCTCAATCCTCGATAAATTCTGTGACTTTGGTTATTTTATATGCCTAAAAGAGTGTTGCTTGAGTTACTTTAACAACTGGACTGCCTAAGGCAGAGATAAATCCCTGGGTCTTCGTTGACCACGCTTTCCAGCCCAGCTGCGAAAGTGGAGCCTGACGAGAGGGAAAGTCAAGTGGTTGAGAGGGAAGCCTTGTGGCCCCGCCGCGGTGGTCTAGTGGCTAAGGTACTCGGCTGCTGACCCGCAGGGCGCGGGTTCGAATCCCGGCTGCGGCGGCTGCATTTCCGATGGAGGCGGAAATGTTGTAGGCCCGTGTGCTCAGATTTGGGTGCACGTTAAAGAACCCCAGGTGGTCTAAATTTCCGGAGCCCTCCACTACGGCGTCTCTCATAATCATATAGTGGTTTTGGGACGTTAAACCCCACATATCAATCAATCAGAGAAGCCTTGTGTAGTAAGTCTATCCAACTAGAGAAGGGTAGCAATGCTAGTGAAATGGAGAGAGTGAAGCTTGGAGGAGAGCGTGATTGGCTGTATCCGTGAAAGGAGTCGGCCTATAGTGGCACACGCTCGAGCACAAGTGGTGCTGGTGAGACGAAGAAGGACATGCTGTGAGCAAAAGTGCACTTATGCTACTAGTATTTAATCAGCCCTCGCGACGTCTATTCAGTTGAAGCTGCATGTATTTTCTAAGTGTATCCTGACATCATATGTTTTGTAGCCTCCCTTCGGATGGCCGTTCTGTGGTGCAGTCAAGTTCAGCAAGGTGACTCTTCGTTATCGTCCCGGTCTACCCGCTGCACTGAGTGGCGTAAGCTTTGAAGCGGCGAAGGGCTGCAAGGTGGGCATAGTGGGCCGCACGGGCGCAGGAAAATCCAGCCTGCTCCAGGCTCTGTTTCGGCTTACGCCTGTCGAGAGTGGGCAGATCTACATTGACGGCATCGATGTCCTTCGTGTGAATCCCAAGGAAGTCAGGTGTGTTTCATAGCAAAATGAACTACAATAGACTTTTAATAGATAGATATCTCTTAAATTAAATTGTTACCTAAATGAACAACTGCCTCTTATATGATTGGTTTCATATTTGAATTCTGCACCGTTGTTCATGTCTCAGAAAATGGGACTCCTGTTGAATACGACGTATTTTCCTGGCTCCTTCAGGTTTTATTTACCGAAAGTCTAGTGTAGATAGTATTGGCTAAGTAGCATTTGTTGTCAAACTAGTTGGCACGTAGCTGAAGTGGAATTGACTTGCACAATTGCTGACACAGAGACGAAAAGCACTGGACAAGCACAAATCGGCAACTAAGTTTTGTTCTTCCAAAAGCCCTGCTTCACAATCCTCAAGCATGCACACAATACCAAAGAAAGCAAAATAACATGTGTTCCTACAAATGATGTTATTTCACTTTCTTTGACCTTGTGCATGAAATTTAGTTGCGCTTGTTCGCAGCCTGTGTTCTTTATCCCTGTCCAAGCATTTGTGCCCTTCAATTCAACTTGATGGCTTTTGTGCTATAATAGCAGCTGGGTTATCAGATGATCACTGGGTAAGAAGAAAGCAGAATAGATCATAGAACAAAGGCATCCAGCCGATATTCTAGTTGATAAGAAGAAAGCATATCTTGGCAAGTCACGTCACAAAAAGAACATATAAACAATGGTCAGTTATAACATTTTTTATTTTTTATTAGGAAGATTACCCGCAGCACCATTTTAGGCAGTATTGCCTAAAAGTGCCTCATAAAAGTGCCTCTAGTGCCTCATAGAATTAATCTGCATTGAAATAGATACCAAGAGATGGGAACTGCAAAGGACAAGAAAAAAGGTTATGTGGAACGACAAAATGAAGAAGTCTACAGGTATAAAATGGACAGAATTTGCAAAGAGTGCGTAGAATTGGAGGTAATTGAGAAAGGGTGTCATCCTGCAAGTAGATGTAAAATAGGCTGATGATGATACTGAACATTGGTAGTGACATCTTGAGACACCTTGTCTAATCATACTGCCTTACAGACAGGTTTTCTTGCTCAATGAGTGTTTTTGACAAAAAAAAAGCAAAAAGCATATGGAAAGGCAACATGCTTCCTGCTACAACAGACCTGCTGCCACCAGCTGGATGACAACATTTGCCTTTTGCATTACGAACTTTCGGCAAGGCTCTGTATTGAGTAGACCTCCCTTTGTACCTGAATCGCTACTTTCACAGGTCCAGGTTGGCAGCCATCCCACAGGATCCGTTCGTGTTCTCGGGATCGGTGCGAGACAACGTGGACCCTCGGGGTCTTCATTCAGACAGCCAGATATGGCGGGCTCTGGACAGGTGTCAGCTAGGACGCACTGTGCGGTCGCTGTGCAACAATAGCGCTGCGGCGGGCACGGGCCTCGAAGCGAGCCTGGGTCTGCGCGGTTCTGTGCTGAGCGCTGGACAGCGTCAGCTTTTGGCCCTGGCCAGGGCCCTTCTTTACAAGGCACGGGTGAGTGCGTTGGAGGCAGCGTATCACAGCGAACAGCTGATTCAAGGTCAGCTGCGAAATGCTGGATTGCACAAAACAGTGTAGTTTAAGCTAGTTAAGGGGCACTCCAACATTGTTTGAACAAATTACAATTCTGCCTGGCAACATGTTTGATAAAAATGTGGTATTTTATGGAAGATAGAAGTGAGACGCGGTATGTGACACGGACTGGAGGAGAGGACAACAATACAAGCACACAAATTTGCACCATTCTCTCCTCCAGTCTGTGTCACATACCATGCCCCACTTTTATCTTCCATACTCAACCGCTACCAACTAGCCCAAATGGCTGTTTTGCTACATGTGGTATCTGTTGCAAACATATACACAACCAGAACACAGCGAGTTCAATGTGTGCTGCCATACTTAGGCGGCGTGTTACACAAGCAACGTGTTACACTATCTCTCGCAGGCACAGCGAAGCAACATCCTAAACTGCCACGCTAGCAAACGCTCCACAAATCAAACGCGAAACTCCCCCACCCCAGGTTCGGCTGTAAGCACGTTTCATGCTTTTCCTCTCCTAGAAATTTGTGCTGCTTTTTTTTTTTGCGAACATCAAAAAGACCTTCCTCGACAGTCTGTAATGCCACAGCATATGCATTGCATACTGCGGAAGCAACTTCATCAGGTACGTACTGTTGCGATGGAAAGAAACGCCAACAACAAAAGTGTGGCTTTTGACTCTGTCGAACTGCAACATGCCTTCACTGTTGCTAGGCAAAAATTTTGCTTTCTGCCGGCTTCATTATAGCACTGGAATCCAGCTCTGGCTTGTGCTCATGCATCGAATGTGCTTATTATTTGCCAGTCAAGCCTGACACTCAGAATGTGCATGCGGTTACAAAGTGCCAGTCAGAGCATGATTTTATACTGCTACAGTGATGCTGGCTGGGAGAACAGATTCGCCTATCGACAGTGAAGGCATGGTGCTCGGTCGACCGAGTTGAAAGCCACGCTTTCAGTGTTCACATTGCTTTGCATTGCAATAGTACACAGTTATATTGTACTAAACATGCTCATAATGTGCATGCACGTAAGAGTAATTTACTCATGCAGTCGAACCCCACTACAACGAAACTGATGGGGCGCGAAAAAAAATTTGAAGCGAAAATTTCGTTGTAGTGAAACCGATAAAATATAGCTGATCTTACCTAGCAAAACAAAGGAACGTTTATTTTCAAAATTCAAAAAGTGTTCGCTGCTTCCTATTCTTTTTCAGCAACGTCACGACGCGATTCTCATGCATGCATAGCGAGGCCATGGTGAAATGCACGCCGAAAAAACACCTACAACCGCTTTTGTGAACGAACCAAACAGTTGTATTACCACGTTAACACCAGCAGCTGTCCGCTGTCAAAGTGTATCTGACAATGCCGAGATGTAGTCAAGGTATCGTAGAGCGGTAACTTGTGCCTTATTCTATGCCATTCTTATCATCCACCACTCTCAGCTAGCTGAGCTTGTTAATGCGGACAAACAGCCACTTTGATTAGTTACCACAATGACCAAGCCCAAACGAAATGATACACATTGGCATCGAAAAAGGCATCGTTCCGCACATCTGCGTGAAAAAAAACACCATGAACTGAGCGACTGAGCTTCAGCTTCGGATCGTCTGTGGCTCAAAAGCAAGCCAATGGCAAAACCAGGGCAGTCTAATTGACGTCACTATTGAGCAATGGAAGCGCCCATGCTTGTTGAACAGCGGTAGATTATGGTGGTGCTAGCGCATGTTTTAGGCTTTGTTGACGTATCTTCAGGTTTAGAAAATGCATTAAAATGTTAAAGATTGTGTGTACTATACAGCAATAAATATCTGAGCCTTGAATGGCATTGTTAAATTTTGTCGAAGCGGGAAGTCAGAAGAAAAAGTGTTCGTTGTGGCGACAATATTTATGCATTGACTCCTATGGACTGCAGACGAGGAACAGTGACTTTTTCGTTGCAGCGGAAATTTCATTGAAGTGGCGTTCGTTGTAGCTGAGGTTCGATCGTAATGTCTTCTATTATTGGCAGGTGGCCTGAGAAACAATATGGCAATAATTTGGTGCCGCATGCTACAGGCATGCCCCATGCAAATTACTATTGTAAAGCGCGATAGCTGGCGGCACGCAGTAAGTGTACTTACTCGTTTACCAGTGCTGGGCTTGTAGTTCTGCCTGTTGATTGCAATTATCTTTTTGTAGCAGAGCTCAGCAGTTTTCGTTGCGGATGGAAATCTGTGCAATCTGAAAGCACCAAACCGGCACGCTTCGTGTTGTGATCTTCGCAGACAGCGATGAGTAATATCTTCCTCTTGCGCTGATTGCTTTCGCATTCAAAGACAATGCAGCTGTGCCCAGACGACTTTTTGTATGCAGGAGTGACATGAACCTGCTTAAATAAAAGCATTTTGAAGTCCCGGAGCTGCCGCTTGTTATGATAACTTGACGCAATAGATACACGTCTGGCAGTTCGGAAAAAAATGACGTCTGGGTGCGAGAGTACGCTGCCGGAAGCCTAGGCACCTGAATGCGAGATAGGCATGTCTCAACAGTAGAGCTCTCAAACTCGCTTCAGTTAGCGGGTCGCAGTCGCTAAATTTAATCCCCCATGGGCTAGGACAGGGAGGCTGAACAGAAATGTGAGCTAACCTTGCGATTTCTGAAAAGATTTCACGTCTGAATTCGAGAAACATACCGGTATCAATTTTTACCCCCTATTCTAGAACACCCCTTCACTCAACGCTCCACCTTCACTTGAGAAAGCCAATGGGAGCGCCATCTCTATGCAGGTCAAGTCACTGCATATCAGTGATAATTTGCTGCTATTTTTGAGTAGCGCAGCGTCATTTTCAGCCGAGCAGTGGTGCAGTGTTCGAGTCTGTCAAGTGAAGGGTGAAAGTCGAGTGGAGGAGCGTTTGTGCATACCGGGGTTAAAATGACTGAATTCTGAGTGCCGATGCTGAAATACTAAGCTTTTGTTCAACGGTTAAGTTTCAACATTGGTGATCACGTGGGGTGCCCCAGCAAACAAAAATGCTTGAGATCAGTCATGTGTGTGCAGCCTACTCAAGCTAAACTATTCTTCGCAGTGGGTGAGAAAATGATGTGAGTACCATTTAGCAATGTTGAGTGCTCATGGACGTATTTATTAAGCAAAATGTATAGATATGAGGCTAGTACAGTCATGTGAAAACCAGCCTGCATATAAGAGATCCCATGTGTTTAAGAGTGTCCCAGCTAACCTTAGCCAGGGTTCTAAAATATGCATCAGCATATTTTGCAAACCAATTGATAACTTTCTCATTGAAATTTTTTGCTCCACTTTTTTTGCTTTGTAAGTTCCTTAATTAACATGCCTAATTAAGCGATCAAGCAGGACATAGAAAAAAAAAGTGCAGCTTACTCCTTGCAGCTGTCAGCAACATGGATTTGATCATGTCATCATATATTGTGTTGGTATATTCTTAAACTGTGGCTAAAGTTAGCTGGGGCACCCTGTATATTCGTCCTTAGACACATGAAGAAAACGCTCAACCAATGTAGAAACAAAACTGCCTCCAACTGTTCAATACAAACATGTCCCCTAGCAGCAGTTACTAAATAGTTCATTTGTATTCATTCTTAATTGGGCGTCTCACAGAAATAATTATTGCCTCACTTTATGTCCCCCTGGATACATAACTCATTCGCAAAGATGATTTTCACCTTCTTCCCAGAGCTGAATTCTAATAAAACCGTAAAGCTTGACTTTGAACACTCGGTATATTCGTTACATACTGAGCTGACCTGATATTGGCACAGTAGGTGCAACTTTCTGATATTCTGGACGAGATCACAGGTTCGATTTCTTACAGCTGCTGCTGAACTGCAATAGAGGCAAAATACTGAAACATCGCAAAAAACACGAGGCAACATGAGGGGTGCCCTTGAGAATGAATTTCAATCATCCAAGACTTGTAACAAGACAATTATATTTTTGTGTTCATGCACCGTTAAGCCAAAACTATAATGGCCAAAAGTTTACCTTGAAGCCTAGAACTCGGCAACAGAATGTTACGCTGTGAACGACCGTTATGTTATTACACTGGAGGCAGCTAGAAAGGTTTTTCGAGTGCATGGATGAAGGAAGAAAATTTGGTGGAGTGGAAATGACTTACCCGGAAATGAATCTGGATCTCCACCATCTGGCCAGTGGCATCATGAAAGATCATCTTATAGAGAAAAATAGTGGATGCTTTGCCTAACACGTCCTACAAGCCAGAGTCAACTTATTTTTGACGAGAGATACCGCTTGACTCATGTTACCAATTTTATTACCAAGCTTGTATGTCACTTTTATTGAAAACAACATTATCATTACTCAGTAGGCTTGTGCGAATATTCGAATGGTTCGAATATTTTCAAAGTATGTATTCGCAATGAACGAATAGGTGTATATTAATCCGCAGGTCACCGCTTGTAAAGGTTGTTTTACTGCAAGATAAGGGTGTCAAGCAGTGAAATTACCTACCCAGAAAAACTTGTTTAGCCGTGAAGCCCCCTTCAAACTTGAAGGGGCCCTGCAACACTAATTGAACATGGTCAGAAAACGCTGCCGATCGGTAGTCGAGGCTACCGAAAACACGCGAGACAAATATTCTAGCGTAGCACATTGCCTGTAACAAATTTTCAAAGCTAAAAACTGCTTTCTTTTTTCGGCAAATGACACTACGAGCTCAAAAATCACTTGTCACAGCCAAGAAGAAATATACGGCTCTGGTCACAGGCATTGGCTGATTTGAGCATGGTGCGCTCGTCGTTACTAGGGGCCGCCGCTTGTCTACAAGTACGTGTGCGATCGCACTGAAAAGCCGCATACTCGAAGAAAAAAAAGAAAGAGGTGCTCAAGGTCACGAGGTGCACTGTGACGTATTTTCTTTCGCCATGCCATTCCTCCCTGCTTAACTTCCAGCTATTTTGTCGGGACAAAAAGAGAGAATGCAATTGCAGCGTGCGACAAATTTTCGGAACTCCGCTCGTACTGGACTGATTCTATAAACTTTGCAGCAGTAAATTTGTGAGGCAACAAGCATGTTTACTGGCTCCATGGCTACTTGAAAAAGTGTTGCAGGGCCCCTTTAAAGGAAGATGTTACCCTCAAATCAATCCTTCATTTTATTAAGCTTATTTGACCGCTTATATGATCCAAGTATATTAAATTTTAAAACATTAAGTATCTTAGAGGTTATCACTTGCATCTTACTGAAACTACTACTCAAGGTTGTTTCAACTTCGTTTGAACGAAAAAATGGCATTTGCATAGAGCCCCTATTTCAATTCAAAAGAAGTATTGTGCAGGTTAGTTTGGTCATGATAAATATTCCCTTTTTTTTATATGTCATACGTACCATTTGAATTCGATTCGAAACTGTTCGATCAAAATCACTAATCACTTCGAACCAAAAATTTACTATTTGCACAAACCTAGTAGTCAGCTAGAGGCATCTTCTTTTATTGGGAATAAGCTATATTTCTCTTATAATTTACCTAGTCTTTATATAGAAGGTTGATTCGTAGGCAGCTTAGGGCTCTGTCTCGTGAGGGGTACTGTACCGTAAGTGGAACTGGTTCCGTTCATCGGATTGACCCATCTCACTTCTTGGTAAATGCGTGCCACCTTAGGGGAGAGAGAGAGAGCATGCTGGCACATAGATGGTTCAGTCACGCCAAATCTTGTGGCTTGGAGAGCATGCGCTTCACCACCACGAGAACCAGTGCGGGGCGAGAAGTGGTGCCGCTTGCCATCGCAGAATAAAGGTATCAGCAGAACAGAGAAATGTCCGTGCAGAGGCTATGGGCGCACTTCATATCCCCACGAGCAGGAATCTCTAGTTGCAGCTATCTGTAAGTGAGATGGATTGGTCCCGCTTACAGATAAGTAAGCGATACTGTTTCGTCCGTGATCCACCCACTAATTTGTAACTGGGACTTACTGACAAGGCCATATACTTGAGGTAAAGTAGAGGCAAGCACTGGCCCTGCTGATAACAAGCTGCTGTGGCTTACACTGCGGCGGATCTTTTCTTGAAAGCCTGCCGCTGGACACGTCATTTATTTTCTCCTTCCGTTGTCGGCATTTGTGTCGTGATGTGGTAACGAGTCACAAACGTGGTAACGAGTTGTGAACATGGTAATAATTCTCCAGGTCCTCTGCCTGGATGAGGCGACTGCTGGCATAGATGTTGAGACCGATCGTGCAATTCAGGAAACGATTCGGAGCACATTCCACGACACCACCATCCTGGTGATAGCTCACAGGTGAGCACATAAACCTGTCTTTGTCTTGTTTTGCGCTACAATCAAAAAAGAAATTTTGTAAGAGCCAAAATCTTTATCCATCATCACCATCATCATCAGCCTGACTACGCCCACTGCAGTGCATAGCCTGTCGATCAACCCGGACCTGCGCTTTCTAATGCCAGGTTATACCCACAAGCTTATTAAATGCAAAGCATTTTTCAGTCGCACGATTTTGCGCTTTGGTGTCGGCGGTGGCACCATCCACACCCCCACTGTGCATGATCGCGTCTCGTGCCGAATGCTCGCGTCTTGTGCTGGCCCAGGAAAACACCTCCAAAACTGTCGCTCCCCTCTTCCTCTCTCGCCTTGCAAGGCCGACGCAGGCAGCGTCTGCTAGTTAAAAAAAAACTACTACTGCTCGTGCTTCGCAACCGTCCACTGGCCACGTCGTACTTGTAGACACTAGATTGCCCATTAGGATTTCATTTAAGAGCTTCGTTGATTGGCTTGCACTTGACGTTGAAAGCAGCGCCTCTCTTTCATTCAATAAATAATAATAAAGGCAAAATAACAATTAAGCATGACCAAACCATACCCAATTACGGGACATTCACGTGATACCCCCAACCACTCTACAATGAATTTACTCGAGTTCTCCCGTGGGAAGATGTAAGCAGTATTTTTTCCATCTCATCTGCCCTTCTATTTTTGTTCACGAAAATCTTTATTCACAAAGCTGTTACCATAACAATAATAGTGGTGGCTTTCATTTAACTTGGTGAATGAGATCTCAGCTGCTTAGTAGATATGAGGAATACCTTTCAGATTTGGAAAAATAGAATGGTTCGTTCCAGCAACATCACTTTTCGAAGTGTGTACTATAACCATTATTTGCCTCAAGTCTATTGATTATTTTTAGCATTGTGGGAATATTTGAATGCTTTGAATATTGGAACCCGAGTTTACATTGTTGAAAATTTCAAAGTATTCGAAATGGACAAATAGAAATATATTAATCCGCATGTAACTTTTTGTAAAGGTGGTTTCACTGCAGTGGAGATGTGCGAAGCTGTGAAAGCACCTTTGCAGGAGAAATCTGCACTGCCGCAAAGCGTTACTTGAAGGCTAGATTATTACCATACCCTCACATTGACTCGTCATTTTTAAAGTTTAGAAGCTTGTGCCAGTTTTTCTTTATACTATGTGATAAATACTACTCGGTTTGAAATTATCCTACCAAAATCACTATTCGCTTCGAACCTAAACTTCACCATTCACCAGTGGCGTAACTAGGGGGGGGCAAGGGGGTACAAGTGCCCCGGGCGCCACTAGGGAGGGGGCGCCAAGCCGATTCCTCGGGTTGGCGCCCCCTGGAAAGGTTGTCAATGTTTTTTTCCGTAAAACCGCCTGGAAGGGGGGAGGGGCGAGGTTGTAATGTACGACTGGAAGTGGGGATGGTGGTGAAGGAAAGGGTTGCCGCAATGGCTTTTGCATCGGGAAAAGGATCCTCTATTTTCATTTTGCTGCGCTACCTCCGTGCCTTCCCATGACCCTCGGCTAAGCTTTGTTTTGTGCTCCGCAGCACTGGGTTAGATGAGTTTCAGCGAACCCCACCAGCCTCCCAAACCACTTACTGAAAGCTTCCCTGAAACCAACCACGTACGTAAACAAAATAAAATAAAAAAGTTCGAATGCACCTTTTTTGAGTAAGAACAGAAAACTCCAACGAAATAGCCGATCGTCCAACGACTAATCGTCCACGCAGCGGCGGAAGGAAGGGCGAATATAATCCGTGACCTCGGCACCAAAGGCTAAACAAAGGCGTTTATTCGCAGAGTTCTCTGGAGGAAAGACGGAGAAAGCGTGACACGACGGCGACGTTTGTTGATTCCCTGCATCGCGGGCGCCAGCAAAGCAATAGAAGGGCGGGGGTCAACGTTTCCCACATGCCATCCACCGCCATGGGCAGGTTCATCCTTTGGCCCAAAGAACACGCACCTGCGAAAAAAGCGCAGAGCGTAGTGTACCCGACAGCATGTGCCGACTGCCCCGCTTCGTACGTTGGAGAAACCAAGAACTTCCCTGAAAGAATGCGGCCGCACAAGGATGACCTCCATCAATGGAACAGCGAACGGAGCGAAACGGCAGAACACTCCGACCAGTTTAACCCCCATACCAGACCCGAGGGCGCGGTGTCTAGCTGGTTGCTTTGTTTTGTACTCACCCTGCATTCCTTGGGATGCACAAATAGCGCGAAAGCTTAGGTACGAGAAACTTGGGCCTGGGAAGCGCCCGTGCCGTCAAGATTTTGCAGTGTGGACTGGAAGAGAACAATGACGGGTAAGGGACTTCCGGAAGTTTGAATAAAAAAAGAAAAATACTATACAAAAACGCGGGCGTAGCTCATCGAAATCAGAACTGGTGGCCCTTGGCCTCCGAAATGGCCCGCCGCGCGCCAGTAGGCAATCGCGGAAGCCTACATTAGCGCTTTTAATGGGGGGGGGGCGCGGAAATTATCACGGGCATAATGAGGGGCGCGGAAATATATTTGCCCTGGGCGCCGTCCTATCTAGTTACGCCACTGCCATTCACTCATTACACCCAACTGCTTTAAAATACAATTTTTATATTTAAAGTATGAGTCTTTAAATTTTACACTTATAACTTATAAATTTAATTTTATTACAAACAATGACGAAGTAAAATGCTGTGTTAGTTTGGGAGAACTGCAATTAAACAAAAAAGAAGAAAAATGCACAGCTTTATAATTCCATCATATAGGTTAACTAGGTACATACTCTGAATTCTTTTTACTGATCACACACTGAAGTCCAGTAAAACGATATGCAGGGTGGAAACCGTTTTAGACTGTGATCAAGTCCTAGTCATGTCCCATGGCAAGGTTGTCGAATCCGGCAGTCCACAGGAGCTGCTCCGTCTCGGAAATGGACATTTCCGCACCCTCGTCGAAGCCTCCCGCAAGAACGGGGGCACGGTGCTCGTCGAGGCCGCGGAAGCGGATGAAGATGACGTTCCGTTAATAGGGTTCTCGGATCCGTAGTGCATTTCTCAATTTATATCATCTAACAACGAGACATTAAACAACGAATCTTCCTTGCAATTGTTTTGTGTGACCTATTTTGGACGGGTAAAGCAATAGAATGCGCATTGAAATGGCGTTTTCGTAAAATAGAAAAACATTTATTGAGCATGTTAACACATGTTGGAGTGCAGTGTACAGTGCGGTTAACGTTAATGAGGTAAACCTAACTGCTCAAAGTGCTATGTAGTTCACCAATTTTGCAGGAAGAAAACTGAGAAACACATGAATAACGCAGCTTTGTGTGTGTCTGCCAGTTGCCACGTTAAGTCTTTTACGTTGTTCGCTTCAAAAATGTTAAAGGGACAATACAACAGAAACGATTTTCTCAAATTGATAAATTACTCTTTTGAAATGATAAACCCTACTTGCTACGAGATAATGATTATTAGGTTAGAAAATGCACATGAAAAGAAAGTGCAGGTGGCCATGCGACCTTGAAATTCGGACACCAACTGTCATAACATCAGAGAATTTGATGGCGTCCCCAGGGTCTGAAGTAGATTAGCCTCTGAGGAGGTTTGAGACTTAGCATACCAAACTTCTGAAAAAAATTATTGAGCCATTGCCACCAAAAAACAAACAATATATTTTAAAATCTATGACGGTCCCATGTGGAAATTTCAGCGATTTCAGTTCCTCTGTGTCATATTATGAATATATATATATAATTGCATGTTCTCTGGTGAGGGTATCTTGGAAAGTGCCCCTGCATTGCCTGTTAAAGTTACTATAGAGGAGCGAAAATGGTGCAGAGAATGAGCAAGTTTTCTTCATACATAAGGCTGTTTACACTCTGCCTGTATAATTACTAGTCTGGAGCTTTCAGGATAAGCTGTACAACAACAGTGATCATTCACCAAGTCAACCGATTTCTTCGTTTCTTTGGGGAAGGGGGAAGCATGCGACCTTGAAATTTGGACACGAACTGCCATAACATTATAGAATTTGATGGAAACCCCAGGGTCTGAAGTAGATTAGCCTCTGAGGAGGTTTGAGACTTAGCGTACCAAACTTTTGAAAAAAAAATCATTGAGCCGTTGCCGCCTAAATACGAAAAATGTATCAGAAATCTATTGTTGTGCTTGACTAACCGAAAGAATCGAATATATGTTCAAGCCACCAAAGACATAGAAACCATTAATTTTGTTATCTAACTGTAGTGAGGTAGTTATGGCATAAAATGAGACAAGTGGTCGAAAAAAAAAAAAACGAAAAATGTATCAGAAATCTATTGTTGTGCTTGACTAACCGAAAGAATCGAATATATGTTCAAGCCACCAAAGACATAGAAACCATTAATTTGTTGTCTAACTGTAGTGAGGTAGTTATGGCATTAAATGAGACAAGTGGTCGAAAAAACACCCTTTTTGTTGGCAGGACCCAAACTCGCAACCTTTTACTTCAAGGTTGACAAAGCCATGCCAAATGTGTTCGATGCCAGCATTTAGGAAGTAAGAACTAGTGCTTCAGCAAAGTGTTGTTGATACATAAGGTTCACACCTTACCTGCCCACAGTGTATTCAATGAGTGCGTACGAAAAAAGGCAGCATCGCACTAAGGGTGAAAGAAAGTGCAGAGCCTTCTTTCTTGTTCTTCCTATTTTCTCTCTTGCTTCCTCCTCTTTCTGCTTTCGTTCGGGGTTTTGCCTGCGTTGCGCCAAGCACACTTGTGCTTTTGCCGATGATGAAAAGTGACCGCTCGAAGAAGGAGAAAGAACGCATGGTTTGCTACTCCAAGCAATGACAGCCCGGCCCCCGAATATACTGCACACTTGAAATATAATATGGACGGTATTAACCTCAAGTTTATTGACACTACACTGTGGTGGGCATATCACTTGAACATTTCTAGTTCTCTTCATTTCTCATGCCCCATAAGCAGTTCCATGAAATAGGCACAATCCAGCAGTACGGAACTATTGATGTCATGGTGCTTCTCTCTGATATGTTTGCCAACCAAACGACAGCCAATAAAGCCACTTCTCTGGGCATTGATGCTTGTCATGCAATGCTGGATGCAACTATGTCATCTTTGAATGCTCTAGGTTTAGAGATTGTCTATATTGTGCAATTATCTACTAGGTGTGTCACGATCACACTGACTGAAGGAGATGCTGCTAAAATAAGGTGTGCATGAAACAATCATTAACCACTAGCAAACATATTCAGTAATTACAGGGGAAAAAAAACTTTCACTGCCAGATGTTGCGACTCGTAATCACAAGAATCCTGAAGGGAACTTTCCGAGTGGATGCACTCATATCTATGATTGGCATGATGAGACAATCATACAGAAACCAATTTTCAAGATGACTAAAAGCTGGACACTGATTCAGAGTTATGTTTCACACTTATGTATCAACACATCGGGATGGCAGGGTGTGCCTCAGGAAAAAAAAAAATAGTAAGGATGCTCAAGACTCATAATATTTATGTCTCTACATTGTCAGTCTCTTGTCTCCCATATTTCTTTCCATTTATTTCTCTCTCTCCCATCCATCTTAACCTTCCTCTATTGCGTTTGTCACCAGCTTATGCACAAAATGCTAGCTCTGCTCTGCCAGCGTGCTTGGATAGCCAAATGGTTAGGACACTCGCCTTAGCATCAAGGGTCACGACACAGCCTTTAGATCGTGACGCAGGCTATGCATTCTCCTCCCCTGTTCAGTGTGATGAAGCGGGAGCTGCGTTAACTAGTTTAAAGGAAAGCGCTTGCTGCCGTGACAAAGGCAAGCGATGGATACATTTCAGACATAGCAAACCTAGTAAAAAAAAAGTCTTGTTTGGCCACTTATGCAGCACGGCTTTTAAGGGCCCCCTCCAATGTGAGGCCGCAACTAGGTGAATGAGCACAGCAAAAGACGAATCATGATTACAATGCTTCAAATGCTGATAAGCATTCGGAATGCAGTCGCACAGCACAGCATTGTGGTTGATTCAGATACTACCACCAAATGACCGCGCCCTTTGCACATCTCAGCCAAGCTAGAGCATGCACAAAAAGCTTATAATGAACAGACTTAGTGCTTGTGCTGATGTTCCCGCATTGTGTCAAATTTGCACTTCTCACCGTTTTGTGTTTAGTAAGGATTAAGCAATATTAAATTATTACACTATCATAACCTGCATAGAAACGCACAAATTCACGCAGTTGGCATTTATGTTGTCTGGCAACCTGGAATATGCCTGTAGGGCTGCACTCAAATTTTACATCAGGAAGCATCGTAATCATGTATCATTTTTTGAGAGCTCTTGGCTGGATACATACCTTTCTATAATGTCGAAGGTTTCACAAAATCTTGTCTCTTCGGGATGGAACTGCTGAAACTGAAATTTTAGACACCGATCTAAGTGACACTACCCTTCGGACGTGAATAATGATGTACTGTTTAAAAATATGTTAAATTCACACAATGTGATTCAAAGACACTTTATATTACACCCAAAGAAAGAAAATGAGGCAGTACATCATTTTGTTGAACCTTTTATTAATTAATGCCATTAGCATGTAATTAAATATCTTATTAGTCTGCAATCAACTTCAATATTTGCAGTAGAGTCAAATATTAGGCTCGAAACTCAGGTCGATTTTTTTTTTGTATTCATTTCAGGCAAAGGTTGTATTCATTTTGGGCAACGTCATTTCTTGACGTTGGTCTTCAAACATAGTGGTGTTTCCAGTACTAAAGTGGTCCTCTGCAGCAATATGCAGCACAGTTAAGTTAAATGACTGCTAGGGAGCTATTCTCTCAGTGTCCAATTCGTGGACATGCCCGATTCACTGGAGTGCGTACAGTTACTCAAAAAGAAAAAAAACAACTGCGAGTCGCGACGTCATGGCGCACATGACCATGTCAGTGCCCCGAACTTGCCAGCACATTCCCAGCACAAAAAGGAACTAAGAGAATGAAATGTAGAGTAACAGGACTTTTAAACAACCTTGACAAGTCTGCATGTGCGTATGAACTTGTTGAGATGTTTGAAGAGCGATGCAGGGGATGCATAGACCTTTCAGGAGCGTCAGGCAGGTGTCCGCGTTAAACCTATATTCACGGGCCAACGTGATCAGAGTATATGCATGGCCTCAGAGATGCGAGTCTAAAAGCGAATCTCTAGGGGCAGCATTTCTTTGGCAAAACTCATTCAGTCTTTCTCACTTGTGTTGAGAGTTGTGAAAGCTGCGTGGCATCAAAATGATGTTCCGGACGAAAGACCGGAAACAGGCGGCGAGCTGCTCGCCAGCTTCAGCCAATCAAGAGAGGCTGAATTGGACACCGCGAGAATAGCTCCTCTAGTTGTCCATTCAGGAAGCCTGTACAAATATGCACACTGCCTTTTAAACCATTTGAAAGAAACACAAACAGCGTGACATGCCTTTGTAGTTGTATACAAAAGTACACACTGCTACTGAAGGGGGTATTGCTTAATTGCTTAAAATCAGAATTGATTTTAGCCAATTAAGTAATCCAGCAGAGCAAAAACATTTATTTAGTCAGCAACATACATTTAGTAATGTCATCACAAAGTGCATTGGCATATTTAAAATATCTGCGTAGAGTTAGGTGAGGTGTATGTCCATTTGTCTTGAAGGAAATCACACAACAGGCAAAACAGTAGCACTGCTACAACACCACTCTTTATTTCTCCATTCTGATCGTGAAAGTGAATTAACGTAAAAACAAAGCAGCTCCATAACATTGCAAAATTCCGTATTCACATGACTGTCCATGTTAACGTAAAGACAAGCGAGATTGGTGCAAAGAATGGAAAGGTGAGATTGATGAGTGCAGTGTGCGATGAAGGGGAGAAGGAGGAATAGGACACAAAAGGGCCAAAAAGGAATAGAGTGATGAACGGGAAACGTTTTTCTTTTTCGCTCTCTCTCAACTTAACACGCGAGACAAAACAGAAAGCAAAGGAGCACCTTCTTTCGGTGAAACAGATGGTGGAGGCTCGGCGGGTTCTTTGTTCGTTCCTTGTATTCCGCGGCTACGTAGGTTGGTTGGGCTGCTGCCAGTGGAGGTCGCTGTCAGCACAACGCCTGCGCGCATAGACGCTGCTTCCACCAGTGCTTTCCAGCTTGCCAGGTTTGCAACCAGAGTGCTGGAACACGAAATAAAAGTCAAAGGGCGTGAAGGGTCTGGCAGATGAAAGGCTCCATCTACAACACTTCAAACCTTGTGGTGAGTTTTGACATCTCTCTCTCTCTAAGGCACTGGCCCATGTATTCTGACATTTTTAGAAAATAAATTTTATCCACTACTTTTGACTACCTGCACCCACAAAGTTATTCATGTTCCACATGTTCACAGATAGCTTATAAACTGGTTCTAGCCGGCACGCAGCCAGACTCAATGCAAAACAATAAACACTGATTGCATATATACAAAGCTGAATCACATTTCATTCATGGATCCTAAGAATACTACATGACAAATATACGTGGCAATATCTACTCCATAACTTGTTACCGGAAACGCCATTATGATTGCGTTAGCATGCGCATTCAGTGAGCAATGCAAGTCTGCACAGCTGTGCTCCAATCATAGTGAATCTCATTTTATGAACAATGAGAAGTGAAACATTTTAATCAAGCCCTTATCAAAAAGCTGCACTGCTAAATGACTGCTTAATCCATTGTCAATTACCGAATGCCTTGCGCATTTAGCTTGCCTCGATTCTGAGAACAACCAAGCTCACTAATGCATCACACTAATAAACAGTCCCCTGCACTCGCACGTTATAACCTCAGAAAATTCGATGCTAGGCATTCCATCACAAGGCAACCTCCGAGTTTAGTTTCGCCTAGCAGGGCTAGGCATATAGCTTTGGTGCTGTGCTTTGTCCGCAAAGCTGTTGAAGGTAGAGCGAGACATTTGGAAAGCTAATGCCTTGGAGAGAGAGAGTATGTACGCCAGTAAAACATCACCACAAGGGCATTGCAGAAACCTACACGCAAGCAATGCTTGGCATCTCGACAATGGGGCACATAAGGACAAACTGCTCAAAAAGAATTGCCAATTTTCAGATAAGGGCCTGTTGTACCACACTAGTTTTAATCCATCAAGCAGTGGAATGGTGGGTAACGAAATACATGACTTCATCTAAACCTAACCCACTGTTGGCTTTTTGAAGAGTTTTCAAGCACAAGCTAATCTGCCCTTTCATTGCCCTACTACCACCTCTCCGTCTGTAGGGGTAGGGCCGCAAGCCGGCAGCAAGTAGGTGGGCGAGCGCGCATGGACATGTCTACTCTTGTAGCACCACCAATGTGGACAGTGTGCTCGCTGTCCGCATTGAAAGTGCCACGAAAGTAGCAATCAACGGGCGGGCCGCCGCAGAGGCAAACTTTCTGCCACATAACTCAATACGCTGATGCATATTATATGACAAGTTTATCCACAGGAATAAAAAAAGTAGAAGGTGCATCTTATACACCAGAAAATGTGGCATATTTGTGGCAAATCAAAAATAACATTCAGATTACTCGAAACGATCGCATGTCATTCATTTGCCCAAATGTCAAGATAAAAGTATCCTCAAAGGTGGCTAACTACCACGCGATATCAGATAAAGTACAGCAAAAAAATTTACATGATGAGACAAGCGCAAAAAATACACACACTCAGAGAGGACACAGACAAGCGCTGAGTGTATGTATTTTTTGCACTTGTCTCATCATGAACCGTTACCAACACGCCCAACTGGCAGTCATCCTAAAAAAAATTTACTGTCATGTAAAATTTGAAAAGCGCAATTGAGAGAGAGACGTCCAGCCGTTCAGGATGCTCAGTACAAGCAAATGAAAAGGATAAATCAAAGGCAGCAAATTATACTTAATCCACATGCTGTGCATTACATATGCAATGATTTAACCTCAATGTTGCCACATTTGGCGATCTTCAATTTTTCTAGCCATATGCCTCTATGTGCACAGGATTGGCCAGTGCTGGTGTCAACCACACGAGTAAAAGCAGGACATGAACAATCAAATAAGTCTTGTGGGGGTGCTATCACACCCTTTAAAGTCATTTGCGCCTCGTGGCGCAGCACTTGCACACGATTTTCACCATCATCATCATTATCGCTAGTGCAGTAGCACCAGAATTGACACCCGGGAGTGAGGCTAAATGGCGGCACATGGCACATAAGCAGTTCTCGTTGGCGTGTAGCGCGAACAGTTGTCTCTCGTGGTGGGTCCATGTGGACGGCACCACAAGCTGTTCCCCGTGGGCCCCTCGTGGTGACTCGAGCATTGACGATGCCCCCTTCACGTGTGTTCTTATGTTTCAGTGTATTAGATTATTGTATAATGTTGTTTTAGCGTGTTGACAACTAGTGATGTATTCAATTCGGCTGACAATATTGTCGATGTAAAAGTAGTTAGTCGTTTGGTCCGACCGCATCTGCTATATCCGTTCGCTCACAGGGCCCCACAGTCATACATAATGCATTCAGATGTTAAAGAAATCTATACAAGGGCTGTGCAAGCCGTCAGCCAGCGCAGAATACCATTGAACAATCAACTAATTAGCTGATAAGTTGATAATTTCCAGCATGTTCTCAGATCAAAGCTACAGCAAATTATAAAACATTCAGAGATTTACCCACCATAGCCATTGAACAGTAACACCACCACATCATCTTCCAGTAATTTTAGTAAGATATCCACAGATCCATTGCCCTTTTTCATTTTCATATTTTTTTTTATACCTGCCCTGTTCCATTTGCTCAAGAGATGCCAAGCATTTTGCAGAGACTTGCGAGCTGGCCACTTCAAGAACAGTCGCAGTTAGCAACCGTGCGTAGTAGAGAGAAAAATAATACGGCTATCATCGTAAAGGTGAATCAAAAACAAGATCCAAGTCTCTCGAGAGTGTCCAACAAGAGTGGCATAAGCCCACCTGTGTGTCAAGACGTGAGTGACTCTGGGGGGTGCCGTTGCCATTTGCCCGAGCGGCCGCTGCATTTCTTCGCGCGGCCCAATTCGTTACATCATCACGTTACACAAAAACACTTGCAACAAAGCAAACGTATCTTTTGTTAAAAATAATTGCTAGAAAGGCAAGAGAGAACAAAAAAAAATCACAGCAAAGCAGTGTCACTCGTGAATGCGGAACAGCGGGATCCACAGATGAAGCGGGATCCACAGATGAAAGAAAGCAAAAAGAGTCACTTTCAAGGCGCGAGATATTTTTAAGACTGCGAGTGAACTAGCAGTAGTTTAAGATCCCAAGAAAGTGGTAGCCCCTTCAACCTGCGACGAGTATGCTGTTCTTAACCACAATTTGTCATACACAGCTCTATGCAAGGTAAATTTGTTCAGTGATAAAATCCAGTATATATAGTTGCCCAGAACTTCTGCTCTTTAAAGTTCCTGTGTAGTGTATTCCTTAAAAGTTGCAATTTTCAATTCTTGGCGAATACTTGGCAATAATTTTACTGTACACATGTCCCAGGCACATATACACAATTGTACAAAAGAGCACTTTTCGCGATCATAATGTGTTGTGCGTTAAATTTGCCACGCTCAGTGCACAGTCTAATTCATTAGTTTATAGACAGTTTCTCCGCAAACGGCTAAGCATGGACAATATGCACTCTTGACCATGAAACTCCACAAGGCGACATATGTCATTTGAAGTTTAAGGTTCAAGCAGAAAATTGAAGCACTAGTCCTACTGAAGTGTTCTGTATGCATTCCAAGAGTCATACATGCTTCCAGAAGCTTGCTATAGAAATTGAATGTAATATAATGTCTGGGGTTTAACATCTCAAGGCCACAATATAGTCATGAAAAACACCATAGTGTAGGGCTCCAGAAATTTCAACCATCTGAGGTTCTGAAGAGTGCATCTACATCTTAAGCACACAGGTTTATAACAGAAAATTTAACTTGATTGATATGGAATACATATACTTCGTAAAATTATACAGAAATCTACAGAATGGCGTACGGAACATTTCAACAGGGACAGCACATGGACATGACTTTTTTTCTTCCTCTCCCCCCCCCCCCCCCATAAATATGATAGTTTGCAAGCCTTTGTGATTGACCATACACAGCGGGAATCCATCTTTTTAGGGTTTTCTTAGGAGTGGTTACATTGTACACTACACAGAATCTGTTGTGTATTAGTGTAAAAATAAACTTAGCTTGGTTTCTCCGTCTACACTCACACTAGAAAAACGTGTGATGCAGATAGTTAGAGATAGCCTGAGATGCGGTCCCCGACAACCCCCCAGCTTTGTGTTATGAAGAGTTGCATGCAGAAAAAAAAGAAAGTTTGTAAATACAGTAACACTCCAACAGCAACAGCAATGTTCGCTCAGCTTATCACAAAAGACAACAGGATCGCCGTCACCTGTGATCTTGCGCACTGTCTAGCCGCAGCTCAAGCGAACAGAACTTACTTGTGAACAGCGATCAAGGCACACTTGGGCACGATTGTACGGTCATCATCATCACGCATAATGTTTGGGGAAGTCATACTTTTGGTGCCAGGTAGCACCAAAACCTGCCACCTCTGAAAGTAAGAGCCCACTGCTTCAGATGTCGTGCAGCAAATTACTTGTCTTTCCACGCTTGCTTGTACAACCCAGCTACAACCCGTCTGTGGCATGCAACCTCAACCATGCACCGGCGGTCGCACACGCGTTGAACAAGGAATTGACGCGAAAGAAGAATACTGAGCTGCACACTTTATGCACGCAGACTACGACTAATGGACATGTATGACTAAGCTCGGTGAAGCGCTATTTTAATGACACTTGCAGGAATGTAGCCTGCGTCTTGTATTGGTGCAAGTTTCTTTATGCAGATCTCAAAGACGTTCTCTACTAATAAGAGGTCAAGATAGTGTAATTAGTGTTTTGTAAAGCTGACAGACTGCCGCAATACCCCAGAACATCACCAGAACACGTTCACGAACCCTGCAATCGTCTGATAGTGCAATGCTTTATCCAAGTATGTTCATAACTAGTAGTGGCTCAGTTTACTAATATTTGCATGTGCGAGAGCACGTTAATGCACCAGAGAATAAAAAAAAATCTTTTATACAGCATTTAAGCATTGTTGAGATAGCCAGTTTATCTATCGTATAATTCCACTGACGAAGCATGCATAACGCAAACTTATAATTTCTGGTGCACATGCCAACATATCCACTGAAAATTTTAGCAGCAAAGCACAGAAGCCGATGCAAAGGTCACCAACAAGTATCTATAAAATGCATTAGTTATGACCAACTGTTGTCTCGCTTATTTACATGGTGAGACATTAAGTAATAAGATGCTTATCATGAAATCATTTGAAGGAGGGAAACTGATGGGCTGGGATATTGCAGCACACGATTTTTTTTTGTGCATAGAATGTTAATGTGTGCTCTGTCACGTTTTTTTTCTTAGAACTCATGTGGCTGAAACCAATTTCTATCAGCTACTAATGATAAAAGCGCCAGTGTGCTCAACTCTTGCTACTACACTCTGTTTCATGCATTAACCATAAAAAATTAACTAAGTAAAGAGAGTAGCCACAAAAAGTGAATGAAGAACATGTGCTACATTTAATATATATTGCCACATTGGTTCAGCAACCCCGCGACAGCAATGAAAAGTTAGTGAGAAGACGACAGCCCGTTGCCCTCTAATGCAGTTGTTGGTAGGCCATACCTGGTACATTACTCGCCTGTTACACAAGAACCCTCGCTCCGCAAATCTCGCTTGACCTCGAGATGGGCTCCTCAAGCTGCCGCTCCGCCGATGGGAGAGACGGGGAAGGTGGAAAAGTCGTAAGGACACACGATTGAAGAAGGCACATCGGCAGGTCTGTCTTCAGTCTGTCCTTTCGTAGAAATCGGGGAAACCCGTCCCCGACAACATTGCACCCCAACAGCCCGCTTATCTGTGCCTCCCCACCAACCAACCCTCTTGCGACACATAAGGGGAGAGGTCACCACCCCACAACAGGAAACACACAATTCCCCGTGAGAACAGGACGAAAAAGGATCAAATGAAGGTGCACCAGGAAAAAATTAAGAGAGTGATAGGAAGTGGGAGAAAAGGCAGACAATTCCTGCCGTAAATGACACCTACCTGTCATCCCCAGCAACTCACTTGAAGTCTCAGTGACGGGGGCTGGAGTCGCCATTGCTCACTGCACAGGAACAAACGCAGAGCCTTTCACAAAAGCAAGGAAAGCGAATAGCAGTCTGGATAAAATTGACACCAACCGAGACCTCATCCTAGACGTCGTCTCACTGCGAAAGCAGGAGATAACCACACTATAGTCGGACACAACTTTAGAAGTCCATGGCATTCCCATAAGGCTGACCTCATAAGTCAGGCAGCCGCTGACCCTGCCTTTGGAGAACATTGCCATAAGCACGAGCTGGCCTGGCCTATTTGTTTAGTCACGAAGGTGATCGATTGCCAGCGCTTTAGTCATACGGGTGGACCTTCTTTGGACTTCATAAGCTGTATTTGACTACAGCGGCAAACACACTCAGACCTTGATATAACAAACTATATGCAACCTTGTTATAATCAGGTATGGGTGTACCATTCATAATTTTATATATGACTTGAATTTTTCCCCAACTTATAGCATATTTGATTCTAGAAACGAATATTCAAATACTACATTTGATCCCAAATATTGTTACAAGCGCTAACAAAATTGTTACAAGCGCTAACGTAATGATTCACAGCAGTGTTGATACAGAACGCCAATGCAAGCTTTGAAGGGCAGCAAAAGTTGGTTAGCGGCTGCAGCGAATGCGTTGGAATATTGATAATCTCTTTGCTACACTACCGCGGCACTGGCAACGGCAGCCACGATCTCAGCACCGATGCAGTCAGAAACAGATACGTCGCCTGCTGCAGCGATGAAGTCACTGTCTGTGATGGTGCCCGGAAACACTGATAAGTCGCAGAATTCACTGAGGTACCGTACGTCGTTGTCAGCGGTCATGACGCACCTGAAGTTGTCACCTGAGCCGGAAGGAAAGTTTATGACGACGCTTTACTTGACGCCGCTCCAAGTGCCACTCATAACTTTTATCGTTACGTGAGGGTGAACATTCTGTGCAGCTCCCGAATCAGGATTTATCAAGAACGATGCGAGAAGAACAAAAGTTCACAAGGCACAAAAGACCACGCCGAGTTCCTACCACCGACATGTTGACGATATCGACGCGCTTGTGGCTTTGTAGTTAGCAGCTGCTTTGATTCAGAAAGCCGGAAAAAGCGTAGCCTTCGAGACATGTATTTCAAAACCGAAAACACTAAAAATACGTCATGAGGTTGCAAATCTCGAAGGCCATGCTTTTCAGGCTCGTGTGTCATTGTGCGCTAACAACCACGAAAGGGAATGCAAACACTGCAACGAGATCGCTGAGTCGCTTCGCATTCTCATTTTGGTTTCCTCGGCAATCTGTCTTTAGGAAAAATACCGGTGCACTCGCAAGCACCACGCAACAATCCGGATCAACACGATGTAATAACACTGCCTTTTTGTCACCCGCCCGCAAAAAGGGATTGGATCTTGCTAGAACGCAGCCAAAAATTGATCAATATTTGCTGTGAAAACTGTGATTTTTCGGCTTTGACGGCTTTGTCGCGCCGCAGCATTCCATATACCAGACGTCCTGCAGTGTGGGAGTTCGATATATGGGTGCACCAGTCCCATACTATTGCATGAGAAATTCAAGGGTATTTCTGAACTGTTCGATATATCCTAGTTCGATATATTTGGGATCGACTGTATTCCAGTATACTTGGCAACTGCTGAATATCCTGTTAAAGAGGCAAATATTCAGAGAAATTAGAACATTTGAAGAAGTAACAACTTAGGAGTGTTACACATTCTTTTTTCTTTAAAACTTTACTAGTGCATTGATTGTCTTGATATGCTAACACATTTTTTATTTGAACAGAGTAATCAAAACTATCCTTACTTTTGTTTTACAACTATAGAAGTATTCACACTAATTTGATTTGATGCCATATTTACTTGCGTAATGAACCCAATTTTCCCCCCAGAAATGTTGATGTCATTTGGGGGGAGGGTTCATTACACAGGCGCTATAACAGCAATAATTTCACACGACTGTACGTATTAAAGGAGCAATGACACTGAATTTCGAACTAGAGATGTGGCGTTCATTTGATTGCTTGGTATGCATAAGTTTCTTTAGCAAAGTATGAATCGCGTCTGTTACGTATAAGTTATACCCTATTTCGAGTGCAAAGAGTGTCCAAGGCTCATCGGCGCGTGTTTTGCCATGAGACATCGACGGTATTTTGACGTGTTCAGCCGACGTTCACCAAGCTCCAAGGACACGCCTCAGGCATCTAGCGACGATGAGCGAGCAGCCACGACGTCGACAATTTTAGTGTTGTCATCTCAGTGTCTACATGTGGTACCGTCTGGCGGCAACACCTGGCTGCCTAGTAACAGCTTCACTTTGTTTCGCTTGCTTGCTGCAGCGCATTCATGTCAATCCTGGATTATCTTTGGGCCACTTCAGGTGATTTGTCATCAAGTCGTGACCATGAATGTGACTGTTTGAAGTTATGGTCATCGCAAACAAATAACACGCACACAGCGTTCATATGTTTTACGGCAGGCCAACGTGGCCCAAGCATGTGTCCCCAGCTGCCTCGTCGCTGCTTGGTCTGGTGTCGATTTTAGACTTACTGCTTAGAGGAGGATCAAACTAAAGCTTATTCGCCCTGGCGTGAATGGCTGCAATTACATACCGCATTTACTCACATAATCCTCATTCTCACATAATTCTCGCACCCCCCACATTGTCCAACAAAAATACAAGTTCTTTTTTTCCGCGAGTAATTATCGCACTCCCGAAAATTGCCGCAATAATGTTTTCTGCTCGTTCCAGCCACTGATGATGATAGCGCACGCCATCTAGCACCATCTCCTAAGCATAAAGCATACTATTATTGCACGGAAATTCAATCCAATCCAAGCTAAGCCAAAGTGGCAAGTGTGCACTGCGGGATGTATTGTACGTTGTGTCCGTAATGTTGTTACGTAATGGGGCGATACGAAAGCTACATGGCTACTTTCAAGTTGAAAGTGATTGATTAAGCACGAAAAAACTGACACAGGGGTGGCAATAGGCCTCTCGGAGTCGACGGGTTTTGTGTTCACTACTGGCGATGACAGCTGAAAACCAAGACACGTTGGGTCTTCCATGTGCCTAAGACTGGGATGGATGATAAACTTCATTTCGTCAGAAGGCAACTGCGGATGATTCTGTTGAATGGCCATCAGCCCAATACTGACGACGTACGCCAACCATTGCGGGCTCCTGTTGAGTGACGAACGCTACCATACGCCTGCAACGCCCACAAGCTTTGCGTACGTTTTTCTAATTCTCGACTATTTGCTTGGGCCTTTTGTGCCTCAAATAACTTTTGCCTTGTGTTTAACCTGTACTTTTGTTGTTGAGGTAAGTCTTAATTAGAACTTCTCAAAGCTTGCAGTTAGTTGCTGGCGCGAGAATCCCAATTTGTGGCCACTTCGTTTTCTTCTTCACCCTGTAAGTTTTCGTGGAAAGTTTTTCCCGCGTGATTCTCACCCCCCCCCCCAACCTTGCGTTGGCATTCCACCAAAAAAAAAAAAAAAAAAAGTCCGTGGATTAGGCGAGTAAATACGGTAGTCCTCAGTGTTTTCATCGTCGCTTGAGGACGGTCATGACAGCGGCAATGACAATGATTGTGGCGAAGACATACCTATGCGCAGAGCAGACAAAATGTCAAATGAAAATCGTGTCACCATTTCGTGTGGCCACGAGATCAGATGGGGCGAGACTGCAAGTGGTTACAGCTTGGCAGCGCTAAAAATTGGCGAGCTTTCCAACTGTTTTGAATTAGGTTCAATACAGGTCATACTGATTAATATTAAACATATTAATCCACCCGCCTGTTGAATTATTAGTACCGAATCATCACTAGGGGATTGACAACTACGCGTTGACGCAAAAAACGCGACATGCATCAAGTTGATGTCACTGCTCCTTTAAGAAACTCGCTGTGCAACTGCTGCTGGCCTTGCAAATCGGTGACAGGACTATGGAGCCTCTATGGAGAACTTCGCTTTCTACAAGGAGAAACTGGCCTTCTTTTGGTCTGCAACATACGCGTCAAACATTTTCTGTAGAGACTGAAGCTATTGTTTTCTCCTGTAAAGAAAACGCACGGATCAGCGCCTGCTGTCGTCTAACCGTTCTGGGCCCATGCTCAACCAACTTTAGGTTTAAAACTAGCCATGTAGCTAGCCCACAGGTACATCGTGTCCTGCGCAACAGATGTCAAACGAAGTTCACTATGACAGGAACGCAGCATCGCAAGGCGGTGCACGTCACACAGTTGACGCAGTTGCACACTGTTATCCCCTCCCCCTTTTGCTGTTATGCTCATCTGGCGCTATAAGCAACAGGCTCTCTTCTGCGTTCGGCAGATGGCGCTGTCACAAAAGGCGAGACATACATATTACGATCAACATTGTCCGCACTCACAACTCTTTCGCATGGTTGTTGAACTGTGTTTTGACCATTATTGTGTCATTATTTTGTTGTATAATGGCGTGATTTAACATTGCTTCGATCGTGAATGACACTGGCTATCCCACTGAAGTAAAATGAATGGATATAGATCCTTCCTTTTCGGAAACCAAGGTGGGGGTTGGATTCATTATGTGAGTAAATGAAGTATTTGAGGAGTTCCTTGCCTTATTCTTATTTGAAAATTTGCACACTCCTAGACCACACGCATGCACAAACACGCATTCACACAAGCACAAAAGGTAAACATCTTCACAAGCATGCTCACCTTTAGAAGATGAGCTGCGGTGAGAGTCCCGGTCACTCTTGCTGCTGCTACTGCTGCTGTGGTACTTGTCCCGATCATGTCCAGATGACCGTGAGTCTCGGTGAGAACTGCGGTCGCTCCTACTACTCCGGTCATCGTCGTGGCGACTGCTGCTGCTCCGCTCATCGTCCTTTCGGCTCCGGTCGTCATCTCTTCTGCTCCTGTCATCATCTCGCCGGCTCCTGTCATCATCACGTCGACTACGTTTGCGGTCTTCGTCGCGCTTGCGATCCTCATCACGCTTACGGTCCTCGTCCCGCTTGCGATCCTCGTCACGCTTACGGTCTTCGTCTCGCTTGCGGTCTTCTTCCCGCTTCCGATCATCGTCACGCTTTCTATCCTCCTCTCGCCTGCGATCCTCGTCACGCTTGCGCTCATCATTTCGTCTCCGGTCATCGTCCCGTCTGCGGTCTTCGTCACGTCTTCTGTCGTCTGTACGCTCCCTCTTGTCATCTGCGCGTTCTCTTCGGTCGTCGCGTGGAGACCTACTTCTGTGCCGCTTCTCATCACGATCCCTCCGATCGTCCCGTGCCAGTTCAGCCCCTCGCCGGCTGCTTCGAGTGTCGTCCTCTTCACGTCTTCGCCGCCGTTCCCTTTCACGCTCTCGCTGCTTTTCCTTTTCCTCTCGCTCCTTTTCACGCCGGTTCTGAAAGAAAGAGTGCATGTTTGGATGAGCTGTTTCATGTGGCAGGTCATGCACAAGAATCTACGAAGAGATACACTCGCAACACACCACAGGAGCAATAATGGTTAGGATGCATTTGTATTTTTGAACTGCAAAAGCTCTCACGACCAATTGCAAACGGTTGCTTGGGACAAGAAGCAACTGTTGAATCAGTAGGCGCCGCCATCTTGGTGTTGTTTTGAAGCTGCTTTATTTGAGTCTTTTTCCTGCCGGTGCAGCAAGAGCAATGCTACCACTCCTTTTTCAATGGCCATTTGCACGCACGTGATTGGTCAAAGCGCATGCTCACCTCCTATTGGCCCGTTGTGTTTTTTTCTTGTTTTTCCCCAGGTTTCACGTTATGATTTCACGCTCGCTCAGCTTGAACTTTCGGCTGCTCCACGATGTTCTTCAGGTTCGCAAGTTCACTACCATGTTTGACCAGCTGCGATTATTGAGCTGCTCTAATGTTCGAAGACATTCATCTGAAGAAAACTACCCACCGCGTATTCAGCAAGAAACGGCGGCGGCCATGGAATTCATGCCAAATTCAGTGAGGTATGTTCCGCGGTACCCGCTTGACACATTGAACACGGAGCTGCATCCCAGCGCAGGCGCATCGAATGCCAGCACGCAACTCATAATTGCAGGATCGCTTTGTTGACGCATCATATACTGCAGCACCACAACTCACTACATCGACCGTGTGCGCCTTGTCGAGCCATATCTTCAGCGCTGCCGCGAAATGCATCGGGGATCGTCGGTTGGTAGTTTGTGTACGAAAACACAATTTGGCACGAGTAGTGTGTCTATTTCGTGAGCCCAAGCCTTGAGTGTTATCACTAAATGCGTCGATACCGTTTTCTTATCAGCTGAAGAAAATAGCCAGCGCACAGCAAGTACGGCCAACGTGAAAAAGCACTCGGCGTTGAAGTTGGCAACAAAACGAAAATTCGCACTTCTTGGCGTCGACACAGAATATTGGAACCTGAGTGGAAGCATAATGGAATTCTTCATGGTACGTCTGAGCATGTTTAACTACTTTCTCGAACTTATGACTTGCGCTGACTGTGGCGAGTGTCTAAGAATGTTTGTGTGAAGCTCGTAATGGCATGCTCAATGATTGACATGCACGACCATAGATTTGTTTCACTGAGGGTGACTGGAGATTCATCATTAATATCATTTATATATGCAACAAAGATCATGCAGCCAAGAATGCCACGAAAAACAAGCTCGCAAATAGGCACAAGCGAATAATGGACACTGTCTACAGCCCTGGTCAGCTGTAGTGTGTAGATTCAAGCCCATGTCATAGCAAAAATTCAAAAAAAAAATTTTCATTTTCAATTTTATGACCATAGCTTTGGTGCAAATAGCGACAGCACAGACCACATAAGCATGTGATTTTTATGCGCAGTGTACACATACAAGGTGAAAAACAACTGGGAAATGTTTGGTAGCAGCTTTCTCACAAAGACTATGCATACTAATACAGCAAATTTTTTCATGGTTCCTGTGACGTTGTTGTAACATATATGGCATCATCTTGCTCCTGAAGGGCCAAGCTACATAATGATGCTATTTATACAAATGCAGTGCATTACTACCTAAATTCATGGGAAACTAAAGCTTTAGATGCATTTTTCTCAGTGTCACATTTATAGGCATGACACGTAGCTTTATGGGGCATCTTGATATGTTTTTATTGACTCACAATAACAAGTTCAATAGCAATCTGTTCGTACTCAATAGATCTGGCCGATGATGCCATTCCTTTTCTTCTATATCTTGTTCACCAAATTGTAATTCATAACATTCGTAAACAATATGTTGCAGAAATTTTTCACTCATGTTTGTATCCATTTATTAACATTTCAAGTTTGTTGCAAACAATAAAATTAAAATCATTGGCAAGACCAGCTCTCTGGCAACCTAGATATATACTTTCTTTTTTGTGTTCGACATAGTGAAATCACCAAAATGACCCACAAGAAAAATGCTAACAACGTATAATAATAATTTATTATCTTCTGTTCTAATTCACCTACCGGAAATCTACTTGAAGATTTAGATTCTGCAGAAAAAACTGAATAAGTGAATTCGGTTTCATTCAATTCAGACAATTGTAAAAATCAATTTTTTCAAGACCCACAGGCTTCTAAGCACCCGTCGATATTTTTTTATTTCGGACATTTCAGAGAAACATCAGCATCAAGTGCAGAATGCCGTCACAATCGACAATGCCACATGTGGCAACGCTACAAGCCACGAGTGCGCCACAAATGCCAGTACACAATCCCTTATCTTCTACGAGCCCTTGCAGCCTCCGCAGTGATGTGTGTATGACGTCACAAAGTTAAATTAATGATGTGAAGTGCAAGTAATGCTAGGATTGGCCGAACAAGAACCTCCTACCTCTGGTTACCTTGCAAGGAACTGCCCGTGCTTTTTGTTGTTTATCATGTTGCAACGGCGGCGGCTCCTTGTTTCGCACAGAGGCACTCTGGTACAGCGTGTCAAAGTACCTCCACTCTATGTTGGCAATCCTATGAATGCTTGTGCACAACACAGGGTGCACACCGGCACAGTTCATAGGAGCACAGGCCGACACAACAGCGGTCATCTAACAAGCACGGAGTTGACAGAGTCGCAGCACCGGAAACTAGACTGTGTTTCGAACAATGCGTCAGCAATGACGTATGCCACGCGAGTTCAGAAGGGGCACTCAGTGAGGAAGGCAAATGCTCAATAGCCACTGTGAGTGCATCCAAAGCAAAATGGCTCATTAATGGGGGACACTGGTCTTAGCACAATCAAAAATGGACAAAAACTTATTTTAGGGGCGTTTGTACCTCGGAGCACCTACTCTCAAATTACTAACGCTAAATTCAATCAGACAATGCAATATAATGGGCCTTCAAAACAGTCCAGCAGCAGTAAAAAGCCCCCTAAAAACTAAATTAGTTCAAATGTCGCAAACGTGTTATGAGCATTATAGCAGGCTGAATGCCGTCATCTTGAGCTAGATTTGAAGCGGTTTCCTTTGTGCGTAATTTGCGCCATTTCAGAATGGTGTCATCCAAGCAGAGTGGCTGCCTTCGCATTTTTTCTGAAGGTCGTTCCCGGCCTGCTGATTGGCCCCCACTCGGTGCATATTTCGAGTGCGCCATACTGAGTCTCCCATTGGCTGGCAAGACCGCCGCGTATATTTCTTTTTCTTGTGCGTTCATCGTTGTGGCTGTCCAATTGTGTGCATCTACTTTTGAGCTTGTGCACGTTTGTCCATGCACTGTGTTTGTGTTTTGGGCCAGTAGATTTTTTACGCGATCGACATGCCCAGAGACTCTTGTCGGAAACCGTCCTCGCAACGAGCTTTTGGAAGCGGTAAAAAGCTGACTTTAAACAAGAAGGCGTCGGCTAGAAGTGCACTGTCGGAACAAGAGTTTGGTGGAGCAGGTGTGTCGCGATTATCTCAACTCGAGAGAGTAAGACAGGGACAGGAAGCCATGGTAGGACGACCAAGAAACCTTATGAAGAACAAGTTGAATACAAAAAAAGAAGCGTTAATGACACTGAGCAATACAAAGAAAACCCTATTTACATTAACAGATCTTAGTTCGTATTCAGTACTGAAACGAGCTAAACAGGGTGTCTTAGTTAGGCTTTACGTCTCTTCAACCCAGTTTGGCCAATTATGGGCCTTGTGGTACTGCAATGTTCTTACAGTTTGATCGTTGTTCGTCTCGCTGGCCCGATGTTCCCACCGCATCAATCTCTCTAAAAGACCGTCTTTGACGTCTTCAGCAGGCCGCAAAAGTTCATCGTCGGTGTCGGTTGCCTTCGTCCAGCCTGCCGCTACACCACTTACTTGCCCCCAGTAGTCTTCGCCATCCTCACTCAGTCGAGGTTAGGCCTAACCAGGCCTAGGTCCCTTGCTTCAAGGCACAATAGGTGATGGACGCCTTCTTGCCTGAACGGTGACCTGCAGCCATCCTGCCAAGAAGAAAACGGCTGTTGGCTATCCCGGAACTTTGGCAACCTCGCTTAGAGACTTTCAAGGTCGAGGGCCACTCCCCGGCTTTGTGTGCTGCCGCCTCCAGAACAGAGTATGAGCTGCTCTCATCGTGGGTGCGACACGTGCTTCTTTCTCTGTTTTCTTTGTCCAGCGCCCCACAGAGCAGTCACTCGTTCATATTTTGTAGTTCACCATCACAGCTCGGGTCGCATGCCACGAGCACCTATCTGGCCGATCCTCTGCATCGACGTGGCTAATGTGCGTGCACTTAGGCGACTTTCTTTCCCTCGTCACCGCACTTCCACGTTCGGCATGTGCCTTGTGCTGATCCTTTACTCCTCACACATTAGGCACCTTTAAGTTTACGATCCGCTCTGTGTGCAGAAAGAACATGCGAGCAACAGAACAGAAAGCGCATGTCATGCTCCGAGTAAGAAGTTGAGTGAAGGAAGGGCTAAGGTGCAGCGGTTTGGTTTTGCCGCGATTTCGCAGAAACACGAAACCTATGTAGTTCCCTGCACATGCAGCACTGTCTCGGGACGCTACATCTGCGCGTGGCTAAACAAAACTGACACTCAGCTCATACTAACCTATTACACAGGGCAGCATGATGCCTAACATCTATGTGGTTAATTGATTTTTAATGTGCAAGTGGTTAATTATGAGAATCAAGTTCTCATTAGTTTATGAGGAACCAGTGGCTTTAGTCTTATACCCAATAGCTTTAGTCATACACCATGGTCTTTTCAGGATCCCCCCCACCCCTTCAAGCACTTTCCACGGCAAACTCATATCTTGCTTTCCACATTGGAGGAGGAGGTGGAATAAATGTTTATTTCCAAACAGTGTAGCGGTAAAGATTCCAGGTCCACCTTAGGTGGGAGGTCTCCTCATTCCAGGAACCCTCTGGCCTTTGCTGCCTCCCTGGCCACGAGACGTCGTTGTTGGTCCATCCACATTGGAATTTTTTTTAATTATTTCTTGGATGAAATGACACTTTGTTTTGTTTAGGCAGGGAAACACAAGGAACACCCAAATAAAATTTATCACTGAAAATTCCTTTTAGAAATTTCTTGCAGCGAGTGCTAGAACCTCTAATATGATTTTTAAAGACGATAGTCTTTCTTGCGGTACTTCGACACAAAAATATTGGTCTGTCTTTCTGTCTGTACAGTTGTCTGTTAGTCCGCCACAACGATACCTCAAACGGCATCAAGCGATACTACTCCAGACTGCCAACCCCATCCGCAGCGCCCATCAAGCTCAAGTTTCAGCGTTCATACTTGTGCAGTAGTCAATTAAAAAGCAATTACTGTGCATATCTGAAGCACCTTAACAATACGCCAATATTTTGTATGTGTGTCTTTATACCAGAGAACGCAAACATCAGTAATTCTAAGGACTGTAGCGTTACTCATCTGTGCTTACAGTGCAAAGCCATGCTCAAAAAGGCAAGTGTTTCCAACGCTTTGCTAAGACGACACGGTGGTGGCACCTGCCAGTCGCTTTGTGTTCTACACCTTATTGCCTCCAAAACAGGCACGATTCTTTTGTGGGTGTGCATGCCTTCCTTAGTTTTCGAAGTTAACTGTCAGATTGCGCTCGTGTCTAACGTGCCTCGATGAGCTCGTTCGCCTTCGCTGCACAGATTGAGACTCTCTAACGCAGTGCTTCCAGGATACCAATCCCCGATTTTCTCGCGCAAAACATCAAATGAACGTTTTGCTCACTCTCTCCACACGCAAGACTATCATCTTTCAACAACATTTGCAGTGAAACATGCATATATGGGCGAATTTTTAAACTTCACATTTTTTTGCAGCCTGACTACCCTACGGAACTTTTCGTTGTGTTATTGTGAGGCAATTTCAATAAATTTGTACCTTTAACTTCTAAGAAATCAAACTGTGAAGCTGTGCTATTTTTTATGGCTAAGTCGAACATATGAAATTTTCTGAACAATATTGTCAGCGAATCACACTTCAGAATTATGGAGCATCAACACAATTGAAAATTTTTATGTAATGATGTATAGCATCATCGATATAAATAGCATAGCTCCACATAGTAGATCTTTGGCTACAGCTGCATTTTAGACAGAACCAAAAAATATTGAGAGAAAGTGCCTTAATCACCTGTAAAATCTTACCTAATTAGACCAATTATTTTTTCATAATTTAGGAAGTAATTGAGGTACAATAAACCTAATTACACTTTTGAAAACAGGTGAAAGAAACATACGTACACACCTAATTTCATTAAATATCTTTAAGATTAAAAATTTGTCATTTTCAAGACCAGTGGCTCTCATTAATACACTTTTCTGACTATAAGTGAAGCCAAAGTATATGTTATCATGACTCGCTGGTCCGAGCAAGCCACAGAAAGGTCCCAATCATCTGCAACCAGCACAGTACCACCCAGCTACCAAGTTTGGCCTGAAAGTGCCTACAGGGCAACTGCGCTTTGAGGTTAACAAATTGGGCAATCGTGGCACTGCCAACTACTCACCAGGATTTCCTCAACAGCTTCTTTGAGCTTGGCATAGCCCATGTGTTGCTTGCCCATGAGATGGTCGTCGACACGCTGCTGCGCATCACCAACAATGAGAAAGGCTCCGCAGATGTCGCACACCTCCATCTGCTTCTCCTGGGCAGCTGCCAGCTCTGCCGTTTGCTGCACAGTACAACGAGGCAAAGCACAATGACCAACTCCCCCGCAGCTGACTTGTTGCAGTCTACTACACAACTCCCATTCGCCAACTCTCGACACAAGCCAATCTGCAAAATCACTTGGTCCCAACTGACTCTTCTGACTACATTCCTCTGACAGGTTTCCAGTCAGCCTCCGTATCGAACCACGCTACAACGAAACTGAAGGGGCGCGGAAAAAATTTCGTTGTAGTGAAATAAAAAAAATATACCTGACCTGAGCTAGCAAAACAAAAGGAACGTTTATTCTCAAAATTCACAAAATGTTTGCTGCTCCCTATTCTTTCCCAGCAGTGTCACAACGTGATTCTCACCCATGCATAGCGAGGCCATGGTGAAAAGCACGCTGAAACAACGCCTAAAACCGCTTTTGTGAATGAAACAAACAGTTGCACTTACGCGTTAACACCAGCTGCTGTCCGCCGTCAAAACTATCCAACAACACCGAGATGGAGGCAGGGTATCGTGGAGCGGCGACTTTTGCATTATTCTATGCTATTCTTATCATCCATTACTCACAGCTAGCTGATTTTGTTGATAACGCAGACGAACAGCCGCTCTGATTAGTTACCCTACTGGCCAAGCCCGAACATAATGATAAGCATCGGAATCGGAAAAGGCATCGTGCCGCGGTTGCACCCAGCCATTGCAAGAAAGAAACCATGAAGCGAGCGACTGAGCTTCAGCTTCGGATCGTCTGTGGCTAAAAAGCAAGCCAGTGGCGAAACAAAAGCAGGGCAGTCTCATTGCCATCACTATCGAGCAATAGCAGCAACCATGCTTGCTGAACAGCGGCGGTTTCTGGTGGTGCCAACGCATGTTTTAGACTTCGTTGACACATTTTCAGGCCTTCAAATGCATTGAAAAGATTGGGTTTACTGCATAGCATTATGTATCTGAGCCTGCAATTGCATCGTAAAATTTTGTTCGAGCGGGGTGATCGAAGAAAAAGTGTTTGTTGTGGCGACAATATTTATGCATTGACTCCTATGGACTGCCGACGGGAAATCGTGAATTTTTCGTTGTAGCGGAAATTTTGTTGGAGCGGCATTTATTGTAGCGGAGTTCGACTGTATACACTCAAATCTCTTGATAATGAAGTTCCATCTAACATGGAAATAAGTTCGTTGTATCCAAAAATTCATTATAAAAGTATATGTCTAACAGTATATCCATTGCAAGAGTATTCTTCAATTACTTTGTTATAATTGATATTTCATTATATCGATGTTTGACTGCAGTCTGGAGAGCAAGGCTGCCTACATCATATTTGTCTCTGATGCTGCCTTTGCAAAGCAGTTTATTTTGATGGCTATCTGAAAATTGGAACGAGGCTCAAGACGACCACCATGTGGTTAGCTGTCTATTTCGCCATCTGTGGCAAATACAAAGCTAAGATCCTTGGGGATGTCTCACCCTGAGCCAGTGTGCCTTGTCGGAGTCCTTGTCGAGAGACTTGCGCTCCTCCTTAAGCTGGTCGCAGAGCTTCATGATCCCCTGCGCCTCCTCGACCTTGCCCTCACAGCCCAGCTGCTCCACTTGCTGCAGCAAGCCCTGGATGCGCTCATTCAGCACAATCACCCGCTCGTCAGTTGGGGCCGCTGGCTCTTTCATCTTGATAACCACACCGCCCTGCAAAAATGGGGTGATGACACCGAAGCACACCTTTTTGCGCAACAGACAAGATGAAGTGAATAAGGTAAGAAGCAAAGGCTGCAGATTGGGTACCCCCCAGTGGCAATTTTTTTTTTTTACATTATTATCATAATTCCTAAGCTCCAGTTAACAAACAAATGTACCCATATGCTTCTGTTTCGTGCAATTGCATTTTAAAAAAAAAAGCCCTTGATCTAGTCTCCTTCCTTCATACATAATGAAATGAGACATGGGAGGAAAAATTGAGGAAAAATTCAAAACATAAAGAGACCAGCTGTGACCTAGCACTCGTAACTAAAGGAAAAGTACATATCAAGGTGCCAGCTAGTCTATCTCAAGTTTTTTAACAATGGTTCTGTTCATTAAGATTGGAACAGTGGTGCAAAATATAGGTATTAAACTAATCATATTAGGGGCAGTTGAGTTCCATTTACAGCAAGATTTATTTGTAACACAACAGCCTGGCCTTGGAAACAAGAGTGGCGATGTGGGCTTGTTTCGCTCTGTCTTCTCAGTCTATTCTTTCCCGTGTTCATTTTTTCGCCTCGCGCTACACATATTTCTTTCAAATGGCCTTGGAAGTCACTCTAACCTCTTGGTTGCTAAGATGCAGTCGCTGCCGCGCCCTCCGGATACGCTTTTCCACGTCGGAAAGCATGGACTGGCAGAACTGGAGAAAGGAGTCCTCATAGCCTTCTTGGCGGTACCGAGGGCTTGCTTCATACCTTGGCAAGGAATTTATAAAACAAGCACGGCCAATGTCAGATATGCACAAGTCCAATTGTCACTCACATTCCACACTTTCAAAGGAAATAGCTTGACCTGTTCGTCATCAACCTGACTACGCCCCCTGCAGGGCAAAGGCCTCTCCCACGATCCGCCAATCATCCTGGTCTTGTGCCTTCCCTTGCCACGTTATACCTGCCAACTTTTTAATCTCATCAGCTTACCTAACTTCTCGTCTCCCCTTCGTGCATTTGCCTTCTCTGGGAATCCAGTCAGTTACTCTTAATAAGCACCGGCTATCCTGCCTATGCCCAATGTGCCTGGCCCATATCCACTTCTTGATTTAAGCTATGATATCCTTAAATCCAATTTGTTTCCTGACCCGCTCTGCTCTCTTCTAGCCTCTTTAAGTTATACCTATCATTTTCCTTTCCATCACTCGCTGCAACGTCTTTGTAAGCCTCCATGTTTCTGCTCCATAGCTAAGTACCGGTAAAACACAGCTGTTGTATACCTTCCTCTTGAGGAATAGTGCGATCTACCATTCATGATGTCAAAATGCTTGCCAAATGTGATCCACCCCATCCATATTTTTCTAGTTAGTTCACTCTAATGGTTTGGTCCCGCGGTTACTACCTGTCATAAGTAGACATATTCCTTTACAACTCCCAACGTCTCTCCACCCATTGCAAAGGCCTGTTTTCTTCAAAGATTGTTGCACATTACTTTAGTTTTATGCATATTAAATTTCAGGCCTTTTTTTCTGCTTTCTGTGTCCAGTTCAGTAACCGTAATTCGTCCCTTGAGTTACTCATCAAGGCAATATCATCAGCGAATTGCAGGTTACTAAGATACTCTCCATTAACTCTGATCCCTAACTTTCCCCAATCTAAGGCCCTGATTACTGAGGGGCAGAGTTGACCTTATTTTCTTAGGTTGTGAAGGTGAATAAGAGTGATCTAATTAAAATACAGAAAAATGGTTTGTTATTGCATAAAATAACTTCACTTCCTCTGAGCCAAGACACGAGTCATAGATACAAAAATCTTACTCTCTCTTCAGCCTGTCGTCGTGAACTTTGTTGCAGGGTCCTAAGTCTGCCTTGGTGTTCACGAAGAGATCGTTGGGGCAGAACTTGGCAAGAAAGTGCTTGCACACCTACAATGACGACGTCAGTGATTATAAAATAGGCATGTAATCGCACGAAGCGAGATCACTGCGCGGGCACTTCAATACAGCCAATGCAGCAATACACACACAAATAATATTGATGCAAATCAGTTCATATAACATATAAACATGAGCAAACTCATTTGTCTGCATTTGGGGTGACTTTCTAGTGTGTCCGTATTTATACGTCTCGTGTTTTCAACATGAACACCTACCAACTAGCTCGGCTATCTGCAACTGCACAGGTGTCACGCATGGTAATACCGTCTACAATCCACACACACAAAGAACAGGAGATGCGTACGGTGTAGCACTAACACGCTTTGATATCGTAGCACTGCGCGATAAGATGCTCGAGCGGGATTTCGAGCCCTGCCGATATTCTTTATCACTGCAACGGTGTGCATGGTCAGTGTACGCTAATAGGGAACGAGGAGTTATTGAACAACATCGAAAGCCTGATCGCTCCAGAATATGTCAATTATGCAGACGATGGCGTCGTGAAGTGTGGCCGTATCAGCAATGCTATTGCGTACTTCGGCGCCGAAATTTTTTACTTTGCCATGACGGCTCGGAATGGAAACGCCGGACTGGCAAAGCGGTTACACGCGCGTACGAGTTACGGCGCAGATTATTGCGCGTTGGCGAATTAAAAAAAAAAGAATTAAAAGACAACGAAGGGCACGGCCAGCTTGTTCCCAGAATTGGACACTACGACGCGTTTAACGACTCAAATAAATAGAAACGGTAAAAAAAAAAAAGACGGACGCTTACGTCGGGGTCTTCCCAGTTGCAAGTGTTCTTCTTCTCCGTGGGCGCGAGATTTCTATCCCGGCCCATCAATTCGTCGAGAAGTTGTTTAGCTGAGGCGAGCGCCATTTTCGATCACGAAAAACAACTACGGGGAGCCAGGGGAGCTTCGGTACTTCGGTTCGGTGCAAAAATTTCCCGTTGCTGCGATCCTGCAATTACAGGCCACGTGATTTATTACGTCACATTAAAACGCGTTCGCGTAATACCAAACTTATAACACATTTTGTTTAAAACTTAAAGCTTCTTTGATAACTGTAAAATATTAATGCTGAGTGTATGTCACACAATTTTGTATTTTGCAATAGCTATGTTTAGGTGGGTTCTTGAAGTGACAAAACGTTCTGAAAAAAAAAAAAAAACATACGTCATCAAGTGAAAAGATACATTTAGAACATAACGGAACGCACTACTTATTTGACAATAAAATAATTTTATTACCAAAAAATGTTAGCTTCAAAATAAACGATTTGTTTTTGCATAACTAAATAATAATACAAAAAGAACAAAATTTAATTTTTATGCAAAAATTAGGCCCGCACTTAGGTTCGCCTCGCGTTTCTCTCTTTCTCGTTGCTCTTCCCTTTCCTTTTTTTCAAGCCTAATTTTGCACACGCGGTGGTGGTCTCGCACCGCGGTGAATTGGTGGAGTTGGGGTGCTTGCTGCGCCGCGTTTTAATTTTGTGCAAAGGGACACACACAGGCCATTATTTTTTTCCTCTCCCACCCTCCGCCTTATCCCCCGAACAATCCGTGATCACCGAGGCCGTTTCCACTGAAAACCACGCGAGGATTTCACTATGGACACATCGTCTCCCGAAGCGCAAGTGGCGCCGGACAATTGGGAAGACCACAGTGTGGAGATCAACAATGCCGATGATGACGACGACATGGCAAAGTCGTTTTCCAAGCTAAACGTGGACGCGCCGCCGTTCGTGCCTTCATTCGCCACGTTGCAGATGGCACAGTTAGACCCACCGGAGAAAGGCAACGAAGATTCTCCATCAGGTAAGCGGGGTTGCCCATCTGCCGAGGGGGGTTCATCCTTCGGCTACCCGTAGTGCAGCTACCGATTGAGGTAGCCCGCCGATCGCCTGACATCGTGACAACGTGAACGACATCGTAGTTTCCTTTATTGTTTTTTTTTTGCTTTTTTTTTAATTTAGCGAAGCGCGTTGTGTGACGGTAGGCCTACGCAAGAGCTCGATCGCTCGTGCTAACCCCCCCCCCCCCTTTCTCTGTACGACGAACACGAAAAAGCAGGTGTCAATAACCTCGAAAACTCGTCGCCCCTTGCGAAGACGATGAAGAGGCGGATTAGACGGGGCACCGTGGTTAGGAAGGAACGCTAGGAACTCCGTGATTTCGCGAGTTGTGAAAAGAGACTCGACGGGCCAACCACCTTCCTCTTTTCCCGCCGCCCTTTTTTTCGTCGCAGTGCCTTGTGGTACACGTGGTTTTTCCTGCGAGACGGAACATGGCTGCTTGACCGATGCGACGTTTAGTGACAAGTGTACGCCACGCCTCGTGGTACGTGGGGTACCTTGGTTATCCGAAAGCGAGCATAAGTTCGTGCTTCAAAGCTTACAAGTCGCTGCGATCGCGCAGCACACGTGTTGGGCACCGACCATTCGCAGTGTGGGCTTTCAGTCACCGAAGATCACAGATGTTGCCGCAAGTTTTCGAAAAACAAATCGCCGGTGCGCGAGTGGAGTTTTGGAAGCCAGTTGCCGCATGATGACCCCCCTTCCGTTCCACCGATATCACGTAGTAGCTTCGTCACCGGCGTTGCGCAAAAATAAAGAAAAGCGGTTGCCGTTCGCGCCGCTGACGTAGCTGCTGCTACGACTTTGGGACGGCGCTCTGGCAGGAGCTCATGCCAAATATGCGCCACACTGGTCCGCTTTTTTTGCTTTCTAGATTTCCGTGACCGTCTCACGGCGTAATCGCCTCCACTGCCCGTCCCCCTGTGGCGTTTACTGCTGATAAGATAACGAGAGATTTTTTGTATGTCATTTTGTTTTCCGATTTACGCTAGGTGCCGCATTTGACGGTCTCTCGTTAGCTTTTCTTTCTCACTTGTGGTGAGGGTATCGTAGTTTCGTGTGCGGAGTGGAGGTCAGTAACGTCGTGCGACTGCGTGAGTCGAAAAACACATTTTCTTTGTTCTTCAGTGGTGCTGGTGTCTACCGGATAACGTGACGAGGTACTAGTTTCTCTGGTTGCTTAGGTATGCGGTGGACCTTCGAGTTGGCGCCTTTGGGACAGACGACACTCACTTGCCGGACGCTGAAGCAAATACCGGCCCGTTTGTCGTTCGCCTTGTTTGTTTCACTTATTGTGGCGCTAAGTTGTAGACACCACCGTGCTTTCAACGTGGTCTGTAGTACGGGAACTCGGTCATCTTGTTTTGATTTCGTTATAATGGTTTGTACGCTGGCGCCAGCTGTTCGCTTACTTCGAACGAGGCCGAAGTAAGAATTCGAAGAATGTTTTCGGTTGGGCTTCCACCCATGTTGCGCAGTGGCGAAATCTTTGTTTCACCTGCTCGGTAGCGCAGGTGAAAACCAATGTTACACGAATCACGAAACCTGTCAGTTTGATTGCAACTTAACCTTGGCCGCTACTTTCGCCATTTTTTAAGGTAGACGCTGCATGACGCTACATTCCTGCCTTAATTTTGCTCGTGTATTGACGCATGCACAGCTGGCAGTTCAGCTGCCACGTGTTAAGAGTAAAGTATGGATGGGTGCATATGGTTCTACCCCTCAGATTGGGTGGTAACTCATGCCACCTACCCGTAATTAATGAATGAAACCAGGAAAACTTTTCTCGTGTTATTGTTAAAGCATCGGATGTGTTGTTCTAGGTTCGGCTCCTGCGGCGGCAGGTTACTTTTGTTCAATTTTGTATTCTCGCGGTTGATTGTTGGTTATCGTCTAACCGTAACTGGTGGTACACGTTTACATGGTGTAGTAGCGTATTGTGAAGGGGTAAATTTCGCTTCTACCTTCAGTTTAGCCCCCGATGGGATAACCTGCTCTTGGTTTCGAGTATTTGCGTGATATCTCGGCGAAAGTATGATATGCTAACGTAGCGACGCGGCTTTGAGCACTAACTTAAATGGTATTTGACTAGCCTCTCATATGTGGGATTGTTTAAAAATGGGTGAAACTAGTGTTGCATCGGAGCAGCTTGCAGAAGACGCGACTGTGAAAGACCCCGCCTGGAGCTTACATCGGGACGACCTTGCCACCCGGCGGTATCGCTGGCCAATAAGAACGTGGTGGCGCAGTGTGGTGGTGGCACGCGGGCTTGTCAGGCGCGGTGATCTCGGAAGCTGGGTGTTGTGGAATGTGCCTAGTAAAGCGCGTGCTTCGCCTGGCTATATGAAGCGACGTAGTAGTTCTCACCGGCAGCTCCCTCCTCGGCTTGGAGACGGCGGTCGCGCTACCGGCGGGACATACGTCGACGGTCGGTTTGAGGTTTTCCGTTGCAAGCATTGTCTAGCTTGTCGCTAGGACGTAGTTTGCGATTCGGGTTCTGTCTCGCCGATGGAGTGGGCAGTTCTTTTTGACTTCGTAAGTGACCGTGTTCTAGAGGATCTAGTCCTGCAAGATGAGGCGCGCTACAAGATGCGAGTGCGTTTTCTTATTTAGCCAAGTGGCCCGTTGTCTCTCTTGATGCGAGACGAATGAAGGGAGCTTTCAAGAGTTTATTTCTGTGTTCTACTCAATTTCATTGAAGCCAGGGAAGACATAGGGGACGTTAGTTGTACTGTCTTAAGCGTGTTGTAATGATTGTGATAAAGCTGTGCAGAAAGCGAAGTGGACAAAATGACAGCTTGCTGCAGGCAGGCATTGAACCTGCTACCTTGAGAGGTGGCGAGAGTCTGTGAGCTAGCAGTACTGGGTCACCTGTAGTCGTGTGCTTATCGACTTGCTTAGATTCTTGGCATCAGCGCTGCTTAACATTGTCATGCCGCATTTTCCATTCGTGCATTGGGGTGGTGATACTTTCAAAGCACCCACATTGACAAGTTATATGTCGAATTTCTGTCAATGTATTTCTTTGTTTTCGCTACTGCCTGGGCCTGAGAAGGGCCTGCAGTATCTGTAAATAAAAAAAAAATTGCTTAGTTCTGCACCACCCACAGGTCCCCCTATTTGAGAATAGCGCAGGCGCTGCCCCGCTGTGGGGCTGAGGTTCTCATGGTGTTGAAGTGGGCATTTTGAACTATTGCAAAATAGTTCTGAGTTATCAATGCTGGCATTCATAATGCGATGTGTCGCAGCATTTACAGTTCAATTTCGTCATTACCAGACATAAAGCTATAAATTACTGTAAAAAAAAAAGTCTCAAACAAAACTTGCTGTCAGGGTTCTTTTGTGAAGCCGTTCGATGGTTCCTTGTTAAGGATTTGCGGGGTTTTTAAAGTTGACCTTGTGCCAAGTTATTAAAATATTTTTGTGGTAAAGATAACTTGCCGTCAGTCTTCAGTCTCTTTGAGGGCATATGTTATAGTATCGGTTGAACAAGGTTGTTATATTTGATCATCTTTGGGTGCTTGACTCTTTGTAGCATGGGCAGTGTAGCGACTCCTCATTTTTTTATTTATTATATATATTTGCAGATAAAAAAGACAGCGACAAGGAGGATTCTGCAAGTATGGACGACTCCCCGGCAGGTAAAGCTTGCTCTTGAAATTGACAGCAGTATGGCATAAAACTATAGATTGGCCATTGAAAAAAATTTGCCAAAACATGCGTAGGGGAGGTGACTGTGTTTTTATTTTATTGGGTAAACGTAATGTAACGACTCTGGTGTTTACAAATGTTGTACACAGAGACATACATTCAACAGTCACATGCTTTAAATAACCAGTTGCTTGAAAAGTCGCACGTGTTTTATATAACCACTTGAGTAATGATGCCAACAGGTACACTGGTATGATTGCAGCACCAGAAGTAGTAAGCTCATATGTAGCCCTTTTCCTTGCTTGTATGGCAGCCCTGGACACTGGCACATGAATCAACTTCAGAGGATGGCGCTTAACTACAATTCACGTTACCCTGAAGTGACTGCTGTACCGCAGGACTACATGCAAGGTGTTTATAAAGTTAGATGGGCAGCACTGCAAGCATAATTGGCGTTTCACCAACATTATTCTTTCATACGGTTTTTCTCCAAAGCAGTTTGGATAAATACCCTATGCCAAACAACACGTTTATTGAGCTACTTTTTATAGATGGTTTTGTCAGCCGAATGGAACACATCACTAGTGATCAACATGCTGAACACAACGTTATACTATACCTATACTCCGTTACACTTGATCAGAACGGGTACTCGTCACGAGGGGCCCATGGGAGAAATTCTACCGTGTCTCCAATCTTTTCTGTCCTGTCACCTAGCCTCGCCACCATGCATCGCTGCTGGCGCTATCGTGCTAACCACAATGATGATGAAGATCGTGTGCGGGTGCTTCGCCACCTACTGCTCAGCAGGTGTGGCCTATTCGTAAGACATGTGCGCTACGAGGCACAAACGACTTGACAGGGGGTGGTAGCACCCCCGCAATGCACAGTGGAGCACCTTTCAATACTTGTTCCTTATGTGAGACGTCTCTTATGAGCAGGGTTTTGCATTTCCATTTTCTCTTCAACCCCTATTTCATTGTATATACACTGGTGTCTTGTGCCCAGTTGTTTACATCACTGTCTCGTGTATGTGTGTTTATGTGTAATTGTCGTTAAAAATCCAGTAATTGCATGCGCGACTTGCACGTCTTGCAGACTGGGAATGTGTGACGCTGGAGGACAGTCCTCAGGACGCAGGTGGGGGCGACCACACGCCCTCGACGGGGGACGAGGACGAGCGCATGGACGTCGCCACCAAACCACGCAAGAAACCGCCCAAGGAGGATGACCAGGGTCCTAAAAAAGAGCACATAAACGTCGTCTTCATTGGCCACGTTGGTACGTAGGATGAGTGGGCGCGAGCACCATTTTGGGAGTGCTGAGGAAGGTGTAGTAGATAATGTATAGTTTTTTTCAATTTACCATATTTACTAGCGTATTGAACACAATTTTTTTTCCCCGCAAAATCGGAGCAAACTGGATGCGTTTATTACGAGAGGTAAATTGTATGAAAACTTTTTCAGGAGCAGCAAAAAATGCGGCAATGCAAAAAGGAAAAAGTTGGGTCCCTTAGCCTTTCTCAAGGCTCAATCATTTACTCCCCAGTAAGCAGGCAAAATGAGAAGAATATATGTTTACAAACAGTGATGGTGACGACCTAGCTACGCTTCGAGCTTTACGCTGGCCAATCGCACATGACTCGCCTTTTCAAAACACTCTGTCGTACTACTGGGCTATGTCACATCAAAAAGATGACAGATTTCATGAATTTCTGCAACCCTTTTGTTCTTTATCTGGGGCCCCAAAAGTTGCACCTTTATCTTTCTGGAAGCCAGCTTGTTTTACCAAACCTGTCACATTGGCACATGCACTTGCATACGTGTGTGTCACTGACTGAGAGACGATTCGTAGCTCGCCAGTTGACACCGAAGTGGTCGCAAGCTGCCGCTTGCAGCGCAGGCGGCGCATTGGTGCGGTGGACTGCTGCACCACCTGTAGGTGTTGATGTAGGTACTGATGTGTACTGAGGTACACCTGTAGGTACTGATCAGTGTTCGAAGAAACAGACGACATTGAAGCTGCAATTTTCAGAGGTGGGATAATTACTTGAGGGTAAAAAAAAAATAACTTTGTTGGGCAATGCAAGAGGTGTGAGTAAATATGCGAGTAAATCCGGTAGGCATCCGCTCACATGGTCTTGGTGGTGCACAGGAAGGAAGACATGTTTATGGACTATTTTCTTGTGAAACAAGGTGCGGTAACTTGTCACCTTGTTTTCTGGCATGTTGCTAGAGTATCAGCATGTTAGTGCTTGTTGCAATTTCTAGAAATCAGTCATGGGACCTGTAGTGAATTAATGCACTCCTAATAATACAAATTGCATTTAAAATTTTCGATATATCCGGGATCAACTAACAGTTGCTCGATCGTCGAACCACTTCATTAATTTTTTCAAGTGCAGGCTTGGTGCTTTCTTAGTGAATGCTTTTATGCTCTTCAAAAATTTTTTCATGTATGTTATTCTTTGTTTATTTAAAGGGGACAAAATTATAAAAAGTGCCAGCTATCAAAAATTGCAATTTGAGGTATTTGTAGTTGAAAGTATGTGCTGGAAAAATTTTGTATTATGGCGAAATACCATTTATTTTTATTAAAAGCTTAATATATGAAACAAAACTGAAAACATTACTTTCTTGGCTTTGTTATTTTTATGAAGTGAATGTGCCTTACGGAAGTTTTGAGCAAGTTTTTGAGAAGATATCCAAACAAGCTTGGTACCATTCCTGTCTGAAGCACTTGAACTACAGGCTAAAGGTTTTCTTTTTCTCTCAATGTTGATTAAGTTATAACTTTATTACTAATACCAGCTAATTGCTGGAAGCTCATCTTTACCTTCTAAGTTTAAAAATTATTTGTGATAAAAAAAATAACTGTTTTGACATTTAGTTTGCTTTTGGCCTGTAGGATGAACCTTTTAGAGGAAACATGTAGTTTCGAAAACTAATCTTTTTTATTGTAAGTTACCATAATAATCCATAAGAAATTACCTAATTATAATGTGGAAACTTGTCATTACTTTTTCTAAATGAGTTATTTTAAATCTGTTTCAAGATTTGCAATCACCATTCAATGGTATACATGTATGAGAATTTTCATGGCAGTAGGATAAGTAAAAGGTTTTTTTTTAAGGGGGCAGACTGCTCTTAGACATTTTTGTTTATTTCTTCAGTGATCTTGATCAAACTGCACAGAATTATGCAGTTTTTCTGGTGATTTCAACTGTTAAATTAGATTTTTTGTAACTCATCTTATTCCTGAGATAACTTAAGTTCACCCCCTATTGTTTAAGGCTGCCATAGAAAAAAAGTGCTTAATTAAAAGTGATATTTAAAATATCCTAACATAGACTAATGACGATAGATTGAAATAATGCAAGAGTTTTTTTTTTTGTTTTTAAGCCTTTCTTATTACTTTACAGCAAAATGAACTATCCATGTTAAAAAGCAGTTGGAATTGTGTTAAAAATTTAATAAGTAATTAAAAAGGCTTGTTCTCTAAATTCTGCTCCCATACTTGCACCCTACACACATACAAGTTTCCATTGCAAAAAGAATTATTGTTGTACCTGCCCTAGCTGCAGAGATATTGAGGCCTCAAAATTAAACAGTTGGTAATTTACTTTTTTGAGAAAAATGGAAAAAACTGATAACACACAGCTTCTTCAAAAAGCAACAATCATGGTGTGCATGTTTTGCAATCCTCATAAAAGTGCTCATAAATTTGTAGCAGAGCTTCTAACACAGGTGCCGGCAAATTATAAAGAGGCCTCGAAGTTGGTTCCCCATTTTTTTGCAGGTTCTGCATGTTAACAGCACCAAGAATCTGGACAGTTAGAATGACATTACAAAAAAAATTACTACTTCCTGGTGTGTAAAAATTTGCAGAGATATAGCAAAATACTTGCAGATACCAAATATGTCAATTTTAAAAAATGATTTTTTCTGTCACTTTTTGGTCCCAAAGAGCAATCTGCCCCATTAAGACCCTCGTCCCCGCCCCGCCGTGGTGGTCTAGTGGCTAACATACTTCGGCTGCTGACCCGCAGGTCACGGGTCCGAATCGCGGCTGCGGCGGCTGCATTTCCGATGGAGGCGGAAATGTTTTAGGCTCGTGTGCTCAGATTTGGGTGCACGTTAAAGAACCCCAGGTGGTCGAAATTTCCGGAGCCCTCCACTACGGCGTCTCTCATAATCATATGGTGGTTTTGGGACGTTAAACCCCATATATCAATCAAATCAGACCTTCATCCCCCTTAAACCTTTGTTCAGTGTCATGAGAAGTGATGAGAAGACTGTGTGTGAAGATATTTCAAACTTATAAGCCTCTTTCTTTTTCTTTTTGGCAGACGCCGGCAAGTCTACCATTGGTGGCCAGCTTCTGTAAGTTGAGTTGCTTACTGCACCACTTACATCATCACTATTACAAGTCTCTGTTTATTCACATCTTTCTGTAACAACATATAGATGGTTTAGTTTATTTTTTACCGTTTGTTTTAGTTTTTAGCTAGAAAAAACAGTTACTGATGTGCTAGAGAATTGCATCACTTGTTATTTGAAGTAGCATTCAGTATATTCATTTTGTTTTTTCTGCATTTTGTACTTAATGCCTACAAGTATTGCATTACAAAAAAAGCTCATATTCAGACCCTTGAACAAGATATAGTAAAACCTCGTTAATCAGAACTGTTATTTAGAAATCCCGAAATTCACAATATTTCTACGGTCCTGTAATTTGCAATGTTAGTCTGAGCGGATATTTTGAAGCGGCGGTCAGCACCATTCCAGTTGATTCGGAAACCTTGGGTGCCATGTGCCAATTCTCAATCCTGATTTCGGCACAAATCTGCGGAAACAACACCACAAGGCAATGCAACGTAGTGATATCTAATGAGGGGCAGCTGAAGCAGAAAAAAAAAAAAAAAAAACCTGCTTCACTGCAATACAGTAGTGACATGCGAGCAGCATATGGCTATGTCAGTGCATTATGATTAGAGGCCGAATTTATAGCACTAATGTTGAATTCCAATGGCGGCGTGCCGCGGTGTTTTAGTGGCTAAGGTACTCGGCTGCTGACCTGCAGGTCGCGGGTTCGAATCCCGGCTGCGGCGGCTGCATTTCCGATAGAGGCGGAAATGTAGGCCCGTGTGCTCAGAATTGGGTGCACGTTAAAGAACCCTAGGTGGTCGAAATTTCCGAAGCCCTTCACTACGGCGTCTCTCATAATCATATGGTGGTTTTGGGACGTTAAGCCCCACATATCAATCAATCAGTGTTTAGTTTGCGTGTTTTCTGGCCCTATTACCGTATAAACCGGAATATAAGTTGAGATATTTCCAATGAAATAAGCTAAAGTCGCCCCTCGTCTTATATAGCGGTGTCTAGCCGAAAGTGCGACGCTGTCTGGCAACGTGTGGCTTGAATGTGCTTGCAACGCCTCCTCTAGAAGATGCCTGCCGCATGAGAAGAAAAACGGCTGCCACACCCTTTCCCTCCTTTATTTTAGAATGTTCTCGGTCGCTAGCATCACCTGTGGCGGACAGTGCAACAACGCAACACTTTGCATAGCCTCCGAAATAGCGGTGTACAGTTGCAGGTCTCGAACAACTCTCGACTGACGCGCCCCTATGGGCCGCAGATGAAAAGCGCTTAGCTGGTACCGCCCGCTGCCATGATAATAGTCTCGGTTGCGAACGCTATCGCGCGGCGCTTGCTCAAAACTGAAGGCAGGCCAACTCCGCTGGGAGCGCGAGCCATTCCCCAGGCATTGTTTAGAGGAGGTGTTGGTGCTTGTGAAGCTGGACGCAGCCATATCCGCATCAAAATCCAATCAGTCTCTTTTTTTTTCCTCTACGTTTGTTTTCTTTGTGTTCGTGATTTGCTTCCGATCTGTTCTGAGTTTTCGCTCCGCTTGACATTGCGCTGCATATTTAGTGGCCTTTTTTTTTCGTTCACTGAATATGTCTAGCGGTGCGAGGAGGCAGTACTCGGCTGCGTTTAAGCTAGATGATGTTGAGTTCGCAGAAGCGAACGGGAATATGGCTGTTTAGCGCCGCTTTGGTGTATCGGAAAAAAGCGTGCGCTATCGGAGGGCGCAGGAAGGAAAGCTGCAGATGTGCAATCCTCGAAAAAATGTCGTTTGGTGGACGAAGTGCCGTTCATCCGCAGCTGGAGGATAAGCTAGCGGACTTTGTGCAAGAAGTTCGTGCGCGCTCGCTGCCAGGGACTGTGGATACCATTCGCAAGAAAGCCCTGGAACTCCGCTCGAGAAGCTAGGCTCACGAGAGAAGAGTCTCGAGCACCGAACTCTTGGGTGCATTGATTTATGCGACGCAAAGGATTTTCTTTCCGGCTGCGCACATCCATCTGTCAAAAGTTTCCGGAGGAGTTCGAGGACTAGCTCATAAACTTTCAGCGCTTCGTGAACCGGCTTCGGGAGCAAACGACTACATGATGGGGCAGATTGGCAACGCCGATGAGACCCCCGTGTGGTTTCACATGCCTTCGTCGACCACGATCACGCAGCGCGGCGCCAAGGATGTGAAGCTGCTGTCCACTGGCAACGAGCAATCGCGCTTCACCGTCATGCTGGCATGCACGGCAGATGGTAGAAAGTTTCCGCCCTTCATCATTTTCAAATGCTAGACAGTGCCATACGAAGTGTTCCCGCCCAGTGTTGCCGTTCGCATCAACAAAAAGGGATACCTGGACGAGGCCGTGATGCTTGAATGGATAACAGTGGCGTGGAACCATCGGCCAGGTGCACTGCTGCGTCTTCGCAGCATGCTGGTGTTGGATGCGTTTCGTCGTCACTTAACCGACGCAGTGAAACGCGCACCCGGCGACGGGGAAATGGACCTCGCCGTGATACCAGGTGGTATGACGTCTACTCACCAGCCGCTCGACGTTGTGATAAACAAGCCGTTCAAAGACCGAGTGCGGCTGGAATACCAAGAGTGGATGTCCGGCGACAACCCCAAGACACCGACGGGCCGCCTACAGAGGCCTCTGTTTGCGGCTGTTGGTGGCTGGGTGCTTTCCGCCTGGCGCTCCTTGCCGGATTCCATGGTGGAAAATGTTTTCAAGAAATGTTGCATAAGCAACTCGCTGCATGGCACTGAAGATGACGCACTGTGGGAGGCAGCCAGCGACAAACTCTCGTCTTCAGAAGACAGTGGTGCTTCGTCGGACGAATAGGAGCAGTTGCGATGGTGGTTGAGGGGAGCTCCGACGATCGGGGTGCGGTGCGCCCAATTCGAAAATAAATTCGGTTCGGCAGTTTTGGGTTGTTTTCCTTTTTTTCTTTTTCAGTAACTTGAACTTGGGGGGTCGACCTATTTTCCCACTCGACCTATAGTCCGGTTTATACGGTAATCATTTCGTGTACCTGCATGTATTATAGCCCCCTCCTATGTACCGACCTTACAGCCACGCCCGTGCGACTGAGAGGGCCGTCCTCACACAGCCAGCGGAGAGGATTGAGGAAGTGCTCAGCAGGTCACATGACTGGGGTGCAAAGCTATTAAGAACACACGATGAGGAAGCTTCAGAAGACTTGCATTTATTCACAAATCAGAGGACATTCGTCGTTAATTGAAATAATCGGTGTTGTGCGTCTGCACACGTTTGCCTTGCAGAGAGTCGATCAATATCGCACGCAGTTTGCAAAGCATAGTAGCGTGCGGCTAAGTCCAGCGCCAACACTCTCCAAAGACGACAACGACTGCGCGTCTCCGCTGCTACCCTCTGCACCAAGAAAGGAGCAGCATCTCCACGCGGAGAGAAGCAGATTGGCTGGCATTAGAAAGAGAGTCAACACTCTGTGACAGCTTTTTTTTTTTTTTCTCTCTTTCTCTGCGTGCAGCTTTGAAAGGAGAAAGGTCTCTACATGCAGAGACAGAAAGGGGAGAAGCATGGCACAGGCACATCGTATATCGGCATTTGAGAGAGAACAAACAATCCGCCACAGTCTTTCCTTTCCTTTTTCTTTCTCGCACGCAGTGTTGAGAGGTGGCACCACAAGATTCGGCATGGTGCTGAGAGCATTTATGTAGCGCGATATGTTCGAAATAACCGTCGCTAGTGCTTGCGCTTTCCAATTACAGGGTGTTTTTGCCCATTGGAATACACGTAGCTTTGACGGGACCACAGCGTGAGTTTGAATTAACCGGAAATTCAAATTAATGTGATTTGACTGTGTTTATTTTCTGCCGCACGCGTGGTCGCGTCGCAGTACATCGGGCCGCGAGGCGGTTTCCTTCTTTGCATGCTGATAGGTGTGCGCCCATCTGAGCATACATTGCCACAAACTGTTATAATCGATATAATGAAATAACTGTGGCTCCCATTCAACTTCGTTATAATGAGGTTTGAGTGTATTCAGAAAACATAGAGAAAATTAGTATGTTACAGTGGAAAACTGTTGTATGTTTTCATTCATTGTCAGATCTGCAGCAATGTCATGAAGAGATCTGATAGACTGTCAGTAGGGACTTTAGACATTAGAAATCATACTTTATTAAACATACGGCTCATGCACATGTGTGTAATTAATGAACCAGATGTGTATTGGCCCGCAACAGCCAGTGGCCCCTTCCCAATTTTGGGTACGCTTTTCTGTATGACATTAGAATATTGCAGTAAAGGTGACTTCGAAGTGCACATGTTAAAGGAGGCCAGAAAATTTCGATGTTTTCTTCCCACAGTAGTGTAGGAGATGTGTTTCAAGTTCGTCGAAAATTGGGTCATCTGCCATGCTAATTGGAGGGCTGGTAATTGTGCTCGTCCTCAACAATCGTTCATGTCGACATTGCGAGACCAAACTCCTCCAGCAGGTCCGTCCACTTTTTCAGCCCTCGTTCACTTGTCATGGGACCACAAATAGCACGCGCTGGTGCCATCTGTAATCGAAATGCAGGGCCCTCTCCTTGATTTTAGCCCACAATCTCGGAGGACAAAATGTGCTGCACTTGGGTTCCCACACCAGTGGTGGATTATCGTATGTTCCATGGCAGTGTGTGTTTGTGTGTGTGTATGAGCTGTGAACCCCGTAATTCGAAAGAGCATTGATCGTATCACTGAGGCTCTACTGTGTCGCCGCCATAATCGGATCTGCCTGCAAAATTTTTTTCTATTCACTAAAAACAAAAAAATACAGGAAAGAGGAAGATTACAGACCAATGCTTTCTTGTGGTTTGTTTCTGCTTTCTGCTAGCCAACCATCCAAGCACTGTGTTTTGCTTTTCCTGCGATTTTACAGGTGCGGGCAGTAACGCTAGTTATAGTGGGTATGCATTGCCTGTCATGTTTTTTCGTACATAAGGCCTAAGTCATCCTAAATAACTGCAGGCATGTTCGTTCTTGGATTCTATTAACATTGTGGCTGCGGTGGCTGCATTTTCAATAAAGGCGAAAATGCTGTAAAAGCCCGTGTGCTCAGATTTGGGCGCACGTTAAAAAACCCCAGATGGTCGAAATTTCCGGAACCCTTCACTACGACGTCTCTCATAATTATATGGTGGTTTTGGGACGTTAAACCTCGCATATCGATCAACCAATCAACATTGTGGTAGTCCTAGCCTGTAGTGCCAGCGACTGTAGTGAACATCCATTTGTTTCTCATTCTCTGTGTGCAGATATTTGACGGGAATGGTAGACAAGCGAACGTTGGAAAAGTACGAGCGGGAAGCAAAAGAAAAGAACAGAGAATCTTGGTACCTCTCCTGGGCACTAGACACAAACCAGGTAAGAGTGTGTGGCTGTCCATAGGCCCTCTACAAGGAAATCCGCAACGAAATTTCCGCTACAACGAAAAATTCACGATTCCCCGTCGGCAGTCTATAAGAGTCAATGTATAAATATTGTCGACACAACGAACACTTTTTCTTCTGCCGTCCCGCTTCACTGAAATTTCATGGTGGAATTCAGGCTCGGATATTTATTCCTACACAGGAAACCCAATGTTTAACACTTTGATGCATTTTGAGAACCTGAAAATACAGTGTACTCGTCTTAAACGGAACTCGAAAGGGCAAGAAAATTTGTTGTATTTATGAGAAGTTTCGTTTAAGAAAAGCCCATAAAATGAATGAAATATGACATTTCAAAATCACCAACTGTCGCGGACTGGAAAAAAAAATGCTAATATATTACCGACTCGGGGGAAAAAAGGAGGTGATAACAGTTTGCTTGGCTTTATTCAAGCATTTTTTCACAAAGTAGGAGTGCATGGCCGAAAGGCTGGTCAGGAAATCTGTGCCACCATCGTATTCAAAGTAGTGCTGCAACAAGATGACAGCACCTCTTGTTACACTGTTCATTACTGAAATGGGCTCAGGATCACACGCCATCTCATCACCACTTGAGCGCCGGTCCTCATCTTGAACTTCAGCTACAAGTTCCTCAAGACTGTCCTCGCGGCATGTGGCGATGATTGAATCAAGTGTTTCATATTCCACTCGCGTGAAAGAAGTAGACTGTGTCACCTGTATGAAGAGAATATCGGCCTCCTCTGCCTCGGCAATGTTGTCTTCGTCATTTGGAAGGACTTCTTGTCTTGAGAATTCTGCATGGTGGAAGCACCTTTGCACAGCTGACACTTTCATGCATTCCCAGGCATTGGGAAGAGCTGAGAGCAAGTCCACAATGTAATCTTTTTTGTTGTCTGCACAAAGAAGCATTTGCTGGAGGACTTCGGCAATAGAGGACCTTCAAGTTTTCAATTATGCCCTGGTCTATCGGTTGAATGATTGCAGGCGCATTTGGTGGCAAGAACTCTCGGCTGATCGATTTGAGTCTATCGACTTGACCGTGAGCAGGGCATTGATCAACAATAAAAATAACCTTCCTGTTTTGCTGGGTAACCAACAATCTTCTGTCCTCTTTGTGCAACCATGTCTCGAAGATTGCGTGTGTCATGCAAGTTTTCCCGTTCACATAGTACGTGACAGGCAGCATGCGCACACTTTTGAATCGGCGGGGGTGACTTGATTTCCCCGCGACTACCATCTTCAACTTTTCGCTACCGTTCATGTTGGCACCTATTAGCACTGTAATACGAGCTTTGCTTCGCTTTCCTCCCGCACAGGTTTGTTTCGAAGATAAATGCAGGGGATGTGTCGTAAAGTAAGTTTTATTGTAATAATTTTTGGAGAAAATTCTCTAAATGGATCTTTTGTTTCAAGTGTAGATGGGGAAATTTTTCATGTCATATTCAACATCCCACAACTTTGCTTCGAAATAGCCCAGAACAATGATTTATACTTATTGCACACTGTGAACATACCGAATTGGTTCTATAGGTTGCACATCAATATCCAAGTTACAGTTAATTAGCTAATTAGGCCTTAATTGAAAAAGTCGCAGTTCATTGTCATTTCATTTTTGCTGTGACTAATTGTCACAGCAAAAAAAGAATTAGATTTTTGAAATCAGAAGTAAAATCTACATAGGCTCTCCAAATTTGACTGAGGTACTCGCAAAAATAAAAGAGTTTTTGGAAGGTGTAGCATCCCCCCTTGGGGGGGAACCGGCCCTTGAAAACCGAAACATCGCGAAAAAGTCGGTTTTTGAAAAACCACATTTTTGGGTTGTATCTCTCATAAACTACCTATTCTGTAATTATCAGCACCTAATTCAACCGCAAAGTGCGAAAAAACTACTATTTTCGAGGCCGCCGCGGCGTCCAAAACAGGCGCAAATCCCGAAATCAAACCAAACTTCGCGCGCGCGCCATTCCCGGACCATGCGGTCGTCCCGCGCCATCTTGGTGTTGTTTTGACCGTGAATTCTTTCTCTCTCGTTCGCCGCCTTGCAAAATGGCGTCGGCAGCACAGTTGAGACGCTATTGGCGTTTTCCCGCGATGCGATGCGGAACACTGATTGGCTAGAGCAGCGCATTCATATCTCGTGTGCCCGCCATTGGCTGCTGTGCAGCAGCGGGGGCGGTCGCTCCTCTCGATGGCGCGTCCAGCGCGCTTGCTTCGTTGTTGCTCTCTGCTCTGTCTGCCTCGACAGGCGTCTGCTTATGAGCCGCTCTTCGCCTTGTGCTATCTTTTCGATCATTTTCTCTCGTTTTTTTTTTTTTTTTTTTTTTTGGCACTAGTTCTGTGCCTCGTCTTTGTTGTTGCGGGCGATGCCGCCAACGAAGTCGAAGTCAGTGCGGAAGTTTGGTGCGCGGAGGTGCGCTATGCGGCTTGTACGATCATCGAAATTCTACTATTCTGCTGCGGGTGCCGACTGCGTAGACGCTTGCAGCAACGGAACTGTGTTGTCGGCTGTCGCCAGTCGGGAATCCGACACATCGAGTGTGGCTGGAGCCGCAAATGCACCGAGTGTCTCCGAGATCGCCGGGCTCGACACGTGCTCCGAATCGATGCCATCCAGTGTGACACCGAGTGCTTCTGATATCGCCGGACCCAGCACTTCGTCTGAATCGGTGCCGCCATCGAGCGTGAGTGGACCGTCGCTTCATCTGCGGACGCGTTTCCTAACGAAGGAAGAAATCGATGCGAATGCGAAACGTCGTGACGCCGTTCGCGCTGAACTCGAGTCTACGCCGGCGACGCAGAAGAAATTCAACTGATGCAGCCGGCTCTTGCACCTGCAGTGACAAGTGAGGGCGAACATTTTTCGCCTCGTTCAAATGAACATCTTTAACGTCGAGCTCAGCCGCACAGTGTGCAAAGAATGTTTGAAAGGTGCTATGACTGTCCGAGAGAGTACCAAGCTTGGACTTGCAACAAAACTAGAAGTCGTGTTTGCCTCTTGTGGCACCGTCGATAAATTATGGACATCACCCCGCAAAAAGGACACGCAGGCCTTCGATGTAATGTCCGCGCCATAATGGCTATAAAGCAAATAGGCAAGGGGCAAACAGCTCTTAATGACTTTTGGGCTGCCATGAACGTCTCTTACAGAGGTCTTCACCACAAGACGTTTCAAAAGCACTTGAAAAAGACGTTCAGGAAGCCAGAGGCCACCGCTTTGGAGAAGTTTTATGCTGATTCTGCCACAGCAGTGATCAAAACATATAAAGAAATGGACCCCAGCTTCTGCAAGGACATCACCGTAGTGTACGATGGCACATGGCATAAGCGGGGTCACACATCACACATCGGAGTGGGATCGGTAATTGACTTCTTTACAGGTCTCATCTTGGATGCTGTAGTTCTTTCAAACCACTGCCTTGGATGCCAAACAGGGCCCAAACCTGGAGATGCAGCATACGAAAGGTGGCAGAAGCACCACATTTGCCAAAAAAACACAGACGCAAAATCGGGAAGCATGGAAGTGGAGGCAGGCTTGACTCTCTTTGGGCGGTCTGTATCCAAGCATGGCCTGCGGTACACCACTCTTGTGTCCGACGGAGACAGCCGTACCTTCGCTGCCCTCACAGAAGAGAATGTGTACAGGCTAGTGCCAGTTGTAAAAGAAGAATGTCTGAAGCATGTTCAGAAAAAGATTGGGAGTGCTCTTCGAAACATTGTGCAGAAAAGTGATAAGCCTCTGAGTGGGAAGGGGAAGCTGACTAAAGCCCTCATTGAAAAGCTGACAGGATATTATGGTTGGGCCCTGAGAAACAATTCAACTGACCTAACAGCCATGCAGCGTGCAGTGATGGCAACATATCACCACGTCACATCGACTGACCAGGACCCTCACCATGAACTTTGCCCAGAGGGCGCTCAATCGTGGTGCCGCCATAGAGCTGCAGAGGCAAAGCGTGAGCCACAGCCAAAACATAAACACAGCCTACCGGACTATGTCGCTGCAGCTATGCTGCCCATCTACGAAAGACTGTCACAAAAGTCGCTTCTTCAGCGCTGCCTGGGAACGAAGACGCAAAATGCATCAGAATCATTCCACTCCATTCTGTGGTCTCTGATGCCGAAGGAACAACACTCATCCTTGATCGCGGTAGAAACAGCACTGCATGAAGCAGTGCTGCGCTACAATGCCGGCTGCTGCAAAGCAATCCAAGTGATATCGGACTCCATTGGACTTCAACCAGGTCATCTGGCCATCCAGCGAGCTCGTGAAAAAGACGCTTTACGCCTAAAAAAGAATTCTAAAAGACACCAAGAGAAGATGGAGGCCAGGCAAAAGAAGAAAAGAGTGCGCCAGGACACTTCTAGCTACTGTGCTGGAGCTTTTTGAAGAAAACACGTGTTTTGAACTTTCTCGGCCTGTTTTCTCAGAACGGATTTTTTTGCTAGTTGTGGTGCTGAGCAAAGCAAGAACTCGAAAACCGTTCATCAGATTTGTGTGCCGTTTTTTTTATTCTGTTCCTGAATGACCTTGCAATGGCGTAACAAGCTCCTTTTTTTGAAAATTGGTGCTGTTAATTTATAATAAACAATTAATTTTTGATGAATCTGGTCATTACTGGTTACATCAAATTCAAAGTTGCGTGAAAATTTTGGGGGGGGGGGGGGATTAAAAAAAAACGGCTTTGTAGCGCCCTGGGATAGCTATCAAGGAATGACCACAATGAATTTCAGCTTTCTACTATGTCCTGGGATTTCTCACTACTCTTCCTCAGGCACCCATGTGAAGCACCCAGTTAAACCTTAATAACTCTGGAACTAAGAAACACAGCTTCGTGAAACTTAGCAGTTGTGCTAGTTTTATTGTAGTGATCAACGCCTGAAAGTTTCATCCAGATATCTTAAAAAATAAAAAAGTTCGGTCTCCAGGGTAGCCTCCCCCCTTAATGTGATTTGACTGTGTTTATTTTCTGCCGC